AAATAGCTTTTATTTGAGTTGAAATACCAATTTCGCAGTTGAGTTTCGTTCATTATTTTAATATGAAATGTACTCACTCCTTTTTCAAACTATTATTTTTTATTTTCCAATTTTCCCTGCATTACATATTTATTCTAAATAATTTATACTTTATTTACCCGTACGTTGGTACGAGTTGTGGTCTGGACCGAGCAACGAGCACTGCACTTAGAGAAATGTGTAAAGCTTTGTCCAAATAGCTACTCACTTTTTGTCCTGAAGGAGATCATCCATACCCGGAAAAAATGAGTGGTGCTACGTGCAAAAAATGTGTCATTATTTGTACAATTTGTGCCACGGATTTTCCTGAGTGCAGCAAGACTCACTTTTTGTCCTGAAGGAGGTCATCCATACCCGGCAAAAATGCGTGGTGCTACGTGCAAAAAGTGTGTCACTATTCGTACAGTTCGACCCATTAATTTCTCCGTGTGCAGCGATATCAAAGCGAGAGCGATCAAGCCACGACGTCCGGTGTGTTTCCGTCTCACCTTCTGTTCGTAACATCGCAATAGCGCACTACCTTCTGAATAGCAAACCTGTTGCCCAAAGCTTCATCACGGCACTGCAGACCTTTGATCGGATCCTGGGTAAATGCACGCACCAACCGAATGATTATGTTGCGATTCCTAAATGTATTGGTGGAACTTATTAAAGCTAAAGAGTTTAAACTTAGCCGCTGTGTAAATGCACGCACCAAACGAATGATTATGTTGCGATTCCTAAATGTATTGGTGGATCTTATTAAAGCTAAAGAGTTTAAACGTATCCGCTGTGTAAATGCATGCACCGACCGAATAATTATGTTGCGATTCCTAAATGTATTGGTGGACCTTGTTAAAGCTTGAAACTTATCCACTGGGTAAATGCATGCACCGACCGAATGATTATGTTGTGATTCCTAAATGTATTGGTGGATCTTATTAAAGCTTGAAACTTATCCACTGGGTAAATGCATGCATGCACCGACCTATTCCTAAATGTATTGGGGATCTTATTAAAACTTGAAACTTATCCACTGGGTAAATGCACGCACCGACCTATTCCTAAATGTATTGGTGGATCTTATTAAAGCTTGAAACTTATCCACTGGGTAAATGCACGCACCAACCAAATGATTATGTTGCGATTCCTAAATGTATTGGAGGAATTTATTAAAGCTTGAAACTTATCCACTGGGTAAATGCACGCACCAACCGAATGATTATGTTGCGATTCCTAAATGTATTGGTGGATCTTATTAAAGCTTGAAACTTATCCACTGGGTAAATGCACGCGCCGACCGACTGATTATTTAGCGATCCCTGACACTATTTGTGGATATTATTGGAGCTAAGGACATATATTGATATTTCAAATGGCTATATTGATCAATTGACAATATAGCAATTTGAACCACATATGCCTTTTCGCTCCCATAGATGTGCAGCCAGAACTTTAAATCCTACTAAACGTATCAATAAATTGATCGAGTCAGCACACTAATTTCTAGGAGAAATTCACCCTGTTATAAAACGACAAAATTATATTTACCTAATATTGATGTTGTGTTGAGGAAATCCTTGCTTCAAATTTACTTATCTTCAATGATTTTTTCCGATATACCAATTTTATTGGCATTATCATATATACGATAATATCAATAAATTGGTTCATTGGTGAATCCCTCGTAATCAACTCATGATTGAAGTCAGCAAGATCCTGAACAAAAAGTCCGACTTCGTTGAAATGACTGGATTTTGTTTTAATGAGATGAAATATTTTTATGACCTTGATTTCTCGTTAACCATTACTCGATTTGGACACAGCACTTCAGCAACGTAAATGTTTCGTAATAATTTCATGCGTTGGCAATAATTGAACACATTTGATTTGTTGCTTATTGTTGATAATGAGCGATTCAATTAACATTGAATTGGTACCTGCTTGCAGTCATTGATAAGGCTTAATAAATCCAAGCTCAGAGCATCATCTGTGAAGCCTCATAACATTATTTTCATTGAACGAACAAACCTATTAACAGATTGCGTGAAAGCGAGCTTGATTGGAAATTTAATACATGGATACGAATTTTTTCATATTTAAACATGTGAATATCAAATAAAAAATACTAATCACCCTCATCACAATGGTTAATACACTTTTAAAGTCGCCATACTTTAGGAGTTAATACGTAACTGAACTCACATTCCTAGACATTCATATATCTTATTCATTCAACATTAATATAAATGTTTGAGGAATCCTTGCTACTTTGCAAATCCTCTGCAGGAAAATTTAATTTACTGAATGCAACCCTCCGTGTTTTCGAAGCTCGTAATGCGATGACGTTTGGTAAAGACGCAACACGTCTTTATTATAATTAAAATAATTCAATATTCAACACGCATTCGACTTTTCAACCTACATCTCATTGAGAGACGCTCTCATCCGTCTCCTGGATGCTTCATTTATGTTCTTCGTCTCTTCAATGACGATGCAAAAATCTCAACTAATAACTACAACTTGGTCAAATCCTACAGAATTGTTAATTTCGCATGTATTTATGAATGATTTTATAGGTTTATTTCGCAATAACATATTGGAATGAGAACGGATTTTTGCTAATGTGATAAATTAAAAATTTCTGATGTTATTAATTAAAATGAACGTAAATTGCAATAATAGATCCTTCAGTGTTGATGTGATGCAAGCCGGTAGCCCAGATTCAAATTTTAAATCGGGTCCTACAGGAAGGTTATTAGCTTGTTGAGACCTAGAACTGAAATAGATCCTCCTGCGTGGTGAATGAATAAAGTAAAGAATGATTTTCGAATTGATATTGATAATTCTTATGCTAATCATTGCTCCTTATTATTGTCCGAAGACGTCACGAGTGTTTAAAGTATCCGTTTTCTCAACGACTATTTCAGATTCGACGATAATTAGAATAATTTATTATAAAATGTTTAAAAAAGTGTCCAGAGTTATTGTTATTTTGTCAAGGCAAATTTCTAAAAAGTGCTCCGTAAAAATCGCCTCCAGATTGCGTGAGATTCATCGTGGTTTCATGCAAAGATCGATCGCTTCCACGAAACGAACGTCTATCAGTCCCCTAACAAAATTTAGCGTCGCCCCAGCTTCTGGTACTGCAAATCAGAAGCTGACGCGTCTGTAAATTTTCATTGGATCATACCCTAACAAAATTTAGAGTCGCCCCAGCTTCTGGTACTGCAAATCAGAAGCTGACGCGTCTGTACATTTTCATTGGATCACAGGTTACCGCTAGAGAATAGGTCTTATACCAGCCTGGCGTCAGTCGTCTGCAAAACTGCAGCCTTTACCCCGTCATCTCTTGCTAATGAGATATGAACCTGCAATAAAACTGCACGTGCCGAGCTCGCCACATAAGATTGCCAAATGAACCACCAGATTCACATCGTTAATCACGATCGAATTTTCGCTCCGTGTATAGGTTTGGTACTTCGTTGTACGCCAATCAGTCAGTTTCATAAATTTTTGAGCGTTTTTGGATACGCGGAAATATATTGATTTGCAAAATAAGTTTTATACCTATAACTAAAAGAAGTTAGGAAGTAATAAAGCCGAAATGACGAAAAATAAGAAACGCAAAAAATTAGCTCTATAGCTGTTGAACAAATTAGAATGTCGAGCTTGCCCGTGGTTCTTGTATTAATTGAATTCAAATTTAAAACAATGACTAAGTATAGGTCGCTAAACAAGCGACCCTGCTTTTACGCATTGAGAAACAGCGTTCCGAAGCCACGAAAACTCACTCCATTCATTCAGATATCGGAAAGAACAGCTTACTTGTTCTGCATAAATTACGAAACTCATTCCCAATTGTAAATACTGTGAGTTTACTGTATCTATAAGTGGATATTGATATCTTTTTTCTGGTGGCAAATGTTCATCCCTGATATTATAGTGCACAGAGGCATTTACAAATGGACTAACAATGTACCTGTTCTAACTTATGCACACTGATTCACGCGGCAGTATTATGAGTCATTTAACGATACCGCAACGTTGTTCAGTCCACAGAAATTTTCGGCCATAATTACTATTCCATATCGCAGTTTACTTTACAGGTAATCACATTGCGTGCACTTGAAGAACTATCAGACAGGCACGAAGCTCTCTTCTTGCGCCACTGATTTTGTCCAGAACAATGTTTGCCCTGCACCAATTACCAGCTAGCGATTCAAGCATTGTTTGCCTTTATAGATTAAAGATAAAAGACGACATGAACTACGCTATTTGCAACTTCGCTTTGCCATGCTCTAATCGAGCGATCAAACATACATGACGTCCCGGGCTTTGTATTGAAATCTTAAAATCTATAAGTACTTCTTACAATCTCATATGCAAACCAGGTTTTTCAGTCTCATCTCGAAGACTTGTGTTATTTATCACGTAATTCATTGTGCCAGGATTGATTCCTACGATAAGTTCCTCTTTGTGAATCCTTCATCAACCATTTTATGTGAGTAAATTAAAGCTTTCCTATTCTAATTTGAATACTTTCTTGAACAATCTAATGAAAATACTTTTAACCGTGAACCTGAAATCTGGACAACGAAACACCATGCTTATGAACACGTTTGCACAAACGTGGTTCCTTCATGTCCAAATAATTTTGTTTTCACGCTGTAAGTGTGAAAAAGTGAAAATAAAGTGATTCGCTGGCAAAATTAAATTCTCATACAAGCGATGCAGTTAGCTAGAATCACGTCAATTTGTTAAATTGTTAAGAAATAATTCTGCGTACGGGCAATGAGTTCCAATATATTCAATTCCGTACATCGGTTTTGAGACTAAAAATTCAATAATACCTGTATGACGATTAGATATGTTTTTCTGAGATTTAACTAATAGTTGAGTGTAATAACGGATAATTTATAATTTTTATAACAACTCAAGACATTAGAACGCATGCACTATATAATCAATGCGGTACTCACCGTTGGCGCCGTGCAGCTCAGACGCGACAAACAACAGCAGCGCGGTGAACGCTCTCAGCTTAGACCACGGCAGCATGATGACGCGTAGACGTGGTAGATGATAGACGTGGTAGATGACGTTTATCTTGCACAGAGAGTAGACGTGGTAGACTATTTATACTTCGCACACAGTTCTGCTATGGTATTTGACGAATACCTTGCACACGTTGTTGATGTGATAGATGACGTGTGTTTTGCACACGGTGTAAATGTGGAAGATGACGTACAACTTGAGTTGTAGACCGTGTTGCAACACGGTGTTGCAAACGCGGCTGCTAACTTGTATCTTATATTAGGTGTAGTAAACGTGGTAGATAGCGAATCTTCTGCTCTATGTGAAATAGACGCACTAGATAATATTTTGCAGTAGACGCTGCAGATAACGAATTTATCGCTAATCGTACAAAAAAACGCTGTAAGTAAGTTTTATTTTACACTAGATGTAACAGACCTGGGGGATATATATTGTTTATCGTACACACGGTGTAGGCTTAAGATCAGTGGATTTTACAATCGATATTAGCCGAGAACTGCTTCATAAATTACAAATTTAATCAGCACAATGAAGAGATGTGAAGCTAATTGACGAGATGTAAGAAAGAAGTAGATATTGCTATCCTTATAAGAAACTGTTAGAATGCGGTTAATGCCTCATGGAGCCCCAAAAGCAAAAGTATTGCAGGTGAAGTGGAACAAGATTATCTGCAGATTAGTTATATAATTGGATGATTTCTATCTTTTTTAATCTTTGTGACTGCAATATTATTGAGATACTTATTACTTATGGTCAATATCTTAGTAATGTTTACTGTAATTCAGTTATTGAGTCACAGTGACTTCAAGAAGAGAAGAACAAAGTTTGTCGGCTTTGCTTCCTTTGTTCGTTTCCGATTTAACGTGAAATTTGAGGTAATTTCATAAGAGTCAATTCATGGTTAAAGAATTTGAAGCTGTTCTCACTATATATTAATAATTATAAACAAAACGTCGTTTTTAAATTCAAATGTAGAGTATCAAGACTCCAATTCGTCAAAATCGAAGTTTGTAACTTGCGTAATCCACTGTATATATTACGTAATTAAACTGTTCTGTATTTGTAGCAGTCGCTTGTCCTAATAATGCGGTCTTTGTTATGTCTATGTTTTAATTTAGCTCGAAGATTGTATCCTTCTGCTGCTGCTCTGGAAAAGATATAAAATTTTAATTAGTATTTTAATTAATTTGCGATTATAATAGTATCATATTTATGATATTCACCAAGATCATAGTATAATAATTGATTTGACGTGGTGTACTTCTTTACATTTTTTACTATAATAGATCATTAATAAAAATATAGGTATACAAGAAAAACGGCTGGAAACACTATACCTCCTGATAGCACACCGGGGACACCGAAGTGTCAGTAATAATAATAGGCTTAATTAATAGTTGTAGCAAAATATTTGATTGTAAAATACTATTTAATTTTTTTTAGAACATTTCCAATGGCTAAAATAACGATTCCTATAGGCGTCTCTACAGATAACTAAAAGATTAGGTAAGATTTACTATCTTTACACCAGGCTCGTTTGAAGTTACTCGTGATTGCGATGCTGGCTAAAGGCAATTTTGAATGTCTCTGCAGCATGTGTAACAAATATTTAATTTAATAAGTTAAAGCCCTGTGAATTAAATCCTGGAGGACAAAGACCACATTTCTATATAAAATGGATTAATTGACTACATGGCATTATCTCATCAGCTCAAAACATATTCTTTATTACTCTATTTGATTTATGCTTGTGAATTTTTACCTAAATTGAAAATATGAAAACTCTCAAACGTCATCTTGCTAAAGTTTAAGAACGGTTTTTACCATGCCAAGCGCCGGCGGGGGCAGTGTTCGAGTAGCGAATTGTGGGTCGGAGCTCCGTAGACTTTCCCTCACGAAGTCCTGTCGCTGAATGATCGCTCACCGACCGCGTACCTTTCATATGTGCGGGGACTGAATGAATAAATGGAGGGGGCGGACTCACTACTGTGCCCACTGACTGTACCTAAAAATGTCACTGACTGTACATAAAAGTGTCTCTGACTGTACATAATGAACGCTTAATGAATATAAATTAATATTTTGCTGGATAACTAAACAGATAAATTTCACGATTCTCCGCGTCGTACAGCACACATTTTCCATGCACCGGTTCTTCTCTGCCAAGCATTCTTCTCAGTTAGATTAATATTCTCGTCCACGTTATTAAATTGTCTGGCATTGGACATAATATTTTCATTTATTTCATCTCTAAGACTTTTGTTTCGGATGAACAATAAATGAGGGAATTTTTTTTTCATACGCTTTTTAATTCATAATATTCTCCAGTAATAAAATTTATGAATATTTGAATCGAAATTCATTTTAATTTTTTCCGAACTTTATCAATTAAATTTGAAATTATTTTCGTAGCCTAAATGAATCTCAATTCAGCTTTCCATATCAATTCACTGTTAATTATGCCTAGTAAAACTACTCATAAATAATGTATTTCACAGCCTTCATTTGTTTACTTAAGTTAAGAATACGTTGAATAAGTTGAGTGAAAGAAATAAACCTTAAAAAGAAGACACATTAAAGAGAAGAGACAGTAAAGGAAGAGACACAAAAGAGAAGGGATATTAAATGTTAAATTAATGTTAAATTGTCATAGACATCAAAGAAAATATTATCAATATGTATTGATACTGAGTATGAGAATTCCCACCACCAAGTAAATGTAATTACATTGAGCTTTTTTTGTGCTTTCAATATATTTCTTATAAACAATTGTGTTAATAGTACTGTTAAATTACTGCATAAAGGTTCCTCTTAAATAACTTAATGTAACATGATTAGTGTTGTAATAATAAATCTTACCTCTTTTAAAGACTACTTGGCGTCTGGATGCTAATGTCATAATTAGATTTGTAATGTATACATATAACTATAAACACTTTGACATACATTCATATTCTACGTGCATGTTCGCTTACGCAGCCTCTTAATTAGAAGATCCACATGAATATGATCAATTGTGTTTACTTATAACAATACACATCGTCCCAAGGCTGGCCGCGTAACTCCCACGTGCCGATATCTAAAATACCTATAACAATAATAGTCCAATCTGTTGACATCAACAGGTCTGGAATATAGAACACTAACACTACGTAGTCGGCTGTGATAAACGCTTTCTCACGGCACCGAATAACACAAATAGTTATTTTGAACAGCGGATATTAATTATGCATAATCATTCAGTAACGTCAAGGTCGTTCGATTCGTCAATAATTATGTCAAACCGAACGTCCGACAGCGCTGAGCATCCCTGCGCGAAGGTCGCTATCACCCAACTCCAGAAATTAAGGGTTTTAGTATTTTAGTATTTTATTATTTATATATTTTATATTATTTTATATTATAGTATTTTACTATACATTTTTTTATTTATTTTTAGTATATTTTTAGTATTTGTTAAAGTTTAGGCATGTAGCCGTCCCGTGACTTGTTGAAGAAGCGAGCAATAATTATCCAGAACCATGATGTACGAAAATTATTTATTCCAATAAATGCGAGTCGGAAATCAAACAAACAAGCCAAAGAAGCATGGGACTACAAACCTATATATAGTACGGTGATTCCTTATTTGAAGTTCATTCAAATAGCACTCACTTCATTCGCGTGAAGCTGCGATGACTTTTATCTACAGGGTAAGCTGATGGAAAGGAAACCCGAAAAGAATATTCTTTGAAAATTTAATCTAATTCAAATGCAAGTAATTTTTCCCTGTGATGTTTTGCATACAAAAGGTGGGATGTAAAGGCTTTTCTCACTTATATTTTACTGAATAGAAGGATAGAATAGAAGGATATAATCATTACCAATTGCTTTTAACCGAGCAAATGGTAATCTGAATGTAAATGGTTGGACGTGGTTGGACGTTAATTTTGTCAATAAATTATCTTGAGTAACATCATTGAATTCAATATTCTAATAAACATCTTTAGCTTAAAATTGGTTTGAAGCTCACTATAGTTAAAATTTTTCAATTTTTCAAACAAATTTCTTTTTGTTTTATATTTCAAAATGAGAATAACTTTCTGAAATTGACTAACACAACTTGGTCACCGAACTCTTTTATAAGAGATGCGGTCGCAAGATCTAAGAAATATTTTGTTTAAATAGAGCGACGGCCAATAAATCCTACCAGTGATGTACAGGCACAAGAGGTTTATAAACGAAAATTCATCGCACATTTAGGATGAATTTTTTTAAACGAATTTTCTTAGCCTCTTTTCCACGCACAATTAAGTTTGTTAAATCAACACCGATCTTGATTTAATTGCAGACAACGCTACCGTCGTAGGAAGGTTAGACTTTAGGCGTTTAGACGATGTGTGATATTGGCGAAGATTGGAGCTCCTGAGGTGACCAATTTTTTGACTACTCAATAAGAAAATTTCAACACTTGACGCGTTATTTACGGCTGTTTCTAAGGTAAGGTAAGCTTCTTTGACCCAGCATACATTTTTATCTGTTCCTTGTTTCCGTGTAATGTAGTTGCATGTGGTGAGATTACAGATCTGAATTACGGTATACGTTCTTCATAATTATGTTCAAGGCCTTAACCAAAATTTTTCAATCAAATACATCAGTTACGCCTGGTAAAATTTTCTTCGCTTCTGCTAAAAAATCAAAGATGAACACAAGTCGTGCGTGGCTTACTTATTCAGGCTAAAACAAATATTTTAACTTTATGAAGTATAATAAAACTATTTCAAAATCGTCATAGCTGAGGCTGGAGCTTATTCTTTTGATTCTATAATATTTTTAGTAAAATGCCATGATTTTCTTCGTGTCTTCATTCAACTTGAAGATATTATGAATCATTAAATATTGGAGATACGAATCATTATGAAGATACGAATAATTAGATATTATGTATTATTATTAATGTTATTATTATTAATATCATAATTATTCTAAGAAGCAGTTATCGTGGCGTCTGGTCCACATTACGCATCAGTTTAATGGCAATGGAATATCCGTTGATGGAACACCAATGTTAGTGCGAAAAGTTATTTTTATTGATGTTTGTTATAATTCATCCAATGTTTATAGTACCGTGTTACATAGGGCTTAAGAAGGCATATTGTTCATGTACAAACCTGTTCAAGAACAGTTAAAATAAAGTTATATAGCCGTATTTTTTCAGACTTGATATGCCTATCACCCCACGGTCCTGGTAAAAGCCTATGCATTAGCTGTTTAAACTTATGCCAGTTGTAAAGATCTTATCAATAAGCTAGTTTTTTAGACCTCCTGCAGGTGAATAAGTCAGAGAAGTACAAGAAACGGAAACCGGCCAAAGGCCTATTCATCAGCGCCGACACTACTATGCTATAACTATATATTACGTGGTATTATGATAATATACTGGATCAACAGTGTCAGGAGCTACGTACGTATATTGGTTGATAATATAGTTCATTATGACAATATACTGTACCGACAGTGTCAGGAGCTACATATATTGGTTGATAATGTACTGTATTATGACAATATACTGTACACTGTTAGAAAAAACGGTGAAAAAACGGTCCCACTGGCATTCTAGTGGCCGGTCGCCCCGTGAAAATAAACTGTTTCGCCGTTTTTATCATATGTTTTACTGATTTCTAGTGTTAAATTAGAATAAAAACGGTGACACGGTGTTTCTTTTCACGTGCCGACCGGCCACTGAAACGCCGGTAATGCCGTTAACGGTAATTTTTCTAACAGTGTAGCGACAGTGTCAGGAGTTACGTATGTTGGTTGATAATAAGCTGTATTATGACAATATACTGTAGCGACAGTGTCAGGAGCTACATACATATATTGGTTGATATTATACTGTAAAATGACTATATACTGTACCGACAGTGTCAGGAGCTACATATATTGGTTGATATTATACTGTATAATGACTATATACTGTAGCGACAGTGTCAGGAGCTACATATATTGGCTGACAATATACTGTATTATGACAATATACTGTGCCGACAGTGTCAGGAGCTACATATATTGGCTGACAATATACTGTATTATGACAATATACTGTGCTGACAGTGTCAGGAGCTACAAATATTGGTTGACTTTTAAATTTTGCCTTTCGGCATTAGCCTCCTCTCTTCAAGCACTCCAGGGTTAAATTGAATCCAATTTTAAAGTACCTACATCAACAAATAATTTCACGACGAAATTTCCTAGAAGCACTTACGGATGGAAACTCATTGACTATTCAAGCAGTGGTTTGAGCTTCTTTTTTATCAGTTAGACATGAGCAGGTTTGGACGTTTCCTGCGTAGGATGAGCAAGCACAGCTCCAGGATACGCCACAGGATGCGTTGTTTACACGGCCATCACAGGACATGTCAACAAGCGAGGTGACGGTCAACTTACGTTTACACTCATTCACTTCATTCACTCATTCACCTTCAGTCATGACCAAAGTTGACTTCATTAAAGTAATTACTTTTGCGTTAATATTTACCTCAATGGATGATAGTTTAGTAAGGTTATCACAAAGAAGGAATTAATAAACAGTGTCAGTTGAAGGCAATTTATTCCTCTTGATTTTTTTTCTATAAGAACGGAGTGATGGGAAAGCTTTTATCACTTATGTTTAAGTGGTCACGCAATGGAAGAGTTATGATATAATCAATTACTTGAATAATCAAACATGTTCTGCATGTAAAATTCTCCTGCTCAACCCACTGCAGGTATCACAGTAATTTTTTTAATCAATCCAACCTTACGGAACATTTTTAAATTTCTCATTATATGATTGGAGATTTTTTAATTCTATAACATCTAAGACAGGATTTAGATTACGAATACTTTAGAAACATCTCAATATTTTTTAAATAATAATATTTAAGTATTAATATTAATATTATTAATATATCAATATTTAGGTATTAATGGTTTAGATGGATAATTAATACTTATTGATTGAATTTTTCTAAGCAGAAACAAGTATCGTATAATTAGTTTTAGCCAATCTTCTATAGGACATTCGAAGTGCGGATAAGCATATTGACTGGCCCTAATTAATGCTCGTAATGGCTGATATGTCCTTACAATTGTAAATGATGGCAGAAATGACTTCGCTAGTGTAATTAGCTTAAGACAGTCCTGCAAAATTATAAACTAAGGCCGATATTCCCTCACAATTGTAAACAGTAGAAGATAGGACATCAGAATGGTAAATAAAGGCAGATATAGGCTCGAAAAATAGGAAATAGTTTAAAATTAGCCCACAAATCGTGAATAGGCTCTAAAAATTATCTATAGATGAAAATTACCCATAAAATCGTCAATAATGGCTGATTGGCCCTCACAGTTGCAAATGATGGTAGATGGAAGAAAGGTTCAAATAAATTAACACAACTGCAGATATCACTCCAAAATGGTGAATAATTAATTGATTTTAGCTCCTCAAAATTAAACAAAAAATGGAGATACATAGACCCTAATAAATGGACAAAATGGCAGAAAGGTGACATGATGGTAGTGTCAGGGGCTGCATGATGGTAGTGGCAGGGGCTGCATGATGGTAGTGGCAGGAGCTGCATGATGGTAGTGTCAGGGGCTGCATTGATGGTAGTGGCAGGGGCTGCATGATTGTAGTGGCAGGGGCTGCATGATGGTAGTGGCAGAGGCTGCATGATGGTAGTGGCAGGGGCTGCATGATGGTAGTGGCAGAGGCTGCATGATGGTAGTGGCAGGGGCTGCATGATGGTAGTGGACGCTCTCAAATAATAAAAATAAATAAACGTGGAAAAGAAAAAGAAAACTATTGCGTTACTGAAAGTATTCTTTGTATAAATAATTGTCAGTAAATTTAGAGTTATTCGAATTTAAAGTTTTACGTAGTGCTGGAACCGATATTTTTTACATTTTTTCAGTTTATCAACTTTTACATCGAAGAGAAGACATTTCCAACGTTCACTGTGATGATCAGTAGAAATAAAAAGTTTGATAAAAATCTATTAGTCAATGAAGAAAATATAGTAAATCGACGCGCACGAATTTATTACGATTCATTTTTCTATCGCGAGCAGCATGGATGAATTTCTAAATTACAGTGATTTCTTTGTCCGGTATTTAACACGTATGTTAGCTAGCAAACAGAACCAAAGTCGCCCTGCGTGGCCAACCGACCATATTTACATAGACGAATTCGTCCTTCTTTGGACTTCCCTGATGCATGTGATGTACGTCACGGGAATTTCACAGACTGTTGATATGTCCATGCGCATTAAATTGCAGTTCCGAGTACAACTGCGCCACATGTAAACTCCAACCTCATCGTCGGAATTTTCACTGTTCCCTTTACCACGTTTTACTGGTTTTCACTTTCAGAGCTGTTAAACAGTTAGGTACCAATTAAACTCAGTTTAGGCAAGGGGCTTTATGGACTAGTTTCCAGTGCTCCTATAAGAATAAATAAGAAAGAAATAACCTCATCGTCGCACAAGAGATTAGTTTCATTACAACCCAGCCGCGTATATATAAAGCTCCGAGGAACGGCAACCGGCAGACAGACGCTGACTCTCGTGCGAGTCACACGTGTGTTGCTGATTCCCGGGAAAAACTTGAGGACGTTCGTAATGCGTTTGTTATTTGCAATATTTGGGCTTTGTGCTCTTGTACTTTTCGCTGAAGCAACAGGTATGAATTGCTTATTCATTTCGTTCATTATTTTACTAGATGGTATAAATAATTAATCTGAATAGTGTCCAAACTTTGCTTTTATTACTGTCTTTGAATAATTAAGCTCGTTTACTAAATGATTAATTCATCTATGTTCCAACATTCGTTCTCTAAAATAACTATTATGCTTATCTTAACCTTCCATTTTTTTATAAGTCAGGACACACCATTATAGCAAACTAATCCTATTTCGTTACCAACAAGTACCAATTTCTAGCAGGTTACTAGCAGAAAACAACTTTGTTGTTGACACTAACATTAGTTCAGAAGAAAACTAACGAATCCACCCTTAGTTTTACCGCCTAATTCACTGCGAATTAAGTCAGTGAAATGAGCTCCAAACAGCTATATTTCAGCCCAGGCTGTAATCCCTAAAACCTTGGCGTCTGCATAAAAATAATGGTGAATTGTAAGGGTTCGTATCTGCGATCAGAGGTTTAGTCGCGTGTGAAAATGTGCTTATTTTTATTTGAATGTATGGATTCTGATGTTAGTTACTGATTTCCGTACGTAAAATTTATTCCGACCCCGCTTGAGCAATCCTAGAGTTCATCAGCGTACGAGACCGTAGGCCGTGCATGCTAATGTTGAAGAATAAGCTGAACAACATATATGAAACAAAGGATGCTGGTAGGTGTCCTATCATAGCGTGTATACTATACGCTTCAATATAATATAGCTTATAAAACGGCTTCAATAAGCTTCAAGTTTTTTCACCTTACTAGCCGAAGCTATTGTCGACCAATGACAAGTCGTTGTCTGCTGCAAACCTTTGCTGTTGTCACAGGATGCTGTTGTTTTCTCTTCTTTGTGATGGTAGCAAAGGCAAGCAGTAACATGAACGTCTCAGGCATGCAGTGGCATTTCCTTGGAGATAATAATAAAAAATCCCAGCTTTAATTTCGCCCAACGTCCAGTTCACAGCTTTAATTTCGTCCAACGTCCAGTTCACAGCTTTAATTTCGTCCAACGTCCAGTTCACAGCTTTAATTTTGTCCAACGTCAAGTAATAGGATTTTTTCTTCACTATGTTTATGCACGAGGTTGGAGGCGTGGCCGGTGAAGCAAATGTTGTGGTCGCTCGAGTCGAGCCAAAGCACGAACAGAGACGCTTTTGTGCCGCGTATGCCCGCTTAGCAACACGTGACCTTCGTGCCCCGTGTTCCTTGTATAGAAGATGAGATGCAGCGACCCTGTAGCATCAACTTAGCTGTCCTCTACCCGCCCGCTGAACCCTTCCCGTCCCCCGTTGAACCCTTCCATCCCCCGTTGAACCCTTTACCAACTCTGTTGAACCCTCCACCTCCCACATTGAACCCTCCACCTCCCACATTGAACCCTTCACCTACCACATTGAACCCTTCGCCGCCCCTGTTGAACCCTTCAGCCCCCTCCTCGTATGGTTCAGTGACTCTGTTCCTTGTGATGCACCCATCATGCATTTTAATTGGCCATTCATAGGAAAACATGTAAACCCTTGATTGAAGAACGATATTATGACTAAGAATCAATTTTAACACAAACCACAATCAGCACCTTTAATTAATTACGCTTCATCCTGATCGTATTTGAGATAATCAATCGGAAACCTGTATTTATTAATACTTCATCAAACTAAAACGCCATGTAAAAAATTTTTATGGAGGACCTTTAGGTTCATACAGGGCAGAAGAAGCAGACGCGGTGTTGAGGTGCTTATTAACCCGTTTCTGGAATAGGTACAAAAACATCTTTTAGAAAACGAATCTAGATAACAAATCTTTATAATGAAGATTTATTCATATGACAAATAATCTGATGAAACTACTAACTAATAATCTATTCTTACCAAATTATTGGCTGTTCTGCATCTTAGCTGACAGACAAACGGCAAATAATCGACGAGCTCACACGGATAAACTGTGTCTTCTAAGTCGGCTCAGAAGTGGTGCGGGACGCAGCGCTTTAACAGCGGACTATCTTTCGCTCCATATTAATATTGTACGTTTCTTTCTTATAATTTTCACATCTTTATTTACTTTAATCTTGAATAAATCCAAAATTAGATTGTTCTACCCATGACTAATAAATTTTAGCTTTAGAACAGCGTTCAACATCTTCGCATCTGAAAAAAAACTGACTGAACAGTGTACATCATAAAGCTCAATGGAGCCTCTTCTTTTGGAAAGCCCAAATCTGAGCATAAGTTAACGGTTCTTTCTATTTCTTGGTAGCAGAACCACGGGTGCACTTCAATTTTTATTTTACTCAACTTACTGAACTTGAAGTAGGAACAGAACTTCATTTTTCCAATGAAACTTCGGCGGTGTATAATGGAGAGAAGAGCTCAGTTACAACTTTTTAATCCTCTGCCGTCGTATGTCACTCTCCGGGAACATAACTTTCAAATTGAATTATACGGAAACTATTGAATGCAGCAACCTGAGGACGTTAGTACGAGCAGAAATCATTTTAAAGTTGTCATATGTGGCGGCAACCATCAGTGCAAGTCACTAGAACGTATCCTTTTTGGGAAGTTGGCTTGAGACAATATTGCTCCGGTTACTCATGTGAGGCTGGAGAGGGTTAAGGTGTTGATCAGTCAAATTTTTTACGTAGCACAGAGTTATCTGTTAAAATTTTTATTTACAGCGAAGGTAATGAGTGGAATTCGTTTACATTTACCTTTAGAACTCTGATTTATTTTATTCGTACCTGTGACATTTTTGGGGGTTGTCAACCGCACTTCGGCTAATTTCTACCCTAAGGCCAACGACAAAAACTTACCTGCACCGATTTGTTTACCCTCATTTCCGAGTCGTTTATACATGCCGATACAGATAATTTTCTTCTTCAAGAGCAACAAACACATTAGAACTTTTTACAAAATAATGGCAAACTTCCGGCGAAACGTTCCAGGAGAATCTATATCATCCTCAATCTCGAATCATCTTTAATCTTTGATAATCTTTACCGAACAATTCACCTATAATTAGTTAAAGTTATTTACGGGGCGGCTATGGCATTTGCCTCAAAGCCTCTAAGACATTTTATTTTTGCCTCATAGCACGAATTTCCTTCCGTTACAGGGCCAGTCGAAAGCGCCGGCCCTAGACCTGCTACGTGCACGGACGGCTCTTCGTGGTTCGATGGCTGCAACAACTGCTGGTGCATGGGAGGAGCGACTGCCTGCAGCTTGAAGTTTTGTCCTGATGGTCAGTCCGCAGTCCACTTACTCTTCCTTTCAATTAAACGTGACCTTCTTATTATTTTAACTCGATTTTCCTCTCTTTTCTAATTGATATTCAAATCAGTTTCACTTAATCTTTGAAGTCATTTTACTGGTGATTTCATCACTTCTCCTTTATCTTATCACTGTTATCTGAGCCGTTTTCACTTCCACTCAATCGTCCTTCAGCGTCCTCCTTGAACCCCTGCATACATAATTAGCTTTAAAAGAATCTAAATAGTAAGAATGGCCGTGACTTGGATTCTGTGACCGCAACTATGAGGTTACCGGCAGACCGGAGTAGAAATTTGTTGAAAATTGAAGTCTTCTACATTCGTAATTTGGGAACTCGTTCCTTCCCCTAGGGTTGGCATCACGACAACACTGACTCTACAATCGATAAACTCGTTTACTGTATAAACTAAGGTTAACCTTACAGTTACTGACGGAATACCAGTATGTAATACAAGGATAATATCTAAATTATTCCGGAAATGGTTTAAATAGTGTTTCGCTAGATTGTCTTAAGTATTTAAATCTAATTTAATAAGTACACCGCAAGATTCGTTTGTAATATTGATGCACTGGAATGTAATCTGTAATTTCCTCGTCGTCATGCTTCATCTCCAGACCAACTTGAAGTATGTTTTTATTTCAAATAAGTATTAAAAACTCGGATAATGCTAAAGTGAATTCAATTGAAAAATAATTCAATTCTACTATGCTTCTTTTACTACTTCATTTACTTACTCTACTACTTGATTTATTATACCGAAGTTTGATCCGTAGTTCGAACCAAAACCTACATCCCGTCTATCAATTTAATTAAAATTTCAGCATCAGAAAACGTACATGAGCTGTGAGCAATTTTCTTACATTTTCCTCGCAGGGACCAAAAAGCCCCCTACGTGCGTGGACGGCAGCCGGTGGATGATGGACAACTGCAACTGGTGCAGCTGCAGCAGCGGGACACCTGTCTGCACGAAGAGAGCCTGTCTGCCTGGTCAGTATCATTTTAGGTATCACTCTAATCAATAATCATTTTCTCAATTACTGCTGCCTGGCGCATTAATTGCGGTGTGTTAATTGCCTGGGGCCATACTTTCAAAACTGGCTAAGTGAACGTAAGTACTTACGCTCTATTTTCTTGTCTATGATTGGTGGATTTTGCTTGAAAGGCCGTCAATGATTGGCTGATGAACTTACGATCTCTTAACTTTTTTTTGAAAGTATAGGCCCTGGTGCGTAAATGGTTCGGCTAGCTCAGTCGGTAGAGCACGAGACTTTTAATCTTCGGGTCGCGGGTTCGAGTCCCACGTTAGACGCCAAAGTGTTGTCACTTGTCAGGTCGCTTGTTCGGGTTTGGTTCAGTAACTTCGCACAGGGAACAACAGAAAAGTCTTTATTCAGATTCAGATTTACGCGTACAACACAAGAAATATCGCGACAAGAGCAGCATTCAGCCGGCGAGAAATCTGCTAAAATTAATAATAATATAGAGGGAAAATTTGATCCGAAACTAGTATACATTCTGAATCTAAGATGAAAAGTTACACTGGATCCTACTTGGATACATCATACATGGCTAGTGCTAGATATGCGGAAAAACACAAATATATACATAAAATGAGTAAGAATTTGTTCGACTAGTGATGCGCATTTTGACTTTCTGTTGGCCATCCTTAGTCCTGACCGAGTTAGGCCGGCAAAAATGAGTATTACTGGATACTATTTTCGCTCTCTGCTTTGGGTAAGAATTTGTCATTTTTTGGGCAAAATTATCCATAAAGTTTTTGAGTGTAGTTTCATTTTATTGCAGCCTGGGCCGCGTCGTCCTCGTCCAATTCAGATCGGAGCCTCGATGCTTCAGACACGAATGCTGTTAGGACTGATGGTGAGTCTATACAATATAATTTAAATGAACTATCCAGCTTTATTGCTATACAATAATAATTTAAGAACCATGCATTAATTGACTCTGAAAGTAATTAGTCAATATTTCTCATAGGAAGCGTAATTCTCGGTGGTAGTTTATTCATTAAAATAAGTTTAAAACTTCTTAACTGGGGTCGTAACTTCATTGGTCAATCACTGACAGCTCTTCAAGCTAAAGCCATTTACGTACACGATAAATTGACCGCTACGCGTACACAGGCATGTTTTAACAGTGAGCGTTTTTGCGATAAACATGTTACGCTGTTTCAGCTGCAGCAGGCGACGCCGTTTCAGCTGCAGCAGGCGAAACAGACGAGCCAGAGTGTGAAGGTACTGAAGGTCGCTGGCGCGTAGGGTGCAACTGGTGCCGCTGCAATGAAAAAGGTTTCACCGTCTGCACCAAACGTCTGTGTCATCCCGGTGAGTGGTGTGATATGGTGAGTGGTGTGATGTGGTGAGTGGTGTGATATGGTGAGTGGTGTGATATGGTGAGTGGTGTGATGGTGTCGTGATATGGTGAGGGGTGTCGTGATATGGTGAGGGGTGTCGTGATATGGTGAGGGGTGTCGTGATATTGTGAGTGGTGTGATAGGGTGAGTGGTGTCGTGATATGGTGAGTGGTGTCGTGATATGGTGAGTGGTGTCGTGATATGGTGAGTGGTGTCGTGATATGGTGAGTGGTGTCGTGATATGATGAGTGGTGTCTTGATATGATGAGTGGTGTCATGATATGGTGAGTGGTGTCGTGATATGGTGAGTGGTGTCATGATGTGGTGAGTGGTGTCATGATATGGCGAGTTGTGTCATGATAGGGTGAGTGGTGTCATGATATGGCGAGTTGTGTCATGATAGGGTGAGTGGTGTCTTGGAACATAAATACAGGAAGGATCATTCCATTCACTAAGTACGTTCTATTAATTCTCAATACTTTTAGTTCTTCCTGCGTGTAGACTTTTAATTTCATTCAACAGTTTGTGTGTTGTACGTCTAGCGCCTCATAATGAGTCGTTGTTCTCTGTATGTATTGTATCATATGTAGCAATCATCGGTATAAGTAATGACCAGCTATTAAGAATTAGATTGTGTCACATGTTCTTATTCCAACTCCATCGTTCATGGTCTTATAGTTCGTCGCTATTGTTTCAATAAATTGTCTTCAGTGATGCAGAATAATTCACACCCTTCAATTTATATGCACTACTTCACATGCGGATTCATATAAAGTGTAAAATTCCACAACGCGCGTTCTATGTCTGAGGTTAGCATACTATAACTTAGGTTGTATACTTGGCGTTAACATACCAAAACGAACGGTGTATGCTTGTTAACATACCACAACCTACTTTGTATGCCTGGCGTTAACATACTAAACCTTAGGTTGTATGCCTGGCGTTAGCATACTAAACCTTAGGTTGTATGCCTGGCGTTAGCATACCATAACGTACGATGAATGCCATGTCGTTAGCATGCCATAACGTATGGTGTTTTGCTTGGCGTTAGCATACCCTAACGCACGCTGTATGCCTGTCGTTAGCATACCATAACGTACGCTGTATGCCTGTCGTTAGCATACCATAACGTCGCTTATGCCTGTCGTTAGCATACCATAACGTACGCTGTATGCTTGTTAGCATACCATAACGTACGGTATATCATTGTTAACATACCATAACGTACGGTGTATCATTGTTAACATATCATAACGTACGGTGTATCATTGTTAACATATCATAACGTACGGTGTATCATTGTTAACATATCATAACGTACGGTATATCATTGTTAACATACCATAACGTTCGTTATTTTTATGATGTTGCAGCGCTGCTGGAACGTCTAGCCGACACGCCTGTGTGCGAGGGAAATGCTCGCTGGCGCGACGACTGCAACTGGTGCAGCTGCACCGCTACTGGTATTGCCGCCTGCACACTCAAGGGCTGTATTTCAATGCTGCCGCCTCGTCCCGCTGGTAATTGAAGATTGCCGTTCAATTCTTGCGAGCATGCATAAAACGCTTGCGAGTATGCATAAAACGCTTGCGAGCATGCATAAAACGCTTGCGATCATGCATAAAACGCTTGCGAGCATGCATAATTTTATATTATAAATATACAGGTGTTGGTTAAGTTGTACATATGCGGTTCAAAAAGGGTAATGCTTTTTTTTACTGTTGTCCTCTACTCCGATGAAACCTCATTGGTTATTTTATGCCTAACGTCATTTCCTTTTATAATAAAATTCTGATGGATTTTGTTTCGATAATTTAATTACTTTATATAGGATGGTTATTATTAATTACTTAATGCTTGGAAACTGTTCAAGACGCATATCGTCTTTCATCTCTTTCACCTTGTACTTTATCTTCAGTAAATTAGATTCATCTTTATATTGAAATATTCGATAAAAAAACATCTTTCCTTTACAAAATCATTTCGTATTAATACTGCAGGTAGAATCCAATTCGCAATTTAGGGGAAATAATTTTTAGGGTAATCTATTCTCAGTTCAGGGAAATAATAATCCATCACGAATTATATAATTGCACACAACAGTTAAACATTGGGACTCCCGAAGCTCCCCCACCCAAGTATAATAATGTAGGTCCGCTTCCTGTTGAGTTCGCGTCACTCGTCATCTCGATGTCCCGTTTTAAAAACGAGCTTTGAGCAATAATAATTTAGACTAAAGTGAGGCTTGCAAACAAAGGTTCATTATAAAAATATAACTCAGTACTCACTGCAGTGAGTGACAGAGTGCGCATTTTCTCGTGCGTGAAAACTTGAGGTCACGGACGGATGGACAGACGGACGGACAGATGGAAAGACGGACGGACAGATGGAAAGACGGACGGACAGATGGAAAGACGGACGGACAGATGGACAGATGGACGGACGAACGGACAGACGGACGGACAGATGGACAGACGGACAGATGGACAGACAGACCGACAGACAGACGGACATAGCGAGCACAATAGTGCATTTTTTCCATAAATAAGAAAATGCGCTAAAAATGCCATATGTAATGAAACCATTTTTTAATTCTTGGCTAATACGTTCTAAACGCTTTGATTGAAAATTTCCTACCTGCCATCATTACGCGGGCGACTCTTAAGATTGGAATTTTTTCGCGTGTATCTAAAATCAAGGTAAATATCTAACGTTTAATTCCTGTTTTTCTATAAGGAACAAAAAGCAATGACCGCTCACATAAGTGTATAATTGTTCGTCAATTGAATATTGAAATACACATTTATTGATGACTGCGTAAGTATTGACACAAAGGCCCTCCTCAACTAAAATAATTGCAGGAATAACTCGAAATTGAAATCACAAATCGTAAACGGATGTACTCGTCTGATAATTACAGCACTGTTATTAACCCCTCATCTACGGATGCATTTATCATCTCTAATGATATTCGTACCAAAATGCCTGGTTAATAGAGTTGTTGTCCGTTGCATGAACAATAAATATTGCTGTAACGTACACACTCAGCTTTATAATTTTCTCCTCCGAAATTCAATGTCATTCTTGGGACTGATTGCGAGCCATTGTTACCTTATACATTTGCGCCTCTGAACTTGGCGCTCGCAGAGATACTGCATAGAATATTATAGAATATTAGTTGTGCTTCGATATGTGCACACAAGGATGCTGATGGAGACAGTAATGGGTGAGTGCAGAGATACTGATGATAGTTGATGATACTGATTATAGCACCCTGAGATACTGATGATGATAGTTGATGATACTGATGATAGCACCCTGAGATACTGATGATGATAGTTGATGTGTTTTGCATGCAAGCATGCGTGTGCAACCGTTGAGCTACTTGGATATGCTCACGACCCTTGCATAGCTAAGTTCGAGGCCAAGACTCCATTAACAGTTGACAAACAACCAAGCTCACGCTGGAGCCAAACTGAGCTTGAGGAAAGATCTGGTCCATGGATCCAGAACTGTAAATTCTTTTGAAATTCTAAAATATTAACATCTGTGGTTACTAAATCTGCTCGATTGAGTTTTCCTGCATGAATGAAACGGACTTTGCTTCCAGCATGCACTTTCTCTCTAATTTTCAACGAAAATCTTAAATATATTTTACTCCGCTCTCAAGTATCGTTGAGTACTGGGGAATCGCGTCCAAAAATCGTTTAATCTTTTATCAACCTGGAGCTCTAAATGAACTATATATTTCGGACTGACACTGCTATAAATTTTACCGTCTCTAAATTGCAGAAGGTATACTTGGAAGCCAAAAACACATAAAGCAAATCTAATGTTGGAACAAATCTGGATTTAATAAGAGCAGTTTTTTTCGTTGAGAAAATCAAATTTTAGGCATTATGACCGGCTGAATGTCTAACTACATAAATTTCACACTACATAAATTTCACAACCATGAGACGTCTTTGAGATTTCAGAAAATAAGATCAACGAAACTATAGTTTCAGGGTCGATGGTTTTACGCTGAAGAGAAAATTTATTTGATTGATGCACATTAGAGGATATTGTCTTCCATTCTAGACAGTGTTTCACACTGAGATTCATTCCAGGCATATTTTGCAACCCAAAGCTTCTTCGGAAATATCTTGCTAGATACTATAGCAGGAGTAACTGTTTCCAAGGAATCCAACACTTTATAAAGCTGAGACAATACTTTTCTCTTCGCTAGACACACCGCAGTGACATGACTCACTCTGGGTACACACATCGTGTCTGACGCCGGATAATACCGATAACCCAAATCCTTCTCACTGCTAAAAAAAAGGTAGATCGGTAAATTTTATCTGGAGGGCAGCGTTGTTGGAAACTTGATTACGTAAAGTGAAACTACCATCAGCCATTTTGGAAACCGTCCAATGGTACATCTACAACAGACCCTCGTCATATATACCTGCGAAAAATAATTTTTCAACGTACATATTTTCCTGTAGGACACGAGAGCAGACGTCCTCGGGATATCGTTTGACATGAATGGTTAACGCTAAAATTAAGAACAAATGAGGAACATGGTAAACCTAAAACCAGCGAAGTATGTCTGTAAGCTTAAAGGTTATTGTAGGATTCTCTCTACACAATTTGAAAACTGTTTCTATCATATCAGCTTGATTATTAAATTAAATCATTAGAAATGCCGATTTGATGTCGGGCACTACCAGGCTTGTTTAAAAAGTTTACACCTTGAAACGCTGCCTCGTTAAGAAACTAAGAATCCGCAATTTTCAGACTGCCATTTAATACAGGTCTAATCTTGTGTGACCTGAGCCTCCACTCGAATAACCGGGGGGTGTGGTACCCAAATCTGATCATCCACATCAGTTTCCTCTAGCGGTTGTTCCTCAAGAACCATCAGCAATCTGCTTAGCGAACACCTCACCCTAGACCTCGCGCATGCCGGTTTTGTCGAGCCGCTCGATCACTCTCCTAAGAACAGCCCTAGGAACTTCAAAGTTTGATTTTACGCCTCAATTTTATAAGGCCACCACGGTATTTCACGATAACATTTACCACCCTCTGAATCAAATGATTTTTCAAATTATCTGGATGAGAAGCATCGCAATTGGCAAATTCATTACTAGTCTCGGTAATTCTCAACGAATAAAATTTTAAGAAGATTGCACAGGTTGACCTTAATTTTTCTGCCTTATGCGATGCGAGCAATCGGATCTCGGCAACTGCAAACGGGATCCAAAACACAATTAATGACAAAGAGACTGAATGCTCTGATAAAACGCTGGAAACCTTCCTAAGAGAATCTACGCTGCGAAATCTTTCAAAAACTGCAATCCATTAATCCCCATTAAACCCTCAAGTGCTGCGGTGTCGCTCCTATTGGTAAATGAACTATCAGCCAAAGGTGCGATATGAGAAATTTGCTCGCTAACTAACTAAGCTTCCTAACGAAGGTCACTATTTAACTAACTAAGCTTCATAGCAAAGGTCACTAACTAACTTTAAGCTTCATAGCAAAGGTCAACTTGAACTCTTCAGTGACAAAATTGGCAACTGCATGGATACGACCTCCAGTATCCTCCAAATCAAAACGAAAACAAGTTTCTGAGAACTTCCTAACCCTACATCAGAGGAATGTATTTAAAACGAAGTCCTATTCATTGAGTAGACATCATGGGGCAAACGGGCAATTTAAACACAGTTACAAATGAAAACACAGTTACAAAAATTCCAAATTTTTTCGTAAGTTGTAAAGATGATATATTAATAATTTGACTATGCTGAAGATCCGCGATCCCGTCTCGTAATACGAAACCTTCGACAAGCGTAAGTACAATAATGACATGAACAGACATTAATTTTACAACCTTTTATCATGTAGTTACCTACAATCAAGTGGCTGACAGCTATCAGGTCTTTCTGTGCGAATATCATTTATGATGGTTCAAGAATTCGTAATAATGGCTTACATGAAATTAAATTCAGCAACAAAAAAAACATTTCATATCCCTACCGACTTGAAATTTTCCATGAACGTCAAATGAGAGGTGCTTAAATGTTCCGCATATTGTTAGGAAATTTGTTCAGGTGACATTTAATTCAATTTTGTGAAGAAAATTGTGTGATATTTACATGATTTATCCACTGCAGAATAAGCGATACGCATGTAAGACAAAAAGTGGTCCAATAACCTATAGAATATAAATCATATTGGTCATGTTGATAACTCATTCGTATGCAACTAACCATATATTCTGTTATCTTATTCTAACCATATATATGAACTAAATACTCATGCTTGCTCTAACCAAGTGAGTAAAACCAAACCATGGCCCGTCCCATGTAGGACGAAAACGTTCTACACCAAAAACAATTTTCCATATTCAATGATTTTTAATTCAATCTATAAGAGCAGAATTTTTACGAGTACTTCCTAACCCGATTTCGTCTCTGACAATAAAATATGCTGCTTATTTCTTCGTTTAATTTGTTTGACTACGTTCCTGATCGTAATCCGATTTACAACTAAATTAAAAAACAATTCCATCTTACCATATTGAACAATAGTTTTTAATTTGCCGTGTCCGCTCAGCTTTAAATGACATTTCTGCCATGTTGAATTGCCGTGACTAAGAACGACGTTTCACGCGCTCGTTGTCTGTAATCGAAAGTATTTACGATGCTTTTTCTTATGTCTGTTCATAGCGATCACATTAGACACAACAGCTACAGATACGTCTTCAAGTTTTACGCACGTCGTAGATATTTCTATTGTAAAATACTCATTATTATTCAGTAGGACTTGAGGACGTCAGTGTACATTAGTGAGTTTATTGTTCAGTGGGACTTGTGGCTGTCAGTGAACATCAGAGAGTTTATTGTTCAGTGGTCCCACTGAACTTATTGTTCAGTGGGACTTAAGGGTGTCAGTGTATATCAGTTCAGTGTACATCAGAGCGTATTAGTTATTGCAATCATGAAATATCTTTGTACTAAAATGCCTTTACATGTGTGACAACCTTTTAACAATTTCAACAAACGTTCCTCGTTGTCAAATGTTACAAATGATAATTTTACTCTTCTTCCAATCACTATGGTTCTTTCCGTTACCAGCGACCATCACCAGCAGGCTTGGAGGCTCCCCAGCAGCAGAGGACAACCCGACGTGTGAAGGTTACTCATTTTTAACAGCTGCAAATGTTAATTTCACTCTTCTTCCAATTACTATGGTTCTTTCCGTTGCCAGCGGTCATCACCAGCAGTTCTGAAGACTCCCCAGCAGCAGACGACGACCCGACGTGTGAAGTGACGCAGCCAACAGACCGGTGGCGCGAAGACTGCAACTGGTGCCGCTGTCTGCACGGCCGCGGCGCCTGCACCAAGCGAGGCTGTCCCCCAGGCGAGTTGTGGTGGTGACAAACTTAAGAGTCATGCTACTTGGTTAATTAATATACGTAGTGACTTTATTACATGTAGCTGCTTTTTTACACGTTGCTGCTTTATTACACGTAGCTGCTATATTCCGTATATGTAGATGCTTTATTACTAAATTATTTATTATGGCCATTATTTATTATTATACGTAGCAGCTTTATTACACGTAGCTGTTTTATTACTCGTAGCAGCTTTATTGCATGTAGCTGCTTTATTACTCGTAGCTGCCTTATTACTCGTAGCAGCTTTATTACACGTAGCTGTTTTATTACTCGTAGCAGCTTTATTACACGTAGCTGCTTTATTACTCGTAGCTGCTTTATTGCACGTAGCTGCTTTATTACATGTAGCCGCTTTATTACACGTAGCCGCTTTATTACACGTAGCCGCTTTATTACACGTAGCCGCCAGTTTTTAGTTATGATTGGTGGGTTTAGCTTGGAAAGCCGTCGGTGAATGTCTGACGTAGTTGGAAGCTCTTGAATATTTTCTAAAGTACGCCCCTGGGTATATAAAATTGTTCTCGATAGTTCAGATCGGAATATATTTTTGCGGATGATACGCGCGTGTGTAAATAAACTTTAGTGGTATTTAAAATTCAAGTCGACTGTTTGGTGAAAATTAGTACTAGTATGGTTTTTATAGTAGACTGATTTTGAAAATTGATCTGAGCACGGATAACAAATTACGTTTCATCTCTTGTTGTTCGAATTGCATTCCTATCGGCAAGGCAAATACTTTATTATTGTCACTTCGAAAATCGAATAGAAAACCTATAATCAGTTAATTTTTTAGTGAAGGAGTAAACATTTTCTCGAAACAATTTGCGTTATATCGGTGTTGCCGTTACAAACCGCATGAAAAATCGTGTATTTTTAATTTTTCTCTTGACCTCTATCATCTTCATTCTGGATAATTTTAAGTCTCATCTGCAAACAGCCAGAATAATTGTGTTTCTATATATTTATCTCAAAATTTACCTTCTAATCTTGACAACTATTGGGACATGTCATGGCAGGACTGAGAGATCGACTGTCCAGCACCCCAGAGTGCGAGGGCGGCGCCCGCTGGAAGGTTGACGACTGCAACTGGTGCTCCTGCAGCGACGGCAGGGCTGTCTGCACCACCAGGGCCTGTCTCGGTGGGGACGGTGAGCCAATGGTTGTAGGTGGTGGCCACTGTAGCGCAGTGGTGGCCACTGTAGTGTAGTGGTGGCCACTGTATAGTAGTATAGTAGTAAGTGGTGGCCACTGCACTGACGGTGAGCCAATAGTGGTGGCCAGTGTAGTGTAGTGGTGGCCACTGTATAGTAGTATATTAGTAAATGGTGGCCACTGTATAGTAGTGCAGTAGTAAGTGGTGGCCACTGCACTGCTGGTGATCCAATAGTAGCAGCCAGTGTAGTGTAGTGGCGGCCACTGTAGTGTAGTGCTGGCCACTGTAGCATAGTGCTGGCCACTGTAGTGTAGTGGTGGCCACTGTTGCGTAGTGTTGGCCACTGTAGCGTAGCGCCGGCCACTGTAGCGGTGGTGGCCACTGTAGTGTAGTGGTGGCCACTGTAGTGTAGTGGTGGCCACTGTAGTGTAGTGGTGGCCACTGTTGCGTAGTGGTGGCCACTGTAGCGTAGCGGCGGCCACTGTAGCGGTGGTGGCCTCTGTAGCGTAGTGGTGGCCACTGTATAGTAGTATAGTAGTAAATGGTGGCCACTGCACTGACGGTGAGCCAATAGTGGTGGCCACTGTGGTGTTGCGGTGGCCACTGTAGCGTAGTGTTGGCCACTGTAGCATAGTGGTGGCCACTGTAGCGCAGTGGTGGCCACTGTAGCGCAGTGGTAGCCACTGTAGCGTAGTGGTAGTCACTGTAGCGTAGTGGTGGCCACTGTAGCGTAGTGGTGGCCACTGTAGCGCAGTGATGGCCACTGTAGCGCAGTGGTGGCCACTGTAGCGTATTGGTGGCCACTGTAGCGTATTAGTGGCCACTGTAGCGTAGTGGTGGCCACTGTAGCGTAGTGGTACCACTGTAGCGTAGTGGTGGCCACTGTAGCGTAGTGGTGGCCACTGTAGCGTAGTGGCGGCCACTGTAGCGCAGTGGTGGCCACTGTAGCGCAGTGGTAGCCACTGTAGCGCAGTGGTAGTGACACCGAGATGTAAGGAGCCAGCCATCCATGCGTATGAACCTTGTTAAGCTGTGTTCATTTGTCTATGTGGGCAGCGTCAAGGGTGATGCTGTCAGCATAGCCCTGGGTTAGTGTTTCTAAACAAACTCTGGGTTTCATGTTTCGAAGGGATCTTTTAAGTTCAGTGAGAGTCAGGCTGTATTTGTTGGTTCGCTTGGAGACTCTGCGCAGAACTTGAGAAACTTCGTGCGCTTCAGGCATTTCGTGTTTCTTTTTTTTATTCATGAGACTTAAATTGAGGCCCTCTAGGCATCTAGTTATTTTCGCTTTTAGTATTCTCCAGGCTTCTAGTAGTTTTAGAGATAAGTACTCCTACAATTGTTGTTCCTTTGGACTCGTAGTATAATTCAAGTATATTTATCAACGTACTAAAAGAAATTCAGTTGCTCCGTCATTTTGTTGGCAAGATTTTGCAACTACAGCACAAGTTTTACTGCAACGTTTTTCTTTCATCTGAATCGCCTGTCATCATAGAAGCGCATGATAACCAAGAAGATTTATGTGTTTGTCATAATTTTCTGCATAAATCAATTCAGACTAATTTCAAGTAAGTAAAACTAAAACCGATTACATTTTTATCTTCCCATTTCACTTTCTATTTGGATTTTCCGATCAGCTTTGAAATATTCTATTTCAAATAAAAACGCTTTATGCATTTCATTTCAGAAAACATGAAAAAAACAATCGTCACGTGCGAATGTGCATCATTTATTGCCTTGTCTGTTTTCCGCTCTACCCACAGCTTCGGAATTGCCGGTGACCCATTTCAAATTCTAAATACGGTATTTGGTACGTGTTATACGAGAATTAGCTGCAGAGAAACAATTTTCACGTGCAAACGTTTATCATTTATTGCCTCGTCTGTTTTCCGCTCTACCTACAGCTGCGGATTTGCCAGCGACCTCCGAAGAAGGAGCGAAATACGAACCCGATTGCGTGGGCACCTCAACGTGGACCGAGAGCTGCAACAACTGCCACTGTGCAAACGGCGTCAAGGCTTGCACCCTCAAAGGCTGCCTTACTGGTGAGGCTTTAAATTCAACATATTGATTAAAATTTTGACTATAAATTCTTGGATTATATAAACGCACGTTGGTTCGAGATCACGCACAGTCAGTCGTGCACTAATATACTTGCCATGCGTTGTTCGAGCAGAAGTGGAAGACACGTGTCAAGAGGGTGCGGTCTGGAAGAAGGACTGCAACTGGTGCTCTTGCACAAACAACAGACCGGTGTGCAGTAGGCGTCTCTGCCCCACGAAACCAGGTGAATAAATTATCCTTAGTGATGATCGATTATTGATTATGCCTACATTTGGGTTATAGAAAATAAAACTTCATTGAAAACAAAAATCCTGATGACGTGGACATACTTGTAGATTACCTCGCGGATCGAACAGAATCAAAGAAGACTTAATTTGTTTTCATGTTTAACAATTTGAATAGGGCAAAATTAGAATCCAACGAAATTTTTAACATTAATAGCGATTCTCAGTTGGAAAAAATCCCCAAACAATTCGTATGAAGTGAATGTCTCAGCCAGTCAAAGTTAGGTTAAGTAGATTTTGGTTTAGGAGGCGCTGCAAATGGTATAATTTAAAGACATGCGTGATAGAGATTCGTTTTTCACAAATCCATTTTTTGTAAGTTGGGCTGCATCATAAGTTTTGTGCTTGAAAAGGACAATTACCTTTCAATATTCTTCATTGACCATTTTTATTGCTATCGATCGAATTTTTTTTTTTTTTTTTTTTTTTTGCTATGTAGGTACGTAGGTACACTTTCGAAGTCAGTCAGATAATCAACTCTTTATGAATGTTTGAAGATAAAATAATGCTTAACTATCTGAAAAAGAAACGTCATTAAAAATCTTTGGAATTGAACCATCGACACACATTTTTCGACCCCATAGTATTATGTTACTGAATACATGTCGTGTAATTGCAGAAACTTGCATTTTTTCACGAGGCCGTTTAACCTATGTAGCAATTTTCATTTCTATGTTCATCTATTTTATCATCAGCTGGAAAGGATGAGTCCGGACTGACTAATAAAAATGCTACTACCTACCGCGCATGTCCAATTTCAGTCTTAGGCACACATAAAATGGAATGATTTTTAATGTTTTAATTTGATTAATCTCCTTTTATATTGTTTCGTCCCCAGCCGGAGAGAATGAAGGTCTGACGGAAGTTGCGTGTCTCGAAGGCTCCACATGGAAGGATGACTGCAACACTTGTACCTGCACCAACGGTCACGCTATATGTACCCTCAGGGCTTGTATTGGACGTAAGTAACCAATACAGCAAATTAAATGTTTGTTATATAGTTTATAGTGTTTTTATATGTGTTGAAGAAACAGTATTGTTGATGTAAATGTTTTTTTTCGGAGACAATACTTACAATGCCGTCGCTTGAGGATAGTATCTTGATCAAAAATTGTATTTGGAATCGTGAGGCAATGCAAAATGGAGTTCGAGCAAAAAATTAGATTTGATATTAATTCCCAATTTGATACTCTTAAAATCATAACAGAAACCTTAAAACTTATGTTAAATTAATTTAATATATATTTCTTAATTTAACGTGACATTAGCTCAGAGCTATTGTGATTGCATAATAGACGATTTGATTAAAGAAATGTCAAGTCTCGGCGCCAGTATCGCATGCCACTCAATAATGTGAAAGCGTGCTGGTGAGTTTGAAACATGACGATGTTGTTTTATGACGTCATTCGAACCCTTGTCCACAATAACAACCATATCGGGAAATTTACTGCATCTGAAATTTTATTTTTAGTGTTGGAATCAAGTGGCATCGCAAAACGTTAAAGAGCATACAAATCTAGTTGACCTGATTTCAGTTACAGAGTTTTTTAGAATATGGAATACAAGTTGATTTAAGATCAACTAGACCAAGGTCTATTTTACTCAAGTTATTTACTAACTTACATTACTCAATAAGATGTACTGCGGTTTCAAAGAGGTGCAGGCGCATGTCTAACTAGTAAACTTAATCAAGTTTAACTCGGCGATTTTATCGCAGCTTTTCGAAGACCCGCCGTTATACCAGACCCTCGACAACCCCAGATCGAGGAGAGATCTCAGACCGAGGATAGACCCGCGGTTATACCAGACCCAAGACGACCTCAGATCGAGGAGAGACCTCAGACCGAGTATAGACCCGCGGTTATACCAGACCCAAGACGACCTCAGATCGAGGAGAGACCTCAGAATGAGGATAGACCCGCGGTTATACCAGACCCAAGACGACCTCAAGTACAGCCACGGCCCAGCACTGGCGTGGATGTGCCCAGAGATGATCGGGACTGCGTACCTGGGTCCCGGTTTTCGGTGGACGGTTGCAACTGGTGTACCTGCACCGAGAGAGGACTCGGTGTCTGCACCCTCATGGCATGCTTCAAAAGTCAGTTTCAGGGCCTTGTGTTTTAGGCTTAATTGACTCAAAAAATCTTGTTAAGTCAGTCCGAGTCATAAGGTCAAAAAGTGAGTTATAAGGTCGAAAAGGCTCTGAGTCATAAGGTCAAAAGTCAGTGTCAGGGCCTTGCGTTTTAGGCTTAATTGACTCAAAAAATCTTGTTAACCCTCTACCGCCTGACAAGAGTAACCGGAACTCTGCAGTAACCGGAGCCACTGTCATAAGCCTACTTACCAAAAAGGAGACGTTCTAGTGAGCGCAAAATGACTTGCACTGATGGTTGCCGCCACGTACGACAACTTTAAAATGTTCTCTCTTGCGTACAAACGTCCTCAGGTTGCTACACTCAATAGTTTACTTATGATTTGAGTTGAAAGTTATGTTCCCGGAGAGTGACATACGTCGGTAGAGGGTTAAGTTGATAAACATGCAGGATGATTGTGACCTTGTTAGACTTGAAATAAATAAATAATAAGCTACGCTATTTCATAAATTTGAATTTTTTGATGCTATAGGGGGTTTCACGTGCGCATTCATGCTACGTTTGGTCTGAAAATGTCCATTTCACATCTTTTTAAATCAGAACCAATTACATTTTCCAAATTTAGCCTCCAGCTGTTTATGTATTGTACATGAATTGTCATGATTTAGCAGTAAGTTGTAAGAAGCTTTGAATCTACGGAAATTTCCCATCAGAAAACACATTTGCCATTTGTTACATAGCAATGTGTCCACAGAAATTAAACCGTAGTAATAAATTATAACTTATAATAATTTTATAATAAATCAATAAATAATATATAATAATTAAATATCATACGAAACCATAACATGTATATATCATGATGCTGACCAGTTTCTGTTTACTAGGAATGGACATTGTGTGTGAGGAGGGCGCGCGGTGGAAGCAAGGGTGCAACTGGTGCAGCTGTGTGGGCGGGAGAGCTGCGTGTACAGAGATGGCCTGTTTTGATGGTACGTCCTGGGGCCACACTTTCAAAACTCGCTAAGTGAACGTAAGTACTTACGCTCTATTTTCTTGTCTATGATTGGTGGATTTTGCTTGAAAAGCCGTCAATGATTGACTGATGAACTTACGATCTCTTAACTTTTTTTGAAAGTATGGGCCCTGGTAACTTGTGATTCTCGCTACTAGCATGATAAATTACCATGTTGATAAGCTACTTTGGTGACAGATTACCATTTGGACAGGTTACCATTGTGATAAGTTACCATGATGATGTTACCTTTGTGATGTTACCACGATGATGTTACCTTAGTGACAGGTTACCGTTTTGATATGTTACCGTTTTGACGAGTTACCATGGTGATGTAACCTTGGTGATAGGTTTCCATGGTGATGTTGCACTGAAATGATGATGACATCATTTGATGTCATCATCATGGTATTTGATGACATCAAATACCATGATAACAGGGTATCAAGAGAAGCAAGTTAACATGGGCAACAGGTTTACTATGGTCCTATTCTCGATAATCTCATCAAATATCAATTCAATCAATTCATACCACATAAATGGCAGTTTTTCACAACATTAATTGCAGTAATCGCATTACTAATTTTTTTAAACATTTTCGCAGAGTGTTGGGAAAATGAAGCGCATTCAATATCTTGGCAGCCATTTTATATTAACTGCAATCCTGCTTTATGTCCCACGAAAACATCTTTTAAGTTGATTGATTTCACTTATGAAAGACGGAACTAAGTTATTGTTGATAATAATAAAAGCCTCATTAAAGCTTGTGCGTGAGCAACATATAACAATGGGACGAAAGAACCGGTTCCCTAACTTCTTGGAGAAAGTACTCTTTATGTTTCATAATAATTGTTATCCTAATTTCATTAAGCTTTGATCATGATAGCAATTACAATATTCATCCTCTCTGCTAAAAGTAAAAATAGCAACGCGTTTCTTCGAAAGCTCACCTTGTTTTTTTAAATCCGTTCCGACAATTCGCAACCGAATTGAAGCCTTTGCCTACGGATCCTCAACGCTATTAGTACACAATGGCCTTGGACCGAACAGCCCCTTCAGTAAAGAGAGGGTTAAATCAGCGAGGGTTAAATCAATTTCAATCAATCAATAAACAAATTAAAATCAGAGGGTTAAATCAATTGCTACTGAATTCAGCCCCAAATAACAAACTATTTTGGCAGATGTTCTGACTTCTCCCCTGCCTGGCGCGACGGTGCTGGAAGATGGTACTCTGGAAGGCACCCAATCAATCAATAAACAAATTAAAATCAGAGGGTTAAATCAATTGCTGCTGAATTCAGCCCCAAATATCATACAATTTTGGCAGATGTTCTGACTTCGCCTCTGCCTGGCGCGACGGTACTGGAAGACGGTACTCTGGAAGGCACTCCCGCCAGTGTGCAGTGCAAGTCTGGGTCCCGCTGGACGCACCAGTGCAACAAGTGCGAGTGCAATGACGACCAGACCTCTGTCTGCACCAACGACCCTGTCTGTGACCCTGAGAGTATGTCTTGAATACTTTATATTGTATCTTTAGGGAATAGTTACTGTATGGGATATTTACAGTATGGAGGCTTAAATCTAATCTACTAATTAACTACTGTACTGTATGGGATAGTTGCTGTATTGCTGCTTTCACAGTATGGAACGGTTGCTGTGCGTGATAGTTACTGTGTGGGATAGTTACTGTATGGAATAATTGCTGTATGGAATATTTACAGTATGGAATGGTTACTGTCTGGGATAGTTGCCGTATGGGATAGTTACTGTGTGGGATAGTTGCTGCAGGGAAAATTTACTAGCTATGCATGTGGCGCTGAAAATTTGCCTGAATTTCTTCTTTTGTAGATGCAAATAGTAGCTACTATCCCATTCGTGTATTTTTTTAAATCATCTTTGAGTTCGCTTCAGATTAGACGGATTTTTAGTATCGGAGAGGAGAGTAAACATGATTTGGGTTAGCGAAGAATTACTAGACTAAGTGAATTACTATTTTTTTAGTTATTTATTTTTCCTATGCTCTGAACTGCCTTTCTTACGGCCCATGACGTGGAATTCGACTTGTGATAATAAGAATTAAGCATTCAAAATTTACATGGGTTTTCAGAGTCTGAAGAAAATGATACATGTGAGGAAGGGGCCGAGTGGAAGCAGGACTGCAACGTGTGTCAGTGTGGGGGCGACGGCAGGCCTGTCTGCACCACCAGAAAGTGCTCCGGTAACAACTCTGCTTTAGCGTCAGCATGACGAATGACGTCTTCTTTTAAAATTCTATGCATGTAAATTTATCTTTCCTGCAATTAACAAATGAATTTATTCGCGTTTTATCACCAAGTAAATACTCAGTTGGATGTCTTGTACACTGATATCATAAAAATGTAAATTCGCTTAATTTACTGAAAAGCCATTATGTTCGAACGTAGCTTATGTTCGTATAGAGCAGCTTTCTAATAAATATTTCTCGGCTGCAAATCCTGCAATTCTAGATTAAATGTTCATTCCATATAAAAACTAACTTACAGCACTCTGATAAGCATGGACTTGGAAACTCACCTTTTAGTTAATTAAATTATACGAAGCTAACAGCGATTGATCTCGCATCAAAATGATACAAATGTCTTAAATGCGAGATGTTCCCACTTGATTAAATGAAACAAAAGCTTACGAGTAATCTAGATTTACACGGTTGGACGGATAATTTCGGTTCGTAAAATTATTAACCAATAAATAAGGCCTCGTGACACTTGCAGTCGCATGGTGCTAAGGATAACAAGGGTGCCACATTACACCGTGCAGTGCCACATTTTGCCGCGCGGTGCCACTTAACGCCACATGTTGTTATCACGGCACTTTATTTCGATCTGATTTGATCCCATTTAAACACTCCACATCTTTTATTAAATTAATTCTCTGTGCATGCCGCTTGTCAACTCTGCATGAAATTCATCTGGAGCCAAGTTGACTACTCAAACAAAAATTCGTCAGTCTTTGCAGCGCCTCTGTAGCATGATTGATACAATTATTATTGGGCCCGCCTAGTCTGTCTCTGCCGTTCCTTTCTTTTTTTCTAATTCGAGATGAATGTGTTCATAAAGTCACATAACTACTTAACTCGTTTTAGGTGGATTTTTAATGTTAATATATGTTTTTGCATAAAAATATAAATTATATTGGACTTGATTAATCAGTTGAATAAAGGCTCCTAAAAGTCAAACTACTAATTTAATAGTGAAAAATATGTATATTTTTAATCTAACGGTTAATCATTTTTCGGGTAATTAGCCAGCTTTTTTCAAATGTTTGATGCCACCTTCTTTTTTCGCCGCACATCGCTCTGAAAAAAATTTATTATACAAAGTAAGAAAGTGATGAACTCCAGTACTCTCGCTGACGATTTTATCTCCATTTAATCTTAAACATACATCTCGGTATAATATAGGGAGCCATCTTGCTCCAGTTCGCTTTTTTTTCAACTGAGGCCTCTAGCTCCAGTTGTATTTTCTTCAATATTGTCTCCCCTTTTTCTAGTGAGTTGTAGCATCTTGCACCATTTGAATCTCAATAATCAAGCACGTATTTTTTTATCGAATTAATTAATTAGAGCCTCTTTCACAACACGAGTACTATTTGATTGAGCATCCTCCACTTGAATTCTTGCATTACATGAAACTCTTCTGCGTATTGCTGCTTGAATTTTGAATTACCCCTTCAATTGCAGCATGTATTACGAATTAATAATTTACTATAATTTGTGTAGGAAAATTGTTTAGAGTATTGGTAATTTCACGCAAAATGGAATTTAACCCTTTAGACATTTCCTGAGTATTTTTACCGTGACGTATATGATTTATTTTGGTGTATGATACTTTCCTACGTAGAATAAATATTAAATTTGTAGATAGCAAGATTTGATTCATTATATCAACCACACAGCAAATCCTAGTATTATTAATTTGTAATATTATAGAGTTCAACTTACAACTATTCAATCTGCCTTTCTCAGTAAATACGCTTGTAAATTATGTGTACAGAATTCAAACGCCAAACTTCTAATAAATTCGTACCATAATAAACTGAACCATATTCTTAAGTTTTTCAGTTTATCCATTCATATAACTTTATATATATAAATATATATATAAATATATTATATTTATATATATAACTTTATAACTTCATATTCAATAGTCTATCCATTCGTATAACTTTAGGTGTCGGCTCCAGTACTCAATTTCTTTTGGGACAAATTCATAATTCGATTGTAATTTATTTTGTCTTGATCGTAGCCCATTTGTTGAAGTAATACCATGTACCGCAATTGGCGATTTTTAGTAATGTCCAGGATAAAAGTTTCGAATAGATTTTGTTCGAGAAATTATTATTTATTTATTCATTTATTATTTTCATTTGTCACGGTTTTATTGGGTCTCTACGACAATTATTGCCAACGATAATAATTTATTTTCTAAATTATTTCTAGTGCTCATCGCTATGAAATTCAATATTACAGGAGTTGCAATGAAATTTTTTCTTAAATAGGGAAAAAAAATTTAGTATGCATCACGATTATTACCGGAATGGGTAGCTCTAAATTCAAGCTTAAATTGACACGTCTATTTCGGAATCCAGGCAATCAATGACACAATATATGGAAGTAATTATAGCCTAAAACGCCCTGTAGAGTAAATAGTATAAAAATTTCTAGATATCCAATGATTGGCTGTACGAGTCTCCTATATCAACGAGCAACACCAAAGCAACACGTCAGCAGACAACTTTTCCGGTCGTAAAAGTTGTCTGTTAGTGCCTAGCCTGAAGTTTTTCAATGCTTTGTTAATTGCTTGAATGGGTTTTCAACTTACATTGGCAAAATTACAGAACAATACTCAGCCGAAGAGAAATCTCGTCAATACGCTTGAATGAACTTAAAAAAAATTTCATTGTCTGAAACGTTTTTTCTTGGAACCGAATATTGATATTCGAATTAAAATATTTTTTCTCGGACGTTATTTTCACCAGGATATTAAAATGAACCTAAACTCGTTCGGAAGACATTTTACAGTTATACTGTCGATGCTTATTCAGTGAATAAATGTAATAGCAAAGCCTTCAACAACCCCAGACATATTAAGCTCAAAATCGTATGGTAAATGCGATCGTCATTGACGTAAAAGGATAAATAAAACTTGATAAATGAGCACAAAATAAGAAACAAATTACACACATAAGATAGCAGCTATTTCTTAGCCCAATTATTTCGTGTAATTCCTCACTTAAATTGGTTGCAACGCGAATCATTCAGCTTGGAGCCTCTCCGTACGGTAGAGTTACCAAACAAGTTCTTTCTTCTTAAATTTTCCCCATCTAGGTATCTTTTACATAATAAACTTCAAGTTCAGTAATTCAATTTATTGTACGTTACAGGAAGCGAAGTCACGACCCTCGAATCATACGAGGAGTGCCGGCCGGGCTCGTCATTCCGCGAGGCCTGCAACTTCTGCCGCTGCTCCAACAAGGGCCTTAAGCTCTGCACCAAGATGTTCTGTCTGCCTGGTTAGTCTTTGTAGTGAACAATATTAATACAATTAATATTGTGCCGGCCTCGTCAGTCTTTGCAGCGCCACCGAAACATGATCGACACAATTAATATCGTTCTCGTCTGGTCAGTCTTTGCCGTGCCGCATTAGCATGATTGAGACAATTAATATAGTATGGTAAACTCTTCTTGGATTTAGGCGAGATCTCTAAGTTCCATAACGCATCATTCTCCGTTTGTTACTGAAAGCATGAATGGAAGAAGTGGTCGCTTCAGCTAATATTCAGAAGTTAGTCTTTTCTAATCCAAGTAAGAACAGCTGAATTAGAGGAGTTCGATAACGTGCTTGACACCAATTTGTTTCGTAAGTTTCGGCAGGAAAGTGCTTTTAATTTTAAGGGGAACGTCTACCCTAAAATTGAAAATTTTTACTTTTTCGGTTTTCATACTAATTTTAAAGCTGACATTCTGCCCTATCCAACGGTACCACTGCCATCTCTCACTACAAATATAGTGTTTTTGTGAGGTCTGACTCAGTGTGCCTCTGGGCTTTGTAGGGAGAGATGCGCATGTAGTTGCTCCCATCATCCTTGAGTGTAATCAAGCTCCAGAAACGTTTAGTTTGGTATCTATGCTACATTGAACGCATATTGTGGTGTGCGCGGGACTTTGTCGCGTTCTCCTCAACATTCACACTTACTGTCACGGAAAACCTATCTCCTCCTAGAGTTTTAAAGCTACAACAATGAGACATATACCATTCGATTCGCAAAGAATAGATCTACAAAACGACGTAGCCGTTTTTTTCAATTTCGTCATAGTTTGAATTTTATTCTTGAAAAAGGGGGGTGGAAAGGGGTAAAATCGAAAAAATTCCGAAAACTTTACGAAAAATGCTCCCACACCCGCAAAAATTAGAAATTTCAAAAAACGGGTAAGTCGTTTTATAGATAAAGATTTTACGCATCGAATGATATGTGTCTCGATGTCGTAGCTTGAAAATCCTAGGAGGAGATTTCAAAAGTACCCCCTTTTTTGACCGTTTTCTATGAATTTCACGTTTTCTTTCATTTTTTTCGAAAAATTTACAGGAACAAAATGTGAGTTTTTTTCCATTTTACATATGTGTACCAAGTTTCAGAGTGATCCGTTTGTAAATAGCCGAGATAATTTTTGGGGTAGACGCTCCCCTTAAACACTTCAATTGATGCTCATTCAGAAAAATTAATGATTCATATTGTCCGATTATAGACTCACTTTTTACCCGTAGCACTGATACAACGTATTGCTGTGCCAAAATGGGTTAGGATGACCCTCACACGGGCAAAAAGTGCTTCGGTATTTGGATGAACTCTCGTTCATTTCTCTGGGTGGCAATATCGGAACGCTCACAACCTTTGCGAACCCTGCCTCGATTAAAAAATATAACTCGGTACTCACTGCAGTGAGTGATAGAGAGCGTATTTTCTCGTCGACGCAAACGTGAAGTCACGGACAGACAGACAGACGGACGGACATGACGAGCGCAATAGCGCCTTTTTTCCAAAAATGAGAAAATGCGCCTAAAAGGATTTAGCATAGTCTAAATTTTCTTGCAGATTACAAAATTGTAGGCCCGCAGTGCAGCAACGGCTCTGTCTTCCTAGACGCCAACAACTGCAACTGGTGTCACTGCGTCGACGACAGCATCACCTGCGCTGTGGGACGAAGCTGCGGTCAGTCTTGAGGCTTCGTCGTCACTTGGATTATTGTAATTAGGTCATAATTACAGTAATTGGGTCATAATTACTGTAATTATGTCATAGTTAGAATAATTAGGTCAAAATTATTGTAATTAAGTCATAATTACTGTAATTAAGTCATAATTAATGTAATTAGGTCATAATTACTGTAATTAGGTCATCATTACTGTAATTAAGTCATAATTACTGTAATTAAGTCATAATTACTGCAATAAGGTCATAATTACTGTAATTAGGGCATAATTACTGCAATTAGGTCATAATTACTGCAATTAGGTCATAATTACTGTAATTAGGCCATAATTACTGCAATTAAGTCATAATTACTGCAATTAAGTCATAATTACTGCAATTAAGCCATAATTACTGCAATTAAGTCATAATTACTGTAATTAGGTCATAATTACTGCAATTAGGTCATAATTACTGCAATTAGGTCGTACCTTACTTAAAATCATAAGTGCTACATCTTTAGCATGTAACTAAAATACATTAATATGAGCCTAGCCACAACAAGATTCTTATTACAATTTTTCTCATTTTAGCTTAACGTGCTGTTAGTCTGAATTCGTATTGCAGCAACATACGTAACTGCAACGTATCTGGATCGAGAGGAGCTTACTGGAGCTTTGGGAAAAGAGCAAATCCAAAGCCTCTGATTGGTCAGTTAGCCAGATGGTTTTGATAATACGCTTTTAGCTAAGTCTTACATACGAAAGTTTTGATAATGCCAAAATTAGGGTGTACTTACGTAACACACAACTTTTTTGTCGTAGGTACAAAAAGTTACGAAGTTTTGATAATCTGGCCCCTGTTGTACAGCCCGGAGGCGCAAAGCAGCTACAACTCCGACGCGCGCGGTACCGGCGATCGCCGCCGTGACGCGCGGCCGTACGCCGGTGCCGGCGCCCTCCGACGAGCAGTGCGTCGACGGCACATCGTGAGTCTTGAGCCTTAGCTGCACCCATGAAAAATAATAATAACTATAATAATTATATTATTATTATTATCATTAGATTATTACTATAATAATAATCCAAATAAGTTACACTGTCTGCACTCGCTTATGACGAGGTAAACAATATTTAACTATTTCAGCCTTTATGTTTCTTCAATATTTTAATATCAATGAGAAACCCCTTAATAATAGCGGTTTCAGCGTTTATTAGGCCGTAGGCCTGTCGCCGATTCTTAACATCGCAGAATATTCACAGCTTTTTGCGGTCTCGAGCTCGCAACTCACTGCTACAATTTTGCTGTGCTTAACCACCCGGCCTCCTTGCCGATTCTGACCAGAAACTGGCGCACAGAGCTGGGATCGAACCCGCGCCTCTCTGCGCCAATCTTGATACTCTGAACTGTAACCACTGGGCCACCCTGCCCATGTAACCACTGGGCCACCCTGCCCATGTAACCACTGGGCCGCCCTGCCCATGTAACCACTGGGCCACCCTGCCCATGTAACCACTGGGCCACCCAGCCCATGTAACCACTGGGCCACCCTGCCCATGTAACCACTGGGCCACCCTGCCCCAAAAATATCAATGATCAACCCCACGACCCACAGATGGCTGCAGGACTGCCCACTGGGCCACCCTGCCCCAAAAATATCAATGATCAACCCCACGACCCACAGATGGCTGCAGGACTGCAACAGGTGTCGCTGCATCGCTGGAGTAGTGGCCTGCGACCGACGCGCCTGCCTCCCCTCCCCTCGACGTGACGAGCGACCCTCGTCCTTTGCTGCCGCGCCCGACACAAGCCGCTGCTACAAGCCTGCTGACTCAGGGCCTTGCTTCGCTTCGTTTAGGAGATTCAGGTGAACAATTTTGTCCTTAATTTCCTACTTGGTAGACCATTATTGTCAATTAATCCTTTGCCGCGGTGCCCGACACAAGCCGCTGCTACAAGCCTGCTGACTCGGGGCTTTGCTTCGCCTCGTTTAGGCGATTCAGGTGAACAATTTTGTCCATTATTGGCTTCAGGGTACCCCGTATACCATTATTGACAATTAAATGAAATGCAACGTTACTCATAATTCGGTTAAATCGTGGATAGCATGCGCTATTAAATTTAGGTATGGCGTTACTTGTGGTGACATAGATTGTTTCGAGCTGTGTTTCTTGGCAATCTTATTTTTTTTTTGTGATTCTTAAGGCATGATAATTTCTTAATGGTTTGACAATGCATGTTGTGTAAAACGTGGCGTTCTATCGAATTTCGCAGGTGATTTAAAGAGTCACTTTTTCATTATTTTTTTTACAAAACTTCGCTCAATTACAATCTAGAATTCAATGAACATCTTACTTTATTGTAATTACTTAGCATCATATTTCAAAGCTAATTTTTAAAGCGTCATATTTTCTTTATATTTCTTCCAAAACTTCGCTCAATTACAATCTTGAATTCAATTTACATCTTTCGTTATTGTTATTACTCTTCAGCATATGTTGAAGAACTTTTGAAGCGTCATATTTTCATTATTTTTCTTACATAACTTCGCTCAATTACAATCTTTAATTCAATTGACATCTTTCGTTATTGTTATTATTCTTCACCATATGTTGTAGCCAACTTTTAAATCGTCATATTTTCATTGTTTTTTAACAAAACTTCGCTCAATTACCATCTTGAATTCAATTAACATCTTCCGTTATTGTTGTTAATGGTTGACAATGGTATTGTTGTTAATGGTTAATGGTTGACATCATATATTAAAGCTAATTTCAATCTCTGCCGTTGCAATGGCAGGTTCAACGCAGAAAACAACCGCTGCGAGGCGTTCCTGTACGGCGGCTGCGCGGGCAACGACAACAATTTCGAGTCCGCGAGCGAGTGCCAGCGCACCTGTGGGGGCGATGCTCCTGTGCTAGGTAAATATTTTCACAATATATTAATTATTTTCAAGCAATTTTAATTAATATCTAAAAAGCAAATATTATCTATTTTAGGATGGAGGCGATGCTCCTGTGCTAGGTAAATATTTTTACAGTACAGCAATTATTTTAAAGCAATATTAATTAAATATCTAACATGAAAATATTATTTATTTTTAGCAACAAATTCATTCAATTACTTTCTATAATAGCGCATAAGCTAATTTAATGTCAATCTAAACGGATCAAATTTAAATCTTCATAGCGAATTATTCATGCTCCCATTATTATATGGATTTACAAATTTAATTCTTCATGGCCGAATTATTCGTGCTCGTATCATTATATAAAATTACAAATTTAAGTCTTCATAGCGAATTATTCGTGCTCGTATTATTATATAAAATTTAAGTCTTCATAGCGAATTATTCGTGCTCGTATCATTATAAAAAATTTAAGTCTTCATAGCGAATTATTCGTGCTCGTATCATTATATAAAATTACTCCTTCTCGTATAGACGCAACGTGCGACAGAAAAAGATGCCCGAACCACCGCGAGGTTGCCTACATGGCCGTCCGTGGCTGCGTGCCTGAGTACAAGGATGGCAGTTGCTGCCCTACCAATTTCAAGTGTTCTGGTGAGTCATTCACTCGTATCCTTGGTAAAGGCCCATACATATCATGACCCTTATATACCTAGTATGTTCACGTACTCTAGTTAGTTTCTCTCTCTCGCCTGTAGTATCCTGAGTAAAGGCCCATATATTTTTCACAACCCTTAAATCCCTAGCATATTCACGTACTCTGGTCAGTCATTCACTCGTATCCTGAGTAATGGCCCATATATATCATGACCCTTATATACCTAGTATGTTCACGTATTCTGGTTAGTTTCTCTCTCGTCTGTAGTATCCTGAGTAAAAAAAAAACATATATATTTCATAACCCCTATATCCCTAGCATATTCACGTACTCTGGTCAGTCATTCACTCGCATCCTGAGTAAAGGTCCATATATATCATGACCCATATATCCCTAGCATATTCACGTGGCCTGGTCAGTCTGTCTCTCGCCCGTAGTATTCTGGGTAATGGCCCGTGTATGTATATCATGACAATTTTATCCCTAGTCATCTCAGAACACGGTTGTACTTACCACGGAAAAGTGTTACACAGTTTGAAAAACGTGTTTTTGAGACATGATTTCTAAAATATAGAATAAAAATGTATAGCCACTCTTTGAATACAAATTAATTCGATATGCATACATATTCAATCTGCTTGTCAATTTCGAATCTGCTTACGCTTATGCTTCTTGTCGACAGATTTTAATTTGAAACAAGGCAGATGAATTCTAATTTGATTTTTGTGAAGTTTGCAAGTCATTCATATGTATAGGCGAGCTTGAGATTCAGGCGTTGGTGTGTTTACTGGTATATTTTATGACATGGTATTTCGTCGATTTAATCTAATCTAACAAGACGTTCTTTGACGAATCGGATGTTGCGGTGAATATTAAATTATGTTGTTCAATGTCAAATATCATCAACGATAAATGTATCAAAGGACCATACCCAGCCTTTCATATACACTACTTTGATATCTATGCACATAAATTCAATATTCGTAGGTAAACTTCACATAAATTGAAATCTATGACCGCATCTTTATGTTATTAAATGTTATGATCCACTCCTCTTCACGGTTTGAAATTAATGCTTGAACCAAGAGATTTTTATTCCATAGTGCATGGATATTTTTTTGCGCTTAGTATTGTGTAATATAAAGGTTTGGCCCTCCTAAATGACTATTAAACACTTCCTAACTTCATAATCTGTACGAAACTAATATCGGTGCCGTAAAACTTGATGAATGTCAACTGTGAATAATGTTTCTCTTTATTGCAATACGTTTTCTACCGTATTATAATATACAGCATACCTAAACTAATATCAGTGCAGCAAAATTTTATTAATGTCAGCTGTGAGTAATGATTCTCTTTATCGCAATATGTTTTCTACCTTATTTTCGTATTAACATACAGCATACCTACCTAATATTAAGATATAAGTAAATCTTCATTACTATCGCAATATGTTTTCTACCCAATTTTATATTAATATATATCGTACCTAATATCAAGATATAAATAAATCTTCATTACGCATCACAGAGATTCCATCTACCGTATTTTAATATACAGCATTTACGGCACGGATATCAAGAAATAAATAAATCTTCATTACGCATCACAGAGATTCCATCTACCGTATTTTAATATACAGCATACCTAATATCAAGATATAAATAAATCTTCATTACGTATCACAGAGATTCCATCTACCGTATTTTAATATACAGCATACCTAATATCAAGATATAAATAAATCTTCATTACGTATCAGAGATTCCATCAACCGTATTTTAATATACAGCATACCTAATATTAAGATATAAATCATTACGCATCACAGAGATTCCCAGCAGTGGCGAGAAAGGCTGTGTCTACGAAGGCAAGACGTACGACCTCGGCGCCGACGTACCCGTCAGAGATCCCTGCTCGAGATGCCGGTGTTCACGAGGAATTTCCGAGTTAGTGAGAATACGACGCATTAATTATCAGGGAAATTTTTAAATAAAATGCAATTTTCACCCTGATCAATTTTATGGTCATCTTCCATTTTTAATATTGCAGTTGTATTCAATAATTCACTCAAATATATTAATAGGTTAATAAGTAAATATAAATTAACTCAAACATATTCGAAAATTCGCAATCAAAGAGAAATTTTTGTCCAGGCTATGCCCACTGACACAAATTAAATAAAATTAGTTGATCCAAAGATTTAAACTCGGCTAAAAAGTTTCTTAAGAACAATGTATTGATGCATGGACGTTATAATTAATATTTTATTATTCTATACTTTAATTTGGATTCTATCACTTCTTTTCTTTCTTGTATTAATTCCCGCGCTACATCTTCACAAACTATTTTAGCTTCGGTTTAAAATTGATCTTTGAGAAATATTTTTATTCAAGTCAGTGTTTCAATATTTGAATTTAATAAACTTAATAACGAAAAAACTTCTCACATCCTTGATTGTAACAGATTCAGCTGCAGATTATGCATCTTCAATAAATAGTTTGGTTTAACGCAGAAAATCTTTTTTTTTTCAAATCACACTGCAAATTATATCGATCCTTTTTATCGCATTTTCTCATTTATGGAAAAAAATGCACTATTGTGCTCGCCATGTCCGCCCTGTCTGTCTGTCCGTCCGTCCGTCCGTGACCTCAAGTTTTGGTCGACGATAAAATGCGCTCTCTGTCACTCCCTGCAGTGGGTACTGAGTTATATTTTTTTATAATACTTAACTTAGCAATTGTGTCACTGGCCCGCAGCGCTGAGCTGATCTGCGTCTCGGTGGAGTGTCCCTCTCTCTTCCAAGCCCCTGATCCTTTCTGCCGACAACTCTTCAGGCTTGACCAGTGCTGCTCCTATGACAAGGAATGCGGTCAGTGTTGCGCCTTAAATAGACTATATACTCAATAGACTATATACTCAATAGATTAAATACTTAATAGACTGTACACTCAATAGATTAAATACTTAATAGACCGTATACTCAATAGATTGAGTACTCATTAGACTATATACTCATTAGGCTATATACTCAATAGGCTATATACTCAATAGACTATATACTCAATAGGCTATATACTCAATAGACTATATAATCAATAGACTATTTACTCAATTGACTATATACTCAATAGTCTATATACTCAATAGCGAAAATAGATTATGTACTAATAGACTACATACTCAATAGATTAAATACTCAATAGACTATTTACTCAATAGACTATATACGCAATAGACTATATACTCAATTGACTATATATTCAATTTTTCAGTTTATAAGCCAGCACTGTTCGTTTTGAGATCAAAAATGCTACCCCAGCAGATAGGATATTAGCTAAGCTTGTATACCGGGCCTACGATCAGGATATCAAAATTTTTTTATGAATATCAATGGATGGTGTTCCTTAAGTCAGATGTAATTTTCAACATTTGGAGGAAAGGCAACCCTTACCAGGTGTATGTTTATTAATGATTTTTTAAGTGGATTTACATGGATCATACCTACACTTTTTCTACTTTTTCGTCAAAACAGAGCAACGCTGAATGTCTTTCGCTTTAAATTACCTGAACATGTTTCCATGAGATAATGTACACACTCCTCTGAAAAATTATCGCCATGAGATCTCAGCAGCTGTTCGTGCCGAATTATTTTCTTCATCTGTTCAAATTCTCATCGGTATTTTAATAGTACATGATTTAAACTGAAATGAAATACGAGTGAAAAGAGTACATGATATAATCTGAAATACGAGTGATTTATTTACAACATGTGTATTTACATACCGTTATTCTCAATTAATCCTAACTCTTGTGATTATATAGATAAGTTCAATGTTTCATCCGATTTCAGTGTCACCAGTTCCCGGCGCTATGTGTATTTACATACCATTATTATCAATTAATCATAACTCTTGTGATGATATAGATTAGTTCAATGTTTCATCCGACTTCAGTGTCACAGTTCCCGGCGCTATGTGTATTTACATACCATTTTCCTCAATTAACCCTAACTCTTGCGGTGATATAGATTAGTTCAATGTTTTATCCGACTACAGTGTCACCAGTTCCCGGCGCCATGGAACCCCCTCCAAGAACTGACGGTGTCACCTGCTCGTCTGAGGGCCGTACGTACCAAGAGGGCGACAAGATGTATTTCGACACGGCGCCCTGTCAACGCTGTGTGTGCGCCCGCAACTACACCAGTCCCTACGGCGATAACTGCACCCCTGTTGACTGCGGCTATGATACGCGGTTAGAATAGAATAGAATAGACTAGAATAGAACAGCATAGAATACAATAGAATAGAAGTGTCGGCGTTGAAGGAATAGGCCCATGGCCTGTTGCTAATTCTTGAATTTTTCGTGACTTGATTCACAAGGGATCCGGCCTTTGGAACCCGATCTTTCTATAGCTGACGATTGATTGAGATAGCTGCTGGACTTATTGCCTGGTCCGTATTTGCTAGGCATTTTAAGACTGAACATATGCTCCTGCATAGCTTCGTTAGCCGCTTGATACGCGGTTAGCCATCGCTTGCTCTATAGTGTATTTTAGATTTAGAAATGCTTGGTTTAACACCTGATAAAAAGAATAGATTTAGCAGAAATAATGAATTCCACGTCTCTGTTATTCCTAATCTGTAGTTTATAAATAAATGGTACAATAGAAATGATAAACTTGAATTTATAATAAATCTCTCACTGAAGCATGCTCATTTGCTTCTCCTTAATCCCCAAATTCTTTTAAAATTGTTTTATGTGATTATTTTTTGTTGCAACTATCAAGGACTATTAACTTATTTTTTATATTAAGTTTTTGTTGCAACTATTATGGACGATATTGAATGGAATACACGTTTTTGCACCACTCTGTTAATAAGAAAGCATTTCCACTTCAAATCACATGAACATCTCTACACTCATATTTCCACTCTGTCACTATAGGAGCGTGAAGCGGATCCGCAGCGGCTGCGTGCCGCTGTACTACAAGGAGAGGTGCTGCCCTATCACTTACATCTGCTGTGAGTACCGCATGTAGCCTACATAATAACTTTATTATCCTATATCTTTTTAGCGCATTTTCTCATTTATGGGAAAGAGGCATTATTGTGCTCGTCATGTCCGTCCGTGACGTCAGTCTGTGACTTCACGTCACGGACGGACGAAAAAATGCAATCTGTCACTCACTGCAGTGAGTACCAAGCTATATTTTTTTCAAACAATCTATAGTTACACTAAATATCCTGACAAATGTTTAAATTGACTGACACAATGTTGCAAATATTTATTAAAGATTTTTGAAAAGCGTATCAATTAAACGCTGCGAGTTCTAAGTGCCTTCTAGTAGGTTCTTATTCACATCCTAAACGCATTCTTTTTCAATTCTTCGCGTATTTTGCAATAAATTACCGTTCACTACAGGTTAGCATATTTCTTACATCGTAATGAAATGAAAAGTACCGTTAATTTGTAGAGTTGCAACGGGTTATGGATCGGCGAGCGTTTTAATAGAGGCATCCTATACACTGTTATAAAAAACGGTGAAAAAACGGTCCCACTGGCGTTCTAGTGGCCGGTCGCCCCGTGAAAATAAACTATTTCGCCATTTTTATCAGAGGTTTTAGGGATTTTTAGTGTTAAATTAGAATAAAAACGGCAACACGGTGTTTTATTTCACGTGCTGACCGGCCGCTGAAACGCCGGTAATACCGTTAACGGTAATTTTTCTAACAGTGTAGGACGAATTAACTAACAAGAAAGCTGTAGAAAAAATTCTTTAATACGAAAAATTATTAACGTTTGCCTTGTCTTTACAGTGGGTGACAAGCGTATCGCCTCTGACCAGTCGCAGGCCAATCCTGACGGTGAGTTATTTATTAAATGAATTAAGATGAATTATTTGATAAAGTAATAGAATATCGGACACCTAACTCGATGTTACTTAAAAATATATCTTTCTTCGCTTGAACCCACGTTGTGGTATACTTTTGTATCGGTAACCCGTTTCATGATATCGTTAATGAGCTTGGTTTTACGAGAACGGTGAGTGCAGTTCAATTAATCAACGAAAATGTTAGTAAATAGCGGTTTGTAAGACCCGTGAGCCCAGTATATAACAACACTGAAAATAAATGTTCTTGAATAATGGCTAGTGAGAACAGTGAACGCAGTTTATAACGATAATACTGGTGAGAAATGTTCGTCAAGAACGCGAAGCTTGATTTTATTTTTGCAGATTCTATAGCAGCTCAACTTCTGACGTAGCGATCACAGTTCAAGTAGTATAGTAATATGGATAGGACAAACGAGGAAATTGTTAACAAAACAGATTATTTACGAAAAACTTTTGTCCCACGAAGTACGCCATGACAAGTGATTTGACAATTCAAAAACCCATTAATCAATTTTAAAAGCTTTCATTACAAGTGCCCCAATTAAGACCCCAGGCTACTGATAACCGAATTTTCCTCGCAGGCGTGACCGAAGATGTGTGCGAGTTCGGCGGCGTCATCGTGGCCAGAGGACGACAGCTTGCAACCACCGAGACCAAGATCAAGTGTACGTGTCAAACTCCTCCCTCCGTCACTTGTGTTCAGGACCAAAACTGAATCAGCCACTTATTACCAAGAGATGCATTGACCACAGCTGCTTAGGTGCCAGGGCCTATACTTTCAAAAAAGTTAAGAGATCGTAAGTTCATCAGCCAATCATTGATGACCTCTCAAGCAAAATCCACCAATCATAGGCAAGAAAATAGAGCGTAAGTACTTACGTTCGCTTAGCGAATTTTGAAAGTATGGCACCAGGATGACAATATCTATAGCATTCAAATGGTTGAAGTTGGCACCAGGGCTGATATGAGAATTAATTTGCTGGTCTACGGCTGCGCACCCTTACGAACATTCTGATGAATTTCTTAAAACCCCAGTCTTTACCCTGGACGAATCTGTACGCTCTCTGAGACTCTGTTGGAACACAAAAAAAAACATTTAGAACATGATTTTCTCTATACGAGGGCCAATCTGAGAAACAAATTTTAAAGTATAAAGGCTAAGATTATGCTGATAATTTGTCCATAAGGACTATTGATTCTATTGAATTTTACGTTGCTATCTTTTTGGGATACCCAAGGAAAAACTAATACTAGTAACAAATAACTATTGCATTATTTGAAACGTGGAGAAACCGATTGTTCGTAAAAACTCTGGTCTTATATAATTATTCATGAGAAAGGTCTTCGTTTAATTTAGATCATCGTACTGGAACCCCAAAATGTTTAAAAAAAGAAAACGACGAATACCTGGGCAATTGGCTTAGCTACACTGCATTCACCAACTCGTGCACTAAATAATTTCATGCATGGGCCATGCAAGGTTGCAAACGATCCTCAAGATTGCTCGGGAATCGTAAAAATTTTTTCAGTATTTGTTATAGCAAACATGCCCATTGATTTCTCTATATCCTTGACCGTAATTGACGATCGCCTGAATCTGATACTTCGTAGCTAATTTGATTAAGCATTTCTTCTGAGTTGCTCTCTCTCTTCCTTTACATTATAAATGTTATGGGGTTAAACCTAGAAGTGACAATTTTTTTTAGTGCAAGTGTGTTGTTAATTTGTTTCTATGAGCGTTTTTTATTTCAATTCGATTATCCTAATAATTACATATGTTGACAATTCGACTTGGAAATTAGATTTATTTGTGTGAGGATTCATATTTCCCTGTTTCCTTACAAAGTGAGACTCTCTAGATTCTTTATTTTTTTTTTAATTTCACCGATAATGATTAAATTTTTCTTATGTTGAATAAATTTGTTTCCGGTGTGCTGCCGATATTTGTACCATTCGAGTTCATCGGTCAATATTTCATGTGGGAAAAATATTTTGAATCTTTGTTCTCTATAAGCTAATAATTGACATCGATAGTACACATTTTTCCATTTGTGTTCTTTTATTCTAAAGAATTTTATAGTTTCATGGATAAACTTGAGATATCAGAAACGGTTCGAAAAAATTTACGAGCGAAAATCGTATAAATTGTTTGACTTGGACCTCATGAATAGAAGTGTCGGCGTTGAAGAAATAGGCCCATGGCCTGTTGCCGATTCTTGAACTGTTCGTGACTTGATTCACAAGGGACCCGGCCTTTGGAACCCGATCTTTCCATAGCTGACGATTGATTGAGATAGCTGCTGGACTTATTGCCTGGTCCGTAATTTGCTAGGCAATAATTTGCTATCCGTAACTGAGCATATGCTCCTGCATAGCTTCGTCTAGTCTGTTTTTGAAGATGTTCATACTCGGACTCATAGAAGCTTAGTTAGGCCTCTCTAAGGCTTGTTCACCGCTCTATTCTGTTGAGGCATCCTCCATTCGGAGCATTCCAATAGGTTAATGTTCATGGAAAATCATAATGTCGTACCGAAGCATCCCTTAGGCATAATCAGAGTGAAGACACGGCAAAATCTTAGTTATACCGCTAAATAGGTAGAGCAATTTTACGCACAAAAACGTAAATGTCTCAAGCTTGTCAGAGACGCCCGGACTGCTATTTATCCTCCAATAGTCGTCAATGGAGCTTTTCACAGCTTTTATAGATCGCGAAGTGACAAAGGCAGCATGCAAGTTGCGCCAAGCTGAAAAGATTCTTCCAGAGGAAATTTTTTCTCTGATGTTGAGCCTATACTTCTGCATCTGTAGCTTGATGGCGTTTCATATCTCTGTTCGATGGCTGTCGTCATTTGCGTTCCTTGAACACATCACCACGCTCGCGCCTGTGCAAATGTTCAGGATACGGCTACTCTTCCACCTGAACTTGAAATTTGGCTGCTTTTCTATTGACATTCTCAATCATCACTGCAAATATTCGTTAGCTTATGATGACAAATTATAAAGCCACATTCTAGGATTGGGGATAATAAGCTTATGCAAAACTGAATGACGGCTCGTTCTGTTATGTGACCGAAAGTCATGCTTATGATGTCATGAATATATTTTTTTTTGCCGCACTAATTTTGAAATACAGGACGTAAATCGATCCCAATTTTGGGCCCTAAATCCCCTCATCACTCGCAGGTTTCACATCATCCCATTCTCCCTTGACGTTACAATTTGCATCTTCTTTCCGGGTCTATCTGACTGTCTCTTATTCTGTATATTTTAGACGATAAAATGTAGCGATCTAGCGGATCTACTTCTTTTGGTGGAACTTCAGCGGTCACATGTCTGATACCTCTGAACATAGTAGGATCCATATTGATGTCAGAACAACTTCGTGTAGTTGTCAAACATACGAACGATTGTCATCACTCTATTTGGTACAGTACGACTTTCGTCAGTCGTGAAAAGATCCGGTCAAATGACACGATATTAGATCTTCTGTGAACAAGGCATGAAAAGGAAAAGAATCGGCGACAGGCCACATCAGGCCTACACTTCAGCGCCGAGATCACTATGTTATGTTATTTGGAACGAGAAGAAAATTATATGCACCATGAGGCACCTATATCCATCATCCTTCTCGACGTTTGGGCGTTTGATCAGATGCTAGTTTGGTGCAGAGGATAAATACTGACGGCTTACATTTGCGAAAACAAACGCTGGAACGTAGCTACGTGGTCTGTCTGATTGGTGTAAAATTACTCCATGCTTTCAATGATATTTTCGAAAGAGATGGCTAGCGGTTGGCCGGAGCCAATCGCTGGCCAATAAAGTGGCCATTGATCGCCCACCCAAAAGCCACCCGCTTCATTTAACTACCTCTGAAACAGATATGTGTTGGTTGAGATAGCCAAATTGAAGGTACATAACGCCTAACACAGCAATGAGCTGGTTTTTCAGAGTTTCCTGATCATATTCCAAATAAAAATAAATACTTAAAAATTACAATTCTATTTATAGCCACAATGACATCACTTTCACTAGGCACATAATCCTATTTCGCTCAATACTTTCAATCAAATTGAAGGCCTATGAAGCATGTAAAGCCTCTGAAGGTTTAAAAAGACAAAAGAAATCACGAACATATATGATATAATATTTCTCCATGGGCACAGGGAATAGAATAGCCCTCCTTGGCATTGCTTTTGGACGTTAACTTTATATTCTCATTTCTTGCTACAATTATTCTAAACAATAATCATTAAAACTTGCAAAATGTTTATTTAATAGTTAAAAGAGCAACATGGGCATAATTAAACCAAATCAGGTTACCAGTGAGGCCTAAAAAGATTATAGGGAAAGACAATTATTGGTATAAATTGATGCAAATTAAATTCGATATAATGTATAAAGTGGGTGTAAGAGAGCAGCGCAAATGAGATAAATGCCGCCGTAGTATTTGTACCAATCTAATTTGACTCATCGCTCATAGGTACATCAGATTTTGACGTAACTATGGCGAATAATGAAATTCAGAAAGAAATTAAAATAATTGTTGTATGATAAACGGAAATAGCTATTCATTTTAATAGAATCCAACTTACGAATGTATCGTAACGGATTCTTTATTTCATTCTTTATTTTTCTGTACATGCGGAAGGAATTTGAGATTGCAACGCAGTTTTCCTGAAATTTTCACATGTGAGATGTCCCAGGTTTTGCAGTCAAGAGCTGCAGCAAGAACAGGAAGTAGGACGTAGGTGAATGGTTCAAGAATCAAAACATCGAAAACTGTTTTCGAATTTGATTTATCCTTAGAAGGTTTGCTCACACTTCAATGGCTGCATTCATTGCTGTGCATGTTGGTGAGTTAATTATCATGGATTAGTCCAGGATTACCAGCATTAGGCAAGTATTAATTATTGTTAATAAGTTATCACATATTGTTTTTGTTTAAACAATGTAATCTCCAAGAACGTGTCGTAATTTACAGGCCAGTGGCCTTTACTGGAAGAAATTGGATATTAGATGTATAAATAATAAAAAAATCATGTATTAATACACCTGTTCAAACAGTCAAACTCTGTTGCAGGCATGGATACATAGTGGCAAAGCAGAGAGTTTTTTAGACTCTCCCTCAAGTTCATTTTTGAGTCCTATAAGTAGACAAGTAAAGCATAGTGGCAAAGCAGAGAGTTTTTTAGACTCTCCCTCAAGTTCATTTTTGAGTCCTATAAGTAAACCAATAAAGTATCCTGGATACCAGCATTATCACACATAAGAAATTGGTTTAAATCTTGAGTAAATGAGGAAATTAAAAATGAACTGATTCTAAAAAAGCTCTGGTTTGCCACTATGGCATGGAATATATCTACTTGGCAACTAGTATGGAATATATCTACTTGGCGAGCCGCGACTGAATTTTTCCAGCCGTGGTTTTATGGATTTGCCAGTCATGATTCCATTTCTACGAGCCGTGATTCTATTTCACCGAGACGTGATTCCATTTCACCGAGCCGTGAATTCCATATCTCGGCCATGAAAAGCCATTTACGAGGTGCGAATGCGAATTTATTTACAAAGTTTATGCACGTGTTACCCCAAATCTCTAATTTTACCCTTATGACCGCATTGACTTGTGATCCCTTGTGAATCAAGTTACGAAAAGTACAAGAATCCTCAACAGGCCATGGGCCTATTTCTTCAGTGCCGACATTTTTCTATATAACAGTTACACTTTGTACATCGCGTTCACGCTTGCGTTCACGTCATATTTGCTTCTCGAGCAATACGACGGTTGAGTGGGTCGACAAACATGAACGTTGCTCCTGGTCCAGTAGCTTCTGTTCGATCGTGCATCTGGCTTCCGTATTTTCTTCTTGGCTTCGAACTTCGCGCGGATTTCGCTTTGCTGATTGCGCTGCGGAATTCGTCTTGAATTCATTATCAATTTTGTGCATCTTGCGGAATTAGTGCCAATTTTTCGCAGCCTAAGCCCTCTATGGAATTCATTAACAGGCGAACTAATCCATCTGAAGTCACGTTTTTTCCACTTAGGGTTGCATGCACGTGTTACCCCAAATAACTAATTTTACTCTAAAAACAGTCTGATTGTAGAGCAAGTGTCAACTGAACATGTAATAAAGCAGTCTGACCGCTCTAATGTGACCGAAACTATGCAATCAAAAAGACGTTGTTTAAATTTTTTGCAGGAACTCATCGCAACTGATTTCCGGACAAGCTTCGCTGCATCGTAATCCATCCAACATACCGGAAACCTTACTTTTTTTCTAAATAGTTGGCCGAAGACTGAGAAATATATTGAATGCAAGAATTTCAATCTAAATGTGTCGGCAAGATCTTCTAAAGGCAAAAATTTGGCTACTGAAGCGTCGCCAAAGAGCTTGCAATATTCATCCACTCTCTGCAATCTGCATAGTGGCATCTGATGACTGATGATAAGAAACATCTAAGAATTAATGAAATATCATGTAAATTTAAGTGATGTACAAATAAAAGTGAAAAAAAGCAAAAAATATTTTCTGTTAGCCTATTCAATTACATCCCAAAAATTGCCTTTTCTATTACTTTTTATAAACTATCATTTCTAGGTTTCCTATTATCCATTTTCAAAAATTTTAGCAACATTAGAAAGCTCTTGTAGGCTATATACATAGTGGTAAACCAGAGATTTTTTAGAATCAGTTCTTCTTTAATTTCCTTATTTACTCAATATTTAAACCAATTTCTTATGTATGATCATGCTGTTATCCATGATGCTTTACTGATCTACTTATAGTACTATAAATTGAATTTGAAGGAGAGTCTAAAAAACTCTCTGCTTTGCCACTATGCTTTCATGCATCAAAAAAGTCAAGGTGGATGCCACTGGATGCCAGTCGCCAATCATACTTCTCCATAAATCGCTATTTACGATCAATATGGCCAATGCATCATATTGATCTACACGGCACGATTGGAACTATGTGTCATAGTGCAAAGTTACAATGGTCACAGTGTGAGAGCTACATTTGAGCACCAAAGCATATGCGCTCATAGCCACCTAAACTTCTTGCTGTAGCACGCAGTTCTAATGGCTGTGAGATCCATTTGAGCATCCAAGCATACACACTCAGAGCCACCGGAACTACGCGCTGGAGCAAGCAGTTCTGGTGGCTGTGAGAGTGTATATTTGAGCACCCAAGCATACACACTCAGAGCCACCAGAACTACGCGCTGGAGCAAGCAGTTCTGGTGGCTGTGAGAGTGTACATTTGAGCACCCAAGCATACATGCTCAGATCCACCAGAACTACATGCTGTATTGAGCAGTTCTGATGGCTGTAAGAGTGTTTATTTGAGCACCCAAGCATGCTCACTTAGAGCCACTGGAACTATGTGCTGTAATGCGCAGTTTGGATGATTTTAAGAGCACAAATTTTGGCATCCATGTATACGCACTCAGATCTACCTAAACTACTTGATGTAGCATGCAGTTCTGAAAGTNATTAGATCGCGTTAGAACGCAACAGATTGCGTTAGAACAAAATTACAAGCCCAGTCACATAAGCTCATGGAGCCTAATGGAGGAAATGCAATACAGCTTCTGTTGTCTATGGCATGGAAGCATTTCTGGGGGATTTTAAAAGTGTTAGGTATAGAATGGAAAAAATAGTTTTTGGTAATGAAAAATAGATATACAGTAATATCATCAATAAAAAAAAGGAAAAGCAAGTACAAATCACAGAAAATGTCATTTATTCTACATCTACATCATTGACTAATGAAGAGGAGGACTCTGGAGTATACTGTTAGTAATGAATTGCATGCTTCAAACGTTTTAAATTAAGTTCTATTTCAAGTGTCCTGAATTACCCCATTCCCAAGATGTTACAAGACCAGGGTCTATGCTTTCAAAAAAAGTTAAGAGATTGTAAGTTCATCCGCCAATCATTGACGGCCTTTCAAGCCAAATCCGCCAATCATAGATAAGAAAATAGAGCGTAAGTACTTACGTTCACTTAGCGAGTTTTGAAAATATGGCCCCAGATCATTACCATATGCACTGTTTTATATGAATTTTTTTACAGGAGCAGGGGACCACAGTCGATCCAATCATCCCATCTACAAGTCCTGGATGAGGAAAGCTTGCAGAAAAGTAAAGTTTCAGTGAAGTTTCATTTATTATTTTTCCCAATATTGTTTGTTCTTAGTAGTGGTAGTTATACTGGCCTAAACTCCAAAGTGTGTGCTTGCATGAAAATGTAACAAAAATAAAATCAATTGCCATTCTCTTATCACTATAATAATTAAAGTCCCACAAGACAAATTTAGAACTTTGGATTGTAATAAACTTCTCCAAGACATGACTCAATTTTGTTGCTATGCACACACATTTGTGGCAGAAAGAAGCCAATGCTCTCAATTTATCTGAAAGGTACATTCTCTTATTCTCTAATACATATCTGAACGAACATATAATAATGAGCTCAAAAACAATTTAATTTAGTGGCTTTATTTTGACAGTAAGAAGTTTATGATCCAATTGCACTGTAAGAAGTATATATGTGTCACACAAGTCAAGGATTATGCTTTAATTTTTTTTTCATTCTCAGGGCCAGTTAATCCTGCAAGGTGGAGGCTCTGCTGTTGATGCAGTCTCGGCAGCCATCCAGGTGCTTGAGGCTTGTGAGCTCACCAACACTGGATATGGTTCTGCTCTCACTAATAGAGGTTAGTAATAGCAACTATTATGACATGGTAACTAACTATTAACTGAATTATTACATGGTAAATATTTGTCCTTTACCTCAAAATTTAAAGGCAAAAAATGCAGCACATTTCATTGAAAACAGTTCTGTGATCATCCAAATGCATGATAAGTTCTGTAATATCAGTTGAATATAATTCTTGCCATCCCACAAATTTTACCATTAAAATTGAAAATCAATGCCAAATATTCAAAAATAAAGTGATGTGAAAACAAGCAGTTGACAAATTTCATTATCAATAACGTGATTAGGATGTGAGCTGAAGATATTTTTTTAAATAGGCTTTTGTTCAAATATTTACCAGTTCTAAAATTCTCAATAATATACACTATCACCAAAAGTATCTAATAGCTAAAAATTCAAAATCTAATATCTGTTCCTGGGGCATTGTAGTGCTGGTCACAAATGTGTCTCTTGCAATCCCTTCCATCATGATAACTCTTGCTTTCTTTTCCATCTTAACTCTTGCTATCCCTTCCATCATAACTCTTGAAATTCCTTCCATCAAAACTTTTGAAATCCCTTCCATCATAAATTTTGCTATCCCTTCCATCATGACAACTCTTGCTATCCCTTCCATCATGACAACTCTTGCTATCCCTTCCATCATGACAACTCTTTCCATCCCTTCCATCATGACAACACTTTCCATCCCTTCCATCATGACAACTCTTGCTATCCCTTCCATCATAAATTTTGCTATCCCTTCCATCATCATAACTCTAGCTATCCCTTCAATCATGAAAACTCTTGCTATCCCTTCCATCATGAAATCTCTTGCTATCTCTTCCATCATGAAAACTCTTACTATCCCTTCCATCGTAACTTCTGCTATCCCTTCCATCATCCCTTCTATCATGACAACTCTTGCCATCCTTTCCATCATGACAACTCTTTCTATCCCTTTCATCATGACAACACTTTTATCCCTTCCATCATGATAACTCTTGTTATCCCTTCCATCCATCATGACAACTCTTGCTATCCCTTCCATCATGACAACTCTTTCCATCCCTTCCATCATGACAACACTTGCTATCCCTTCCATTATAATGAATCTTGCTATCCCTTCCATTATGATAACTCTTGCTATCCCTTCCCTCATGACAACACTTGCTATCCCATCCATCATGACAACTCTTTCCATCCCTTCCCTCATGATAGTTTTTCCTCAAGGTACTGTTGAGTGCGATGCCGGTATCATGGAGAGCAGCGGTCTACGTCACGGTGCGGTGGGCGCCGTGTCTGGTATCCAGCACCCTATCTGTGTGGCTCATAAACTCCTGACACTGCAGAGCAAGCCTCTGCTGGGCAACCTTGTACCACCCGCGTCAGTTTCTGGCGCGCTTAAACTTGCGTCACTTGTTTTTCTGAAATATTCTTCCTGTGAAATGATGTTCTTTTGTCTACATTTAAAATGTACATTTTATGTATTATGTTCTCTTCTTAGAATTGGTTTTCTTAATTAAATGCATTGCCTACTTAATTTTTTCATAATGGTGCGCATAAAGTGCCACCCGCATCAGTTTCTGGCGCGCTTAAACTTGCATCAATTGTTTTTTTATAAGCGTTTGTAACTTTCTTCCTTTCAAATGATGTTCTTTTGTCTACATCTAAAATGTAGATTTTATGCATTATGTTTTCTTCTTAGAATTTGTTTTCTTAATTAAATGCATTACCTAACCAATTTTTTTTGGAATAGTGCGCATCAATCAAAAGTTGGCAAAGTTTGATGCATTGCTGTATTACCGATGTATTCAATGGGGTGCTCTACAGACTGCTGGTCGGTAGTGGAGCTGTCGAATGGGCCGCTGCCAACGGCATCGACACTTGTGAAGAATCAAAGCTGGTTTCAGGTGAGGATTCTTTGTCCACATTTATTGAATTGTCTTAACTTCAAAATCTTTTGCATCAAATATATCGCATGTTATGCATCTTCAGTAGCTACCAGAATTCATTTGGTTTGATTGTTCCATTGAATTTGTATCTATTGTTTGAATTAGATCTAAGCTTGTAGGTAAAGTTGAAATTTCTATCTTTTATATTGATTGTTACGCATACTTTATTGTTGGAAAAGTTGTCATTGATTGTATCAAGAAAATAGCGAAAGATGACTGGGTAATCATACTAACTAATTTCTGTATATATGCCACAGCAAAGAGCCTGGAGCGTCATCGCTACTACCTCCGACAGCTGCGTAAGCTCAAGCACAAACAAAGAAGAGAAAAGCTCGCCTTGAAGTCGGCGTGCCTACACTCCACACGCCTGGCTGCTAACTGCAATATTATCACATTTGAAGAGACAACCGAAACTCAACGGAAATCCTCCAGCTTTAAAAACGAATCTGCATTAAATGGAGATCCCACTACCAGGGAAACAACGGCTTCGGAGGATGACATGGAAGTAATAGACGCAAGAGCACCAGAAGAAACGCTCCAGTTGGAGCAGGGAGATTCCTCCCTAATCTGTCCACACGAAGCAAACTCTATGGAAAATCTGGTTGAATCATTTCATAAATGTTCACCTTCTGTATTTGTGAGCAGTAGTCAAGTCGGAATATCTAGAATTCCAGTCGCTCACAGTTCAAGAATGACGCACGAAGATATCTGCAGATACACCAGTGCGAAAAGAATACGGCATGACAGTTCTGAAACTGAAATTAAAGAAGGAAACACCAAGAGAACTAGAACAGTTTACAGTGCAAGGAAACTAATAAGTGAGAGTCAGTCGAATAATAGTGACAATGCAACAGGAATTTATGAGTCAAGCGCGAATTGGAAGCTGCCGAATGTGGGACCCAGCTTACGACGCAAGAGAACACATGTAGGGGCAACCACTGAAGCCACGTCGAACGCGGGCCTTCTGAGCGACGATGTCCCAACGGGAAGCAAGCCTTTGCAGGTTTGTGGCACGATTTACTTCTGGCCATACTGAAGCTAAAATTTACAGGAACTTATTGCTTCATCCTGCATTAGTTGAATTTAGTTCTCCACCTACAATCTCACAATGGTTATCTAAGAGAGCAAACTCAAAAATCACTCTATTGTTCAGGCTGTAGCTAAGAATTTAATGCTTCGAGTTCAAGTTGAAAGCTACGCAAATAAATAAACCATTATCGCTAGGGAATTCTTATCAAAATAGTACATGTAAGGAATAAGTGTTTGTGTGCAGACTGTATTAGACACAGTGGGCTGCGTGGCCGTGAGTGCTGACGGCACCGTTGCTGCCGGCGCCTCCAGCGGGGGAATTCTACTCAAGACGCCAGGCAGAGTCGGGCAGTCAGCAGTGCTGGGCGCAGGGTACTGGGCTGAGAATGACTGTAAAGGTACTGGACCAGTGGTGGTGCACGGCGGCGACTATTGAGATTTTTTCCAAGCACACATTGCTTTCAATGGGCCCCATAAATGAAAATAGATTGACCCATTGAATGTAAATAAATATTCAATGGACCATTTTCTCATGTTAATTGAAGTTCTTATCAAGCTACCACTGCTCAACTGACCCACTCGTGTACAGGGAGCGGCCGTAACATCGCGGTGTGCACCAGCGGCTGCGGCGAGATGCTCGTCAGCTCCCACCTCGCCATGAACGCCGCAGCGGCCGTAGCCAGCACTGCGGACGGTGACTGGACTGACTTGCCGCGGCCGCTGAAAGCGTTGCTCTTAGGTGCACAGTGTGCCCTGATTTATAATTAGCATTATTTCTATCATTTCATTGTTCAAAATGTGCTTCCTGATGTTATAATTTAAATGTTGAGGTTTGTCCCCATGTACACTGTGCGTTGTGCGCACGCAGCATCATACACCACATATAATTAAGTCAGTAAGATGGATGTTTCATGAGATATACACATCGATGGCGAGTACGGTTTATAATGTGCACATTTAGCACCATGCAGCACATGTAAACTAATCAATTGTCGAATCCTAATGCGATTTGAGTTTAAACTTGAACTTATCAAGCAGCAAACTATGGGCTGAATAATCTCAGCTCACGTTAGCTTAATTTTTTTCATTAATAGAGGCATCCTCCCTTTTCAGAGAGGCATGGCATGGCAACCATAGGTTAAAAGTTTCAAACTCCTTTCTAACATTTTATATTTTCAGACTCGAAATTCCTGAAATCGTACAGCCGCCCCAAGTCCAGCGGATGTCTGATCCTGAAACACAACCCTGCTGAAGGCTACACTGATCTCTACTGCTGCCACTCCTCCATCAGTTTCGGCTTTGCCTACATGGGTGCCGAGGATGAAAACCCTAAGGTTAGCGACATTTCCACCAAATAAATCCAGTGAACAACCTACATACGCTCTTATCATTTCTTCTCATTGAGAGGCCATAAACAATTTGATTTATATGCCACTCACATCACTCATCACTTAATTCCATCACTCACAATCAGTAGCGCACATTTCCTCGTGAAGTAAAATTTACTGAGTAGATTCTAAGTGCAACATTTATACCTTTATGCTATACCCCCGAATTGAAGGCCAACCTCCTCATGACTTCACGTATTTCAGGCGGTTTTCTCGAGCATGGATGCAGAGCAAGAAGGCCAAGACATGCTCATGAACTGCTTCTCGTATTTCCCTCGCTCTTCAGTAGAACGTGATGCCACGCCACCTGGGGCCTCTGCCCTGCCAACCTGGCGTGTTGTGACTCCCGTTGACGCAGAACAAACACTCGTGTCGTGACGTGCACCATATACTGCGTATCTTGTGTCCTACAGAATGCCGGGGCTGAGGCTCTTGCGTCTAATGAAGTAGTCTCATCGGGTCTCCTAATGACGGAACGCCTTCTCCGGCGCTTGTGACATAGACTCTTAATAGAGGCAGTTGTCTTAGTGTGTTTCATTTCACCCGCGTTCATTACGGATTTCATTTATTTAAGCCAAAGAATATTTATTAGTTTAATGCAGTGAAGCTAAATAATGTGTGCTTCATAGTGTGTGATTTCGTGACAATCAGTCAAGTATTATGTTCCCAATCCATCTTAATGGGTTACAATGGAACTTTGACACTTCAAAGAAAAATTTACAGCAGTGAAGCTCAAATTTCCTACATTACATCATCTGTAGTTCACTACTTTCATTTCGCACAGTAATTCATCTAATTCAAGAACTGCAATCACGGATTTAAATGATTGGTGTGAAAATTCACATGACATAATTTAGCTTTGTGTTATGCGTTCTGAAGGGGAGCTTGGGGCCATACTTTCAAAAATCGCTAAGGGAACGAAAGTACTTACGCTCAATTTTCATGTCCATAATTGGTAGATTTTGCTTAAAAGTCCGTCAATGATTGGTTCATGAACATACGATCACTTAACTTAGTTTGAAAGTATAGGCCCAGAGATATCATGTGTACAGCAAACTTTGTTGGAGCTAGGTAAAAACGGTGGGATGTCGTATCTTAACCAGCGTCAGACATAGTAGATACATAGAGCAATGTTGAATTTACAACGAGTACATGTACAAAATTAATATCGTGTATTTTATTGATCACTATACAACATCCAATTATCCAAGAAATAACTATCTAAAGTTACTTTCTGCCAAAACAAATACTGGCTTCTAAAACGCAAAAACATTTATTCATTACATACTAAACTAATGCGAAATTTTTGGCCTCTTAGAATTCTTTGTACCATCACGTCTTAGCAATTTGCAGATTTTATAGGATGCCTTCAGAAGCGCTTCTCTTCATCTCGCTTCCATGTCCTATAATGTGACCCTGCCGCGACATAACAGGCTTGAACCGATCCGGATTCATTTTGGAAACCTTGAAATGATTTGGAATGTGATTTGTGATGAAATTTTTGCTCGACTTAATTGTGCTTTTTGCAAGCAATTCTTTTCTCTTCAGTTGTTCATTTTTCGATTTCACATCTCGAATCGCTTCGTCGATAGTTTCATTTGTGTGATGCAGCACAATTTGTTTCCACAGTTCACTTCTTGGTGGATCTAATTCTTTATTAAACCAACCCATGACAGCGCCAATCTCTTGAAGATTAGCCTTCTTGTCCGAGCGCCACCACTCATTAAACAAGCTGGGTGATAGAGACAAGCCAGCGGCGCGAGCTAACATCCCTGTGAGATATAACGACGAAGGTGAGACAAGCGGTACCACCCCAGACACGGTCAGCAACTTGGCCACAGCTTGTGTACGCCCAAACCAAGCGTCCTCTTCTAAATAGCGACCATGCGTCACGGCAGGAGGCTCCGTCACTTCAGGTACCATGTGGCCAAAGTCGCTGAGAGACCAACGGTAGCTGGTCACGGGGTCTTGCGTAACGTGATCCACAAGCTTCCCGAAAAGCATGTCCTGCTTCTCTGGGGCTTCTAGCACCTCCCATAGAAACCGCTGCAGGACAAACACGTCCAATAATACCTTGTCCGTCACGTGCAACGTAAACGGGACCTGTGGGAAAGAAATTGTTAGTCGTTTGGTAACATATCTCAATGACCCTATTAATTTCTCTCAATGATATAATTAAACTTGCATGATTTGACACAAAATAATTTAGTGGGAAACACTTCATGACGCTAACAGCGATGTGACTGCATAACTCTTGTCGGACTGCAAATATGCGATTGTAACGTAAAACAATGAAGCCTAACGAAGGTTGATCCATGCAACTGTTACGTATCAATCATCTTTCATGTCAACTCACCGTGGCGCAGTTCATGGCCATCCAAAGAAGACCATTCAAGGCCTTGCTGCTGCCTTGCGTGTCGTCATAGTCTCCTTGCACTATGTCCCGATACAGTCGACTCTCCTGGCGTATTCTGTCCCGCTCGTCCCTGTAGTATATACACAGAATTGGCGGGACATTAATAATCACTGTAATGTAAAAATTAATTCACCCGCAACACTCGCTTGTCAACCAGAAAACTCAATTTTCATACAACGACGGACAAATCCATCAGGTAAAGCAAATAATGGACCTGATTACAGGAAAAGGCGAGCTAAATTTTCGCCAAATCCAGAGTAAGTAATGCAAGAAAGCCTATTAGAAAATTCAACACGTTTAGTTCAACAAAGTTTAGTTTTCAGCAGCTCCAGGTCAATAGCGAACTTCCTTGAGATTTCTGCTATTATCATGATCGAAAATTATTTGCTTAAAAATCGTGTGTCCTTGTATTTCCAACATAGTCCTCTGAGTACAAACCCCATAATATAGACTGAGAGCGAAGTATAGTACACAATGAACGTGTTCTTACATATGGGAAAATAAAAATTCTAGGCTCCTTTCTCGATTCTCCCAAGAGGTCGAAATTCGAGTTTTAATGTTCTGAACAGAAGCAATGAGAACCCCTGGGAAGTGTGATGAGCTTCATTCTCTCCTGGGTCTCATTAATTAAAGCATTCTACTGCTATCAATCCTGGACCGGCATAGCTGATTATAATGAGAGGTGATACCCTCAACTCAAGGTAATAGCTTTGGAGCGCAGGCAGGCGATCGTACTTCTCAGGATATCGTATAAGTTACAACTAAGCAGCATGACGGTTTTCGTTTTTTTAATTTTTCATTACTTATAAAATTCTCAATAGCTAGCATATATAATCAAGAGGATTATGTACCTTTAACAGAAGGTACATACTACCGCCACTCACTTAGTAATATTCTCCGGGATTAAAAATATAATATATAATCATACCATTACCCCTTTCAATTAAATCACACACACGAATAATCTAAGGCAAATCCAGCAAAGTGATACTTCTTTCCACGAAGTGTTTCTCGTGTTCTGCACTCTCACTGCGCCCCCGGCGTCACCTGTCACGATGCTTGCCCATGACGAAGACTGCGCCGAGGGGCACGCCGAGCGTCTGGGCGGACCCCCACGTGAGCCTCGTCTCCTGACGTCTCTTGAAGTCGTCGAGAGCAGAGGGCACGACGGCCACGGCCAGGAGACCGGGCTGGCGTGAGCAGTACGACCGCTCCTCTACTAGGAAGCGCAGTGGCACCCGAGCTGTCAGCGGCTGGCAACATTCAAACATCGGTATGAGTCTCATTTGTAATTGTATTAGGAACTGAATTAAAAGACAAATTTACCTTGTTTTTGAGTAACAAATATTGATAACTTCGTCCCAATTAATGGCAATTATTGATAACGACGTACTAACTAACCACTCACTCTTCACACCACCACCACTCACTCTTCACACTATCACCACTCACTCTTCTGAAGCTTATCCCAATTTTGGGAAGGGAAAGATTGATGCCATTCCTGGCGAGGGCTCCTCGGCTCTCGAGCAGCAGCAGCGTCCTGTAGAAGATGTTCACGGAGAGCACCAGGAGCAGCGTCACCACGCACGGCCGCCTGCCTCTACACCACGCACCTGCAAAAATTGAACAATTTCACCATTTCGTCAACCAACGCAAATTTCACCATCATTTTCTCTCGTTTATCCTCAATGCGAATTGTTGTAACAAAATTTTTTTTCTAATGGATATTTCACATAAATGCAGAAGTTTATACTCGAATGAGTAGGTATTTATCGAAACAAATTCAAAATAAATAATTTTTACACCAATGTAAACAGAACGATTCAATTTTTTGACCTATTCAAACGCGCGATCAAGATGTCCAAAACTTTTTGAATCAGTCACTTCCTGAGCGTTGGGTAGGACGCATAGGAAATGACGATCTGGCTCTACACTCCTGGCCACAGAGATCACCTGGGGCCGTATTATCAAAACTTCGTAAGTACGCAAAATCGACTTACGAGTGGCGTAAGTGCTGACTTGATGACGTAACTCTAGAGGTGGTATTATCAAAACATTTGCGCGGGAAGATACGTAATGTAACTGTACGCCTGCTCGGAGATGTCGTAAGTGAAGTTCCCCACAAGTTTAGAGTGTCTGCTGAAGCGATAGGAAACTATTGATTTACTAGCAAGTAGCAACACCTTGACTTGTGATAGAATTTTGTCAATAATCCTCCGCCTCTACCAGCAACTCTGTTTACGTCCGGCCTCTACCAGCATCTCTGTTTACGTCCCGCCTCTACCAGCAACTCTGTTTACGTCCCGCCTCTTGAATAAATACGAATTCATTAAATTGAGCCTATCATTTAGAATAACCCTGTTTAATTACCATGAATACATTCAGGCAATAAATAATGAGTTTGGAAAAAATGCAGTTAGGATCCTTTGAAAAATGTAGTTTTTGTGGTAATTTTCATCAACCATAAAAACAGTTTTTAAATAATAGTTTCGCAATTTACATATTAATAATCGGGCATGAATGATTTATAAAATACAAAATACTTGCCAAGTCATCGCATATATATGACGATTGAATGAAAAACCGGTGTCGTTAATTTTACGTATATTTAAAATTTACGGAACCACTGCGATATATTCCAGGGATACTCTCACTGCGATATATTCCAGGGATACTCTCACTGCGATATATTCCAGGGATACTCTCACTGCGATATATTCCAGGGATACTCTCACTGCGATATATTCCAGGGATACTCTGCGATATACTCGAGGGATACTCTCACTGCGATATATTCCAGGGATACTCTTACCAAACGTTAATTATTTTCGTTTCCATATAAAGTATTCATGGAGATGAAATTTCATGCATGTTTTTTTCAAGACCCAAGAGCAATTGTTATCAAGATGTTACTTAGTTTTTTTTTTTGTAATCAGAAAGGTGTTCTCTGATTATTATCCAGACAAAGTAGAAAATTGTTTAAAATGACTACTAACAGAAACTGCAGTAAAGAACAACTTCTGCCCAACTATACCGAAAAAGATGAGATTCTATGCTTGGAATTCTAAAATATTGAAAAACTAATGTAATAAAAATAAAAGATAGATTTATTTATAGATGAAAATTCGAGCTTAGCTAGAAACAAATACGGATGCTAATCACAGTAATCGAATAAGTGAATAATCACATTCAAATTCACAACCAAAGTTAACTATAAATTCACTAGTCATCATTATTACACACGAAACTGCTGATTTCAATAAAATATGGGTAAAATTCCTACAAATTTACAAGTGATTTTAAAAACAATAATCACTACAAAGATCTGTCTTTTACGCGAAACAGTCGAACCTGAAACGAGAAATTCACCTCGCTTTAGGCAGAAACTTTCAAAAGACGTTCGAATATTTTCCCGCCACGATAACCTCAACAAAGGCTTTCGCGGATATAGCTACACAATATGGCCGACCATTGCGACATTCAACATGCACGTTACGCAAGCCATATTGCACTTTCCACCTCAAAATACGAATTATTGTTAGCGGTCCCCCAGTAATTGGCAGAGGCACCGCAAATCGCTTTCCCTTCAAATGAAATCGCTGCGCTAGCGGTCAAGGTATCTATGAAGCGCGCGGTAAATTCCTTCGCAGCGAACAAATTTCTGAATCGTAATTAACGAGACATAACTACAGTGGATCAGAAACGCGCAATCGCACATTTTTACGCACGCACAGCATTTGTGGCTACAAGAGATCAAATGCCACAAAGATAACACAAAGCAGGGGTTACCCGTCTCTTCTTGCATCGACGTATAGCACAACTAGAATAATTCGTAGGCAAATCTTTATTTTTGCTAAAGATAAATAAAGCTTTTATCTTGGTTAAATAGTACGGTTTTCTGAACGCAAGGAATGCGACGAAAAACCGCGAAAGTTTTCGCTTGTTCTTGGGCGAGACAGCGCAAATAGCAACCGTTATTAAAATCAAACTCAACTTAATAATCAAGAAACTGCAACTCATTGCGTCCATGTCTGTCGAGGAATTACTCTAAAGAATATATCAGGCCCATTGAATGATTGAGATTGTAGCATTCATAGGAGTAGTTTCCCCACAGCGTTTCGAAATCCCGCTATACAATGGCGAAAACGACACTTGCAGCAAAAACAAGGTCTTCGATCGGACTGCTTGAACTGTTAACCCTCAAAACACTCGGTCAACAGGAATCTGTGCTGAAGGCTTGAAGCGTCACTTAAACCGGTATCTACAACAAACAAACGCTTCTTTTGAATCACACAACGGTTATTTAGAGCGTATGAAAGCAAGAAAGTGTTTGAACTTTTATGAATCAAATAAATTACGCACATCAACTGGCGGTTGAACGCCGATAAAACTCAAGGAAACGAGTCTCGTGCGATACGCATGCGTGTCACCGCACGTCTAAGAATCATTTAATCCTTTATATGGTTACCTGAAATATTATTTAAATTGTTCTCGCCGTGACTGAAGAGTCCACAAGATGGCGCAGGTTAGATCTGAAAAATATTCACCGACAGGTGAGCCGCGCTTCAGAGGCCGCGCCATCGTACGGTTGAACGGCCAAAAGCGCAGCTTTTTTTGTTCCGGCTATCGGCGCATGCGTCGACCGACAAACGCAGTGAAATTTATCGAGAAATTTACCTTACTTCAATTTCCAGAATTTGCCGAGTTGTCGATTGCGATAAATCTTCAGGTTATCAACAACAGTAAGCTAATCAAACTAACATATGACATACTAACACGTTTGCACGACGAATGACCTCAAATAACCGTTTATAAAAAGTTGTACAAATCAGTCAGATTAGTATTGCGCTGTCAACACGCTTGCATCGCAACCGTTTGACAGTATTTCCACCGATTGGAAAGCTCCATTTTCAAATATTATTATTGAGCGCCTCGAACCTCAATCTAAAAAAGTACCGTAACATTGCTAGGTGTAATGCAGTTATATAAGCGCAGCATTTCGTATGAGAACGATCATTTGAAGGAAGCAAAATTTTCCTTTAAATTGAGTCCTTCCGACAGTTTTTAAACTTGCTAACTAATAAAACGAACGAAATAAACCTTCATTCCTCATGTTCAAGCACCAGTACAATGACGTAATTACTTTATTAATTACAGTAAAATACTGAAACGCATCCTGCTCAGGAATACATAGCAAATCCTTCCTTGGAGCAAGCGAAGCCGTCTGATGACTTAACGGATGAACGACTCGTGCTGCAGATATAAAATTTTCTAGGTCAACCGCGCCGTTTACGTATGCAAGCGGCAGTCGAACGCTCGCCATCCGCACGTCTGCCTTATTGCACCACAAGCAAGACTATAACTTTGAATAATATTCAGGCAATAAGTCCAGCAGCTATCTCAATCAATCGTCAGCTATGGAAAGATCGTGTTCCAAAGGCCGGATCCTTGTGAATCAAGTCGCGAAAAGTTCAAGAATTGGCAACAGGCCATGGGCCTATTTCTTCAACGCCGACACTTCTATTCTATTCTAATATTCATATGTCTCTGCCTCCTGCGTACAGCCCATCAGAAGAAACTTGGGAGCTTGAAGCAAAACATTTGTTCATAAGGGAATGAAGCAGTGAACCAATAGAGATAACCTCCATAAATTCTGCAGGTGTTAGAATTAGCCGACTTTAGCATCATTTGCCGGCCAGATGCACGGAAAAAATTAATAACGTGTAAACCGAAAATATCTGCAAGCATCGCCTGAGCTTTCAATCATTACCGTCCCTTCAAAGGGATGCGGAGGAGGCCTTGTATATATAGTGAACGTTTCAACACGTATTATTTTTGTCATGAATTGTAAAATAAGGAATGTTCAGGATAAAGTTAGATGTACCTATGTAGCTTGCACATACGTTTAGTGGTTATGTTAAAATAAAAAAGAATTTCATAGATCTAAAAGATCAACAATGTTTAGTCAAATCACAATCTAGAATTTCCCCAACCGCTACACCATACCACGAGATGCGAAATCATAGCCGATTCATTCACCTGGTCGTATTTCTTTGTTTAACTTAAGAGCACAAAAACTGGGGTGAGAATCTAATAATAATAAGATTGGTTTAGCTTATAATCCTCATTGTATTATGATGTTTTGCTAATTGCATTATATGTCTGTTATTATATCGTATCTAACAAGATATGAAAAAGGATTAATATATTAAAATGGCATGAGGTGATAGTTAAGTAGCAAATGGTAATCCTATCCACAGACGCCATTAGCATCTGTGTGAGTAAAGTCTGATTTGTGAAAACTATTCCAGTTAAGTTCAAAGTAGTAATGGCTATGTTTTCATCTGATCAGCATTATGCATTATCTGATCAGTCAGCGGAGCTGGAAGACAAGTCAGCGGAGCTGGAAGACAAGTAAGAAGTCATGTCCATAGAACCAGACCTGTAAATAATGTAAGAAATAAACGCATGAATCAAAGTGAAAGTGCACAAAAAGCTTTAAAATGTTTTTACACGAACTCGGACTGGAAAGATCGGGTTCCAAAGGCCGGATCCCTTGTGAATCAAGTCACGAAAAGTTCAAGAATCGGCAACAGGCCATGGGCCTATTTCTTCAACGCCGACACACTTCTATTCTATTCTATGAAATGAATGCGTTCTGCGTTCTGATGTTATTATGCAAGTTGCCAGGTCTTTGGTCGAATCCACTCATCTTGTGTCCTCCCTATAATGTCAAGATTTAATAAAGAAAACTGAAATTATCGCTGTTTATTTTGAACATCCTGTTGATATCTTGGAGAATTTAGTTATTCAAGTAAAACCTTTATTCGTGGCGAACCTTAGAACTAAACCTGGTGAGATCCCACAACCTAAAGTGGCAATAATATGTGTACCGTAACTCTGTAACAACAGATACAAATAATTATTAATAAGTTTTCTCGAGATTAGTTTATTGAATAGAATTCGTATTTCGAAATTCATTCGACAGTTGATTAAGTTACATAGGAAACTGCGAGTGAGTATTAATTTGTAAACAATTATTTCTCATCTTCCAATATCAGTTCATTCTGTGTACCAGAATACCATTTAATAGGCATAAAATATGTAAAACTATACATTCTTCCAGTTCACGGAATGGTTTCCAACTTTTGTGGAAAGTTAAATGAACGTCCAGGGGTTAAATATACCCCATATTGGTTATATATACCCTTATTTCTGATATATAGATTATATATACCCTTATATATATATATATATATACCCTTATATATATATACCCTTATTCTTGTTAGGTATATATACCCTTATTTCTCTATCGGTAAAAGCAATTTTTCGCGCAAAAATCGTACAAACAAGATTTTGTTACAGCCTGCGTTTTATGATATGAAGTCATTCTAATGAATCCGTCCCTCAATACTGGGCAGCTGCGTTGTTTTAAAACCAAGGCCACGATCGCCCCGGGCCATAGAAGGATGGACTGTACAAAATGTACATGACTCGCGACTGGGAGGACGCGTGATCATCAAATGACCTTGAAACCGCTTTGCCCGCTCCACATGCAATGTTTGTAATAAAAGTCCAGTGTCATTATTCAACTTCAAAATACATAATTAAATTGAAAAAGTGAAGCATTTCCTCCTCGGCAAGATGAGCGCTAACTTCTAAGCGTGAATCGGAAAAGATTTTAAGGGTAATCTTCAGTCGCATCTGGCAAGCAGAGTACCGGTACTGCAGTAGTTCGTCTTCACAGTTCAAGTTTTCAACCATGTTCGCCATTACCGCTCCGAGTATATCACTAGTATCAATCTATATTATTGATATTTATAGCCTTATTTATATTTTAAAAAATTTGACAAAAAATAATTGAAAAACCGCAGGATATAGACAAGAATCATGTCTGTATTATTCAATCAAATTATTGTCTCAAGAACGCGGACATATTTAGGTAGTAGGAGTAGGTTAGCCTAGCCTCCTAACATCGCACTAACGTATTGCTATCAGTGGGCACTGGGCAGTAGACAATTAGACATTTATGGCTCATGTCATGTGACATTCGGTGTGCTTTAATGTAATTTCGTAACATTGCTCCTCTCGCTATGATAAAATCAAAATCATTTTTCATTCAATTTAAAATTTATTCTTGGCAAGTCTGGGTTAACGAAAGTAAAGTCCTTGCAACTTGGTCTCTTCACACTATCAAAAATATAGTAATTGCAACCAAGATACTACACCCAATTTTATTAGTGCACGTCCTAAACGATATGAGCACAACTAACCCTACTGAGTACTTAGTTGAGCCAAAAAATTATTCTCAAGCTGCAGCACTACTCCGCTATGTCGTAATTACAAATCGAGACTCTGAGAACTTCTACTACTATTAGTATTAGCCTCCGTTAGTCAACAAACGCTTATGAGAGGAATTTTACCTCCACACACTGACACAGTCACACACAAAATCGCGGATTCCACATTTTATGGAAATAAATTACGCTTTTGTCGGCTACGTATTTTGAATTTTATTCTGTGTACGCCGTACGAGAGACAAATAAACATAGAATGATAGATTGACTGAACTCCATGTCTTAAAAATATTCCTGTGAGCATTCAACGTAGGATATATAGGCTTCATATCAATCTGGATGAATTAAGATATTCCGACGGCTGAAGCAGCAAGCAAATTAAATAAGTAGGTTTTAGTTCACTTACGGTACATCATCAGTGAGCAAGGAACCCGGGGGCTTGAGCCCTTGTTGTACAGAACGACGCCATACACACACGATAACGGCTTACATGACACTGACTGCTGCTGCTGCTCCTGCTCTAGCCTCTAAGTGCTCTAGTCACTCCCGAGTCAAGAAATCCGCTATTCCTCCACGCCCGCCAGTCAACAAAATTCCATTATTCCGCGATTGCTACTCAATGTAAATTTTTAAAAATACAAGGATTGAAGTGATATAATTTGGGAGAGAGTCGTCTGCTCATTAGGTCTTACATTTTTATTTACATAATTGACTCTTACTGCCATCGAGGTCAGATTTATTGTCACTTATTCCTAGTGCTTTGATACAATGTATTTCATCAGAATTGAACGATAAAAAAAGAGTGCCCATTTCATTAGAATGAGTAAAAAACCTTAACTGGCTCTTTATTTTAGTTTGGAGACAAGGAAATTATGGGTCGATTTCGATTTTAGAGTAGAATAGAAGTGTCGGCATTGAAGAACTAGCGCATTCAACGTGATAGGCACATGGCCTGTTGCCGATTCTTGAACTTTTCGTGACTTGGTTCACAAGGGATCCGGCTTTTGGAACCCGATCTTTCCATAACTGACAATGTATTCAAAAATTAACGAAAAAACCTTATGCTATTCGGTGATCCGACCTGTTATCAAAATTTAGGACCGCCTATTAATTCGTTTTCATAGGAACATCTCATCTTCCGTCGCACGAGTTTTCTCAATGAATGGTTGACAATGCTGCAACGATAATTATATAATTATCAGAGACTAGCGAGTCTTGGTTAGAGTTTTTGTGGTTGAGTTAGCATAACTGGATTGGCAGTCCAGTGTTAACCTATTGCTGGATGTAGTTGGCAAATTCGAGATGGCAAGTGGTAATCTATTAATCGAGATGGCATTAATTGGTTATATCTATTTAAATATCGCACCTCAGGAATACCATGGACAAACTGAGAGTTCGGCGCTGTACTGAATGAGTGAGGAGTTCGTTACGCTAGGTATACATTTATTTTATTTAGTACATCAAGTCTAGCGAGTATCAGTTAATCGAGCTTGAGGTGACTGGTAACTTTAATTTTTTCCAACACGATGAATAAATCCTTAATAAAACAATAAGATCTGGCAACAATTTATGGGATTTGTGGAAAATATATCATTCATAAGATACACGACACATAAAATCTATACAAAAATCTATGTAGCATCGAAGTAAATGAAAGTCACCTTAATGAAGAAACGATGCCTACTCTTGTGTGCGTGTGTGTGTAATTGCCCATCCTGGTAGTGGCAAGTAGGTGAGAGAGGGAGTGATAGGTCAGTTTTTAGGTATGAGTGGAATATCTGAGGTCTATAATGTACATCGGTAGGTATAGCATATATTTTTTTCATTCTGTAGATAAATGTTTCGAAAACGATATCCAGGTTTCTACTAAGTCATCGACGCGTTCTTGAGTCAAGGAATAAAGACATACATGGCCAGTAGGTGGAGATGGAGTCAGTTTGTGGAGATAAACAACTACAGTATATCAAAAGCCAGTCTCCCCATATCCTTCTATCTGAAATGCTTCCCATGAACCCCTAACGCATTAAAAGAGTAATGGGCACGTTTAAAAAATAATTTCGTGTTATCGGTTTACAAAGGTGGCTTTTCATTTTGGTTTTTGATATCATTGAGTCAAAATCATTTGACATTAATCATTCTCATAGCCTTCCGTTTTGATATCATTGAGTCCCAAGTCTTCGTTCTGTTGGAATGTTCGTTCGTACTCAGTGATCTCGAGGAAAGGATCAGGATCAGGAGCGTAGACGTTCTGCAGGTAACTGTTGCCCGAAGGATCATCCATGATGAACGTGGCTTTCAGTTCCCCTGCCATTATCTGAAATTTATTCATGAAAGATCATCAAAAATACGCCCTGAGGCGAGAGATCAAATTACGTGAAGAAATTAGCCGAGGTCATGTTATTATTATATTATTATCAAAAGTTAAAACTTGAACAGTAGCCTTGAACATAAATCTGAGAAAAGTGCAATCTTAAAAAAAATATCGTGTCCCTCACTTTATCTATTCCATTGAATATTTTATCAACGGCGGCTTTCTTGACGGGATCCACACTGTCGCCAACAAAGAACGGATTGTTCTTCATATCATCCTTGATGCTGATGAGTAGACCTTCAATCGTCGTAAATCTGATGATGGGGCAAGTAAATTAGATTGAGTAAAGTGCATTCTTCATACGAAGAGCAAATTAACCAAGATTCAAAGCAATTCGATTTGATTTCGGCAGTTCCATTATAAATTCAATATTTAAGTTCAATAACAGATATTTGAATACAATATTCAAAGTTCAAAAATTACAATACAAATTTAATATTCATGTTCAGAAACTGCATCATAAATTTATTAAATTTTTGAATTTATAAACTCCAAAAACAATTAAAAACAGTAGGTACTATTGTAAAAGGTGTCCCAAAATATCAGAATATGCCAAGATTAATGATCAATTGGGAGCAAATTATTATTATTTTTTTCCAAAGTAAAGGTCATGAATGTTTCTCACAAGGCCCCTCTCACTCCTAACAAGATTTATCTGTAATAAAAATATTCCTAATTTTGATCCCTGCTGTAACTTATTTCATTCACATTTAACTCTACGGTACTGCAACTTATTTCATTCACAAGTTTCATCCCCTAAAATTACCTGACCCGACATTAGCACAACAATTTTGTCCTCAATTCCGATTGCCAAAACTTTTCCAATAACTTCTAAGAAAAGAATTTAGAACGAAGCCCTTCCTCAAGTCCAGCGACGCAAGGCAAGCAACAAAGTATTAAACCATCGACTTACTTGCCGCCGAGTATGCCGGCGCCAACGTGTAGCTCCAGCTCAGGTATCTGCAGGTCGCACATTTCACTCTTAAGAACGTCTCTCGCCAGGTCGAGTTCCGGGTCGTCAAGCTTGAGTACGATCCGCCGCCCAGTCGGCGAGATGCCCGAGCCAGACTTCACTTCCGAGGTTTTGTTACCGCAGTGGTCACACACTGAAGCCATAATCACCACCTCCTGTCCAGGAATAAACAGCAATGAAACAGACGAGTTACGTTGATAGTTCGACTATGCTGAAATACTCACTTTTTATTGCAGCTAATCAACACTGAATTAATGGGAAAGGTACCTTGTCACACACACAGTCTTCAGGATCACCACATCCTGCATAAGACATTTCAGTAATAAATCCATCACTGCCAATATCAATAATATCCCATCATCAAACTGCTTTGACTGCCCTTAGCAAAAATATATTAAATAGAAAGCAGGAAAACGTTTTCAATATGAAAATAAGTAACGTGAGTCATCTAATCTTAACCTTCTGAGTTTTCTGGAAAGGTTATGCTTTAACGGCTTTATCCAGTGAAATCTCCTCCATCTCATTCTCCATTAATGGCATCTCGCCCAAATCTAATGACGAAGAATAAAATAAAAAAAATTGATAGAAGATTTCAAATTTTAGCACCAGTGCGTTTGAAAGACCCATACCATGCCTGTTCCTTTAGCCTTGTCCGGGTTTCTGATCAGACCGCTCGTTAGTCAGCGATTGAAAGGAGACGCGCGTAAGTGACCAGCATGTTTTTAACTACATGTCGGACATGAAACTAATTTCAACACTGAAATATGTGTCAAACAGAAGTCAGCAGTGATATATAATGTACGATAACATTAGAGAAAAACCTGTGAGAAAAATTATCTATCTCAAGGAAGAAATCATTGCTAAGGTTCAACAGAGCACGTGTGTCTCCGATCTTGCATTTCAATGTTGCAGACCAAAGTTCAATACCTCGACATTTCTTTAAAAAAAGAGGTCATTGTAAAAAAATAGTTAGTTAAAGGAGGAAATGGAGGAGCTTAAAAAAGTACAGCTCCTTATATACCATAAATTAAATGAGCTTGTAAATGAGAGTATCGGCAAAGCAATTAAATATATACTAATTTAGAAAGTTTTCTGTGCATCAGATATTCCGATCAAACGTACCTTGAAATAAGGAATTTTTACGAGTTTCATATTAGTTTGAGCAGGCCGATGGCACCTATCACAGAGCTCTGAGAATTTCAAGACTTCATTCGCCAAGTTCTCTTTTTCAGCTACATCGTCGCGGTCGGTTTGATCTCGACTCTCCGTATCTGCTGCTTGGCTGCCGGAATCTTTAGATTCAGGTGAAACTTCTTCGTCTGCATCCTCGTTTTCTTCTGCAACTTCTTCAAGAGCATTCTGGGTGGCAAAAACTCGAAATCAGGGAGGCTCTATTTCAATATTAATAACTTACTTCAGAAACCAATTTAGATGATTTGAAGTGCGATATCAAAAACAGAAAAACCTCTGAAGACCGATATTAAAAGAAACCTCAAAAAACGAAAACAAGTGAGCAAGAATATGAAGATTATCTATGCAGACAAGTAGGAGTAGGAGTATAGACATGATTAGGGCACTATTGATAGTAGTATCATACTTGGCATCAAAACGGGGTGAAAGAGTTAACTTTCTTACAACAGCCATTCTCCCCTCACAAGCAATTGGTATTTCTTGCATTTGACTAATTAGGGCCAGAAATACGGGTATAAAAGAACTATTACTGCACGAAAAATGTCTGCAAGGTTAAATTCTAGCAGTGTACAGCAACTATCACCCTACAAGCAAACGGCGGGCAGTGGTCAAAGCAGTAAACTGTCAGCTCACCACATGTAGTTAACTCGCACTCACCCCGACGTTCACCCTACAGTCCACTCCATACAGTCGAGGCAAGTCTCCCAAACTCCATGCAAGAATCACCCAACAGTTCACTCCATAACGTCAAGGCACGTCTCACTCACTCCAAGCAACCATCACCCAACAGTTCACTCCATACAGTCAAGGCAAGTCTCACATTGTTGTCATCCTGAGGGGGAGCGATGCCGAGGAGCTCGTCTTGCTGCGGCGAGCGGTCGTAGCTGCTCCACGACAGCGCCGGGTCGCGCAGGCCGTTGGCGCTCAAGCGCTCAATGAAGCTGTTGCCGGACGGGTCATCAAGCTGTGGCAAGGTTCATTAACAATTAAACTTGGAATTCCAAATAAAAAACATACAAGGAATCTAGTAGTGTGTTGACTAATTATTATTGCAGACATAGAATTCGTCACCCTATCAAAATGTTTTTACAAAAAAAATGTACCTAATGTTTCAATTTTTGTTCTTGTTCAACATATGTACTTAATTGTTGAAATGGCCTGGTAAAGAATTTATTTGAAAAATTGTCAAAGAAGTATATATAGCAAAATATTTTGAATACAATCAATGTTCTATTCACAGATATATTAATTTATCTACACACACTAAAACTGATGTGTATGAGAATAGGTAATAAAAATTTAATTTTCCACAAAATAAGACATAATTTGACCAAAGGATGCCTATTCTTCACAAAAAGAAAAATTTTCAAACAATGCAGTGGGCAATTTAATTTACTTTGACAGTGAAGGGCTCTTGAAGCTCCATAAGAGCACCCAGTTTGTTGATAAATTCATCTATCTTCTCAGCTCCTTCAGGATCTGCTTCTCTCCTGACAGCTTGATCCAGCTGCAAGTTTGCAATGACTTTACTGAGTAAACCTTCAACATTGGTGATCTCTGTGGGGTGAAAAACACAGGTCAGTGCACAATCAACATTGCTGATCTCTGGTTAACAAATACAGGTGAGTATAAATGCAACATTGGTCATCTCGCAGGATCAGAGCCATAAGTCATAACACACAACATTGGTGACTTCTGTTTAACACGAAACACAGCTCAGTACACATGCCAGTCATCTGATGGCACTCAATGCCACAATATATAAACACTGAAAACTACATCAGATTATAGGCACATAATACATAAATAGGTACTAAAAACAATCTGATAATAGGCACATAAAGCACGAATGCTGAAGGTTATCACCATTGTCATAATGCCAGAAAACAGAACAAACTCACCTCCCTTGCCAGAACCTGACGTCATCTCAAGCTCCACTTCAGGTATGGCTACTGAAGCATAGTCTGACCTGGGAAACCAGCATATACTTTGAGATAAAGCCTGGCCTTAAACGATGCCAATGCACTAATTTTTCTTTCAAAAATACAGAAAATTAACAATTCAAATCTAAATTGTTTCCTAAATTATACACAAAAATGAAATGTGAATTTGTGCATTTAAATCTAAATTGCCAGAAGAAGAATGTGATTTTAGAGGGAAGTAATAAAGAGGCCAAGACAAAACATCAAAATGTGCTGATACTGAATCTAAGTAAAAAAAATCAAGCATCAGTAGCCAATAACACAGTTTCTGAGACATGTAGATGATTAAAAATACACTGGTTTGCAAAAAATTTGTGCTTTCTTTTAGTTTATGCAATCTCAGACTTCACAGTTCATAATAACTAAAATATAGGTCTTATGATAATGAAATTGTATCCTCATTCACACAATGAACAGCAATAAAAATCCACACATTCTCAGAGCAAATCAGAATAACACTCTGATTTCTATAGATTTTAGCTGGTCTTTTCTTTCAATGGAAATTTGGCACCCACCTTACAACCATTCTCCTCAAATCTGCTTGGCTTGTGACTCCCAGGGTGTATTTTATTCCCTTAGGTTGAATTTCTCCAACATTGAGTAAACTACTGTTGGTGAAGTGGCAGTGAGGGCAAGAAAAGCTTGATACCATCACTCTCTTGAAGTAAGGTATGAGTGTCAACAGCAATCTGGTAGTACCCTGGGTCATAATAAAGTTTTAGTATCAAAAATCATCATTTGAGAAATTATAATATGCAAAACAGTAGGAATATCAGTTATGTGTAATCTTCATGTATACAGCATGATGATCAAATATCTGCATTGAATGATATCAATGCAAAGTAAATCTACAAACCTTAAATCAAGAGACTACAACTGCATGAGGCAGCATTATTTTGCCTTATCCTATTGACATCTATAAATTTACCATGAATAGATATCAATAGATATCATTACCATGAATAAGAATTCAAATAACAATAATTGTAAAAACATTCCAGCCCTACCACCAAAACTTGCAATCTCTACACATTTTTCCCCTCAAGGAAAAAGAGAGTACTACCTTTTTAAATAACATAAGTTATTCTATAATAGAGCATTAAAGTAAGATAGCCCCTATATATATTTGCATGTTCTACATGCCATGAATTTCAAAACTTATATCTAGACCATTAATGACTACACCACACTGATCATCACCTGCTGCTGACATTGTAGACACAAACTTGATATTTCAGTGACTGATGGATCTTCTGATTCAGATGCGAGGTCTAAGAAAAGTGGTTCTGGAACAATATCCTCAGATGTCATCATGAAAATATGATTCAGTGAATTATAAACTGATGTATTTATATATTTTGACACAAGAATCTACAAAAGAAAATGGAATCATTAATAAGCACAATGCAAGATCATTCTAAAAAGCAAAATATGCATCAGGTGGAAGACTATAATTTAATTTCTTATTAAGAGCAATGAATAATAGGAGCTGAAAATTTTCACAGACTACTGCGGTAGCCAATAGAAACCAGAGTTAGCCAGCATATTGAAGGATCATGAAACAAGAGATGATCTATGTTCTTCCTAGTTTAGTGGTGTTTAGAGCGCCCTTATTTGGCTGCCAATGCCACATTTGACTTGGGAAATAAAATCATACACAATGGGTATTGACAGCCCTAGTTCGTTGGAACTATGATCAAGTTCAGTACCACTGAAATATTTTGGCAAGGTGTAAATATATATACATCAATTATCAAAGAAGCTGTAAGAAAAATTCATTGTTTTTGATGTAAAAGAATGTTTTTAATTTAAAATGAATGCAATACTTGATTTTCAGAAATACGATACAAAAATTAACGATCCCTATTAGAATTCAACCGACGTGACTCATTCAGATTTAAATTGAAAAAGTTGGTACCTATGAGATTTATGATTTTACAAATTGCTTAATTGAACGCAGTGCAGAAATTCAAGATCATCTAGGAGTATGAATTCAAGTCTCATGACTGGGGAAGATTTCAAAATATATTGTACTACCGCATAAGCTTGATATAAGCTCTTTGTCTTTTCAATGAACAGAATTTATTTAGGTTCTATTGACCATAATAGGTAGAACAATGCAACATAATTGCGGCCATCCAATGGCCGCAATCGGTTGATGGCTTTGACTCTTGATACCACTGTACAAATATTGCAGTAGACACATCATCCAGAAGTTTCAATGCAAAGCTTCTTATTTAAAGGATAATAAATCGATTCATAATTGTTTACTGGAATTACTCCCACCTGTAGATATAAACGAAAATCATTCAATTTATTTTAATTGCTTTTCAGGGACTTGCATTAAAATATTTATTTTGAAATCAACCATGTCAAAGTAACGAAATAATTTGTTCAAGTTTTAGGCTTCCAAAAATATTTCAGACCTCTATAAGAAATATCATAATTAATCATTCTCTTGCATTGAGTATATGAAGGTTATGCACCGAGCCGCCGCTTCCGTGATTGTCATTCATTTTTGTCAGTTATTTATACAGATATAGGAGAAACGACTGGCTTTTCTACTGGCCGTTTTAACCAAGAGCCGTTTACATATGGCCGTATAACTCACAAACAAAGGCAAACTTGAAAAAATTGTAACAAGCTAAACATCACCGTTGCGGAGGGTAGGTATTTAATTACTTAGTTTTGTTCAAATCTGTTCAGTAGTTTGGAAGAAATTTATTGATTACTGCGAATTTAAGCACGTATTGCATTTTAAATCATGAATGAAGGTGAAATGAAAAAAAACTTGCAAACAAAGGCACAATCAAAAAAATTTTCACCAGCTAAACATTACTGTTGGGTAGTTAGGATTGTAAATTTAAAATTTCATTTGAATAAGTTCAGTAGTTTGGAAGAAATTCCTTGATCACTTTGAATTTTGTCCCGTATTGCCATTTAACAATGGCAAAAACAAATGAAGGCAAAATTCAAAAATTTTTACAAGCTAAACATTACCATTAGCTCCTAGCCTCCTAATGAATGTGTGTACCAACTACCAAGTTTCATCAAGTTAAGTTCATTAGTTTAAGAGATATTCCATGATCGTTGAATTTAGAAATTGGACGTGAGACCGGCCTTGAGTCTGACCGTAAATTTGTTTGAGACGTAAAACCAGCCACCAGGTGAAGTTAAAAAATCAAATCTGGGTGAAAAAAACCATCGCTGGGAGTCATGATGTGCTGCACGTATTGTGTACAAATCATCAAACGAGCATTGGAACTTCTGACTTCAACTTCAGACAGCACTGCCGCCTCGCGCCCCCCTTAGCCCCTACTGCCCCCTTATCGCCCTTTTCTTCCTTACCACCCTCAAAATCTTTCCATCGCCCCTAACCCTAGGGGGGCAATATTTGTCCACTTTGGGAACCACAGTTCTATTTAGTCTCACTCCCTTAATCCCATGAATTGCATGTTTAGTGTGTGCATCATGGAAGTCTGCTTTACAGCGTAGTCACGGTAGTTGTAACCTTGTAATTAAGCTTACCTTATAAAGTTTAGTTCTTTGCAGTCATATTAAGAGACAAATCTTCAATGAACTAATATTTTTTATAATTTTAATTGTTGAGTGAAAGCTGAAGCTTTGCAGGCACACATTTCAAAGTGATTAGTACTTTATAGAAACTTAGCATACCCATGTGTTTTAGGCCTATAAGAACTAAGAAGTTCATTTTTTTTTGCCTCAAATAATATTGTTCTTTTGAAAAACTGGTCTAGGTATATATAAATATATACTGGCCACTGCCCACTGGGAATATTGAATAATATATGAACCATCAATTTTATAATTTGATCCTTTGGACCAGGACATCTGACATGATCTGTGCCCTGTGGAATTTGCTTACTTCAAAGTTTCTTTTCTTGAATGCACATTGTTTGTACCTAGCTTTCAAACAAGTGCAAACACTTTGATCACACTAACACAAATAATGATCTATTTATACAAATTTTTAAATGAAAATTTGTGAATATTATAAAATGGTAATTTAAAGAAGTTCAAAACAGCTTTAGCCTTAGTAGCCTATGAACTAGTTATTGGATCTGAATGGATGTACATCCATGCTTTGCATGGCATGGCATGATTATGATAATGATGGTAATAGCCATGTTGAACGCGTCTTGTTCATAGTTCTCAAACCGTCGCCTCAAACGAGTGCAAACCCTTAGCAATCAACACTCACGACTACCGGACTACGAGTCAGTAGTCACGACTCACAACCTCACACGTCGTAAGTTAGATCATCCGGACCGCAGTCACCTCACTCCAGTAGTGAGTAGTCCAGTCTCCATCCCATCCGAGTCCATCCTATTATTCAAATACTTATATAACAGACACTGGTTCAAAAACATCCGCTACGGTGCAACAGGAATTAGGAAATACCAGTAAAATGTGGTTAAGGGAACAGTGAAAATTTGACGGTATCTGGGATCCCTCCTAGGCTCCTAGTCCTACGATGTCAAAGTTGAATGGGAGACTGGGAGTACAGTTGTGGCCGGGTTGTGGGAGCTTCTTCTTTTCGGGATGTCCACGCAGGGTAGACTTAAAGCCACAGGACAATCGCAAGGATGACCGTTGGGCCTGAGAGCTTGTGTAGTTTTGGACCTCTTGGCATGGAGGTCAGACCACTTATTTTTGCTTTTGAAAAGTCAGTGGTAGGGCCAGCAGTATCTTGTGATGGTGTTTCCGGAACAATATTCTCATCATCACCGCCAGGGCTTGGCATGTCAGACTCAGAGTCTGACATTATGCCTGTGTTTTTTTTTCCAATCTCAAGCTACAGCTTGCAATAGTAATGCTGAAAATAAATTATATGCCGGTATAAATATGACAAGTTTTACAGCAAATAATTAAACAAAAACAAACAGAATACAATTTTCCCCAACAGTAATATAAATATAGAGTATAGGCTGGTCAAAGGTATTGATGTAACAATTTTACATAGCAATTTGTCAATGCATAACAGAGCCAAACAAGTTTTGATATTGAAAACAAAAGCAATGGTTATATTCAAATACAAAACTATACAGGAGTTCTACCTAATTGGTTTGGGACATGTAACATAAACTTAACACATTTGCAGTATGTGATTGATTCTGAAAGATGACAACATATTAATAATAACAAAAATAATAATAAGTACAGATGACAAGTTACACAATGATGTAGCCAAGGTTTCAATAGAATAATTCAGCCTTAATAGAAAATGATAAAAATGTTTAAATACAACGCAAGAATTTTAACTACCTAACCTTGGCTGGCTCACAAACCTACTCCTACCTACTGCCTCTTCTCATGAAGAGAACTTGAGAAGAGGAGGGGGAGGGGAGAGAAAGCCAGCCAGGTTCTTGACCCTTCACTAAATGACCCTTCACTAAATATACTCGTGGTATATATAGTAGTCCAAGATCAAGTAATATGTGATTTATAGGCGATTATTTACCGGTTAACTTTACGGAATCAAGGGCGATAGACACTAGAGATGTTTACTCGATGAACGCAGCTGACTCTCTCCGTTGTGGGAGCGCAGCCCCAGTTGAATGACATCATGTTCAAAGATCGGTCTCTCCGCAACTGCGGGTATGTGGAGAAAGTTCTAGACCATTCTCAGCATGCGGTACAGTGCGAGATAGGAAGGAAGCAAATATTACTTTTGCAAAAAATGCTGAAATTATAGTCTATACCAGTGAACAAAATTTAGTTGACAATTTAGCATTTCACTAAAGAAATACGAATATGAATGAACCCTGATGATAATTCTTTCAAAATTTATTCTATTGTAAATTGGTTAAGTATCGATGCTAAATCCATTAAAATGTTTTCAATTATATTCAAATCAATCACAATTAAAAATCTCTAATGCGAATACATCCGTTCGTACCTATAAATACCGCTTTCGTCCTTTGGGACTTATTTCCATAGCAGGTTTTCCATGCATAAGTCTGTCAAATTGGAACCGATCAGGACCAAATTAACAATAGAGATATTTATTGACATTTCGCTCATACTTATAAGCTAATTTAAGCTCATACTTACAAGCAAATTACGCTCATACGTTACAAGCTAATTTTTAGCAGATTTTCCACGCATACTTTCGTCGAATCGAATCCGATCTTCGCCTAATTAAAAACGATGCTATTTATGAACATAACGTTCATTAAATAAATAATACACTAAATGCTACGTCATAGCAGTATTTCCACTCATACGTTTTTAATGTCGAAACTTATCTTGAATTAATTAACGTTTTTAATTAACGTGCTGTGGGCGCTAACCTAAACGCTAAGTTGTCGGTGGATAGCTAGAGGTTCCAAGCCCAATAGCTATTGGATAGATAGCCCAAGTCCACAGTGCGATTCATATTCCTTCCCGAGCGTACCGCAGCCGGGCATCTTCACGGCTTTTGACACAAAGCGCCCACCACAACAGCGCCGTTCAGTCACAGGCCGGAGCACAACTCGCAGCAGGCCCGACCGCAACAGCTACTCATAACGTAACCTAACCTAACCTGCGCCGCCTGTTGCGGTAGGGCCTGTTGCGCTCCGGCCAGTTGCGCTATGGAGCAGTGGCTGTGTTGTGCAAAGCGGATTTACTGTTAGCCGGAGTTACCCACAGCTCATTGATCTGAGGCTATGTGTAGATATTGCATGCTGATGGTTGGCGTTAGGCGCAGGGCCTGTTTACGAGTCAATTTTGTTACCCACGGCTGTGCTCCCAAGTTTGTTAGGCGCGCAAATGGGACCATAACTTAACGTTTAAGGCAGTACGTGTAAATAAAAGCCGGAAAAAAAATTATAACAACTCTTCCAGAAGCATGATGTAGATAATAGTTCCATCGCTAATCAGGTAAAGATCAGTTTCAATTTAAAAAATTATGCACAGAAAATCTTATAATTCTTAACGTTTCTCATGCTAAATATTCTGACAATGCACTATATCCTCACTTTTCTCCGTTCTCTCCCAAGAACCCGCCTGCGGATTCCCACTCGCCTGCGCGACTGTCCCAATCACAACTCCTTCAATTATGAACGGATCGGCATAAATTGAGAATATAACCAATTGTTAGCATTGTGCCATAGCTATCACTGTCAAATAAATTCATTTTTTAATTAAGGTAAAAAACTTACACATGCTCTAAAGAATTCTGATACGCCTGGTGTTAACGCATTATGTACATTATAGACCGTTAGTGATGTGTACCTGCCTGGTCTCAAGTCCCTCATAAGTTGTATACATATAAAGATATGCCTGTAATAGCCGACTATCGACCTGCATGGCCGGCATAAATGTAGGTTTGAAGACTATCGAACACTTTCTAAATGCCCATACACAATCTGTTCGTGTAAATAGGTGTAATTCCTAACGGCATCATAAAAAAAACTGCAAACAAAAAGGGGCATTCCTCTTTTCAAAAGGGCATAGGATAGAAATTTAATTTCGTGAATACAAATTACATTTATTGAGAAAATTTTCATTCATGAGCTAAACAATTGCGATCTATCATTATCCGACCAATATAAAGGACAATACAATAAGTATTGAGCATATTTGCTCGCATAAGTCCTTTATCGAAAGATTAAAGCTTCGAACACTTGAATAACTAAACCAAAATCTTAAAATACATAGAAGATTTTTGCTTATGCTATTTGTTGAAAAAATGGGGGTATATACGCTGCCTACAACGCGGACCCAACGCGTTCCACAAGCACTTCAAACGAATTATTGGCATCAGCGTCGGTCGGCGGGGTGGTGAAGCGAAGGGCGCTCTATTCACTAGTATTTACTGGGAAACTAAACTTTATATCCAATCCAAAACAAATTTAAAAATTAATGTTGTAAATTAGTCAGGTTATTAAAACGGGAAAATATTTAAAGAAATATACGTGTTTTTAAATTAGCCCTCTGGATATTTGTTTTTCCTTCTTACAATTGCGCCGGTCCCAAAAGGATTGCTAGAATTTGAAACAAGAACCAACACCAGGGGTCACGGCTATAAACTAAAAGAAGTGCGATGCAACTCATCCATACAACACTTCTTGACGCTTAGAGTCACCGACGTGTGGAATAGCCTCCCTGATTACATCGTTGACGCTCCGAGTATGAACGCGTTCAAGAACAGACTAGATAAAGCCTATATAAAGGAAAATGATATCATTGATATGTTCAGACTTGAAATGCCGAGCACCATATCGAACCCGCTGGAAGTCTAGTAGCTATTTCAAACTATCGTCAGCTTCGAAGACCCGGTCAAAGGACCTATATTCAGATCTCATGTGAACAAGTCACGAAAAGTACAAGATTCGGCGACAGCTAGGCCACATCAGGCCTATTCTTCAGCGCCGACATCATGATATCATGATATGATATGATATGATATGATATGATATGATATGATATGATATGATATGATATGATATGATATGATATGATATGATATGATATGATATGATATGATATGATATGATATGATATGATATGATATGATATGATATGATATGATATGATATGATATGATATGATATCATGATATGATATGATATGATGTGAAAGAAAAGTCATTCGAGTCTCAACATTTTACTTCTCACAATTTTTATGCACAAATTATTCCCTATGAAAATTGTGATAAACAGTTACAAACTAAAATTCGGGAATAGCAGGTTCGCTCAACGCATAGAAGTTCATTTTCAATGCACTGCATGGAGATATACAAAGAATTGATTTCGTTTGGCAGCAATCAAGCCGGAAACTCTCATGACTAGAAGAGTTTAAACTTGAAAATATCATTAAAAAATCGTAACTGATAATAACTGTTCTTAATTCTTGAAGCCCTGCGAAACTAATATGCTAATGCGAATGTGACCAACAAAGCATGGTCGATTGTTTATTAATTTGGGTATCTATGAGAGTTTGTGTGCACAATTCGCTGTGGCTACTGAGGTTCTGTCAAAACGGATTGCATTCATTGAACGTTGTTTGAGGTCAGATTAATAAATCACCAAGTTATAAATTCCATTGAGAGTTATGGTGCCGGTGTTGTAATGTGGAAGCAGTAGTAATCGAGATCGTAAAGGCAAGTTGTTCACATTTTAAGGCGCCGAAGCCAGAAAGAAAGCCAAAACTGGTGACTTGGGGAAAGGGTAACGTTAAGCAAATGAGACAGGACACTACTTGACCAAAACACTCTGGCGGCAAACGTGTGAGCAAATTTGTTTATAAGTTATATTTGCCTAGAGCATCGAGGGCTGACAATGGGAAAACTTGAAACTGTCGCTAAGACGTAACCGTGAGACACCTTTACAATCGGCGACACTAAAGCAATAGCGACAGTAACAGTACTACTGCGACAGGCGATCCCAGTACACGTCATGCGGCAACAACCGCTGTAAACAATATACTACAACAAACGTTCGTGCGTGAAAGAGATACGGTCAATCACGACAGGTGTACGATTATACGGGACAAGAGCGTAGAAAGTTTCCTCCACTTTTTGAAGTTTGGTTCCATTTTAGTTCGGAAAATTTGTGAAAGTCCATCACATGAAATTGTTCAATTTGCATTCGACTGTGTTGAGTGATGTTCAGTCGGCAAGAAAGACGACATATTATTCGTAATATTGACGTAATCGTACTAATATGTCGTCTGTGATTGGGACTGTTACGCAAATGTTGCATTTTTTTCGTTTTAATCGAAAACGAAATGACGTAAAAATCCGTAATAATTCTACTAAAAATCCGTAATAATTCTAATAATTCTACTTCGTACTGTGACTAAAAAGTTTTGTTTAAATCTGTTCAGTATTGATTTGACAAAATTACACCTGAAAAATCTGCAATGAAAGTTCGCTGCAAAAATTCGATTAAAAAGCTTCTACGAGTGTTAACCATGAGTGCCACACATGAGTGCTGCCAGTCACACAGCCACATTTTATATTTTTCAAATCAAAAATCAAAGTGCTATTGACAATAAATTCGCCGTAAAACTGTCGAATTTACAGCCCGCTTAAAATAGAACAAGTATCTTAACAGTATATGGGGGAAACCTCGAATGTCAAAGATTTAGCGAAAAAGCATAAATTTCTCCAGAAGCGCCGGTCCGAGAACGTAGGGTCCTTGCGGAAAGCCAACCGAACGCGTCGTTGGCCATTTTGCTTGGGTCGTTGGGCGTCAACTCTGTCAGCGTAAGGCGTTGCCGATTCTCCCTCGGACATCTGTGTGAGTCACTGAGAGCAAATGGAATGTAGGAAATTATTGTTGCTAACTAATTGTAAATTTGTGATTGTCCACTGCTAGTCACTACTTTTGTCGTCTGTATTTGAATAATTATAAATGGAATGTGTTATCCTAGTGTCCTACTAAAATATATATTGTCAATGGCAGGGTTGAGTTGAGACTTAAGTGAACTCGTGATTATGAACAAAGTGGATGATCTGATTATATCTTAGTTTGGCATCTTGTATATTCAAGTCATTCAAATGAGGACTGAGGAGGAGAATGGAGATTGGGGATGTGGGAAGGAGTGGGATGTGGCAATGTGGGAAATCTGGGAATGTTTTGAGTTGATGTTATTATGTTTTGCATGTTATTTTGGTGCGAGGCAGGCCATGCCGGTATGGGACCGGGAGCATTGAAGTATATGTAGGTACTGGCGTACTGCGGCTTGTTGAAGTTGAAAATTTTATGAAACATGTTTGCAAAGTCACAAAGTGCAAACTGCAATTTTTTCAATCAAACTAAAAATTATGGCATTAGAGTTGCAAAATTTCACACCTACTGAAATTATATGATATTAGAGCTGCAATATTTCAGAAAAAATAGGACCTCTCTAGCCCTGGAAAGCAGAACCTAAAAGCTTAGAAAGACCCGGAAATTTCCACTTTCAGCCTCATTTCAGTCCACAAAATCAAAATGCCAAAACAGTTTAGGTAGTAGGTACCCATGGTCAGGAAGATGTGCCAGGTGCGCGGGAATTTATATTGTCATTTTAACGACCTGCGCGGCATAGTGGCAAACCAGAGCTTTTTTAGAATCAGTTCATTTTTAATTTTCTCATTTACTCAAGATTCAAGCCAATTTCCTATGTATGATAATGCTGGTATCCAGGATACTTTACTGGTCTACTAATAGGACTCAAAAATGAACTTGAGGGAGAGTCTAAAAAACTCTCTGCTTTGCCACTATGCTGCGCGGTGCGCCGTACTATGCCGGTAAAAAAATGCGCCGTGCGCCGACAGCGCCGTACTTTTAGAAAGCTAAAATAGTTTAAATATGGACGCGCGGCAATGCAAATTACGTAATCACACTGACCGTACACACAAACGTGTATCTGCATTGTGTTGTGGTTGGATAAATTGGATACGAGTTAACTTAAATTCAATAATCTCTCTTCCAGCAAAGTTTGCAAAATTCATTAGCTGCATAAAATACTCTCTGCTGTGGTGTTCGAGTTCTGGTTGACATGAAAACTTGCGGTTCCAAAAATGGCAGGAAAGCTCTAATCGCGCCGCTCTGAAGGCAATTCATATAAATAATAATATAATCTACGCCTACGCTGGAGGAAGTTAAAACTTCAGAGGTGGAACTAAATGCAGTAAATTTGCAGTAAGTCAGAAAATACCAGAAAAATACCAGATTTAGGCATATATACCAGATCTAAAATATTCATACCAGAAACCTTTGAAAATACCAGATTTGTGAACTTTGGTATAGAAATATTTTATCTGGCAATGCTGGTTCAGCGTTACTTGAAATCATCTACAGACGATGTTGCCATTCCATTCAGATGAAAACTGTGTCTAAATCAGAACTGTGTCTAAATCAGAACTGTGTCGGACGGCTCCGCGGCCCGCGCCGAGTGCTGCACGGCGCGGAATCGATGACCATGATTTGCACAAACGCCTGCGCGAAAAAAATATAATTAGATTGATTTACGCGAGAAATTTCCCTGTTTATATACATCTTCCTGAGTGTGGGTAGGTACATGAAATAGCTAATTGTATTTTATCATCATCCTGATTAACAATACATCAACTGGATTTGGTCCAAAACAAGCATGGAAAACATCTGCCTTTAGGGCTGCGACTAGAGGTTTCCCGCCATTTCCGAAACCGCGAGATTTCCGCCAGATGAATTACCTCCTATCCAATTGTTAACAAAAGTGCACAATCGAGCCGCGAGATTCCAAATGTATTGAAAATTTGTCATGTTGGAGCCGCGAGATTTCAGAAACAAATAGAAAAATTCCAATCCTGGTCCAAAATGTGAAGCCAGAAAATAAATTAAACATGCAAGCTTAAGGGTAACAATATGTTATCAATTTATTAATGTGACAGAATATGCAAGTGCCTTGGGTGAACCACAACTGCAGCAGCATGCATGAATGAGATACTTAATTAAGCCTTGCAATTTAGCTCTGACTTAGTCTGTTCTATTCACTCTATGTTGTGCAATTTACCTAATGATTTCATTCATGCACTTGTAAAAAAATTCAGGAAGTCAATATCTGTGTCTTGCCAATAATTTTTGACCTGTTTTTATTTTTTATTTCAATTCAATAAGAAAGTGATGTTATAAATCCTAGAATAGAATGATATTTCATATTGATGGCACACAACCTCACAGGTACAATACCGTAAAAGGGGGTAACTTAGATTACTTTTTTTTTAAATGTCATTTTTTTACTAGCTAAATTAAACTTAAATTGAAACATGCAAAATACAGGTCTATTCTATACTCTAGGTTTACTCACCATAAATTGCTGGCTCCTGCCTCCCATAGTTTTGAAATTTGATGTAATTTCAAAAAAAGTGATTGTCTTTGTTACCCCAGCTCTTGGGGTATCTTAGACTGGGTGGTAAAATCAATTATATTTTTTGGTAAAATAACTCCAAATAACTCCAGGTTTTGGTGCATTATAGAACTCTTCTAGTTACACACGAAAATGACAAATTTGAGGAATGTGTCATAGTTTGCAAATGGGGGGTAATGGGGGTAAATTACCATATATAACATATTTTAAGATTGATACACCTATTAATTTAATGTTTTTTCTTTGTGTTTCAGACTCTACAGTCTTATATATGGTAATTTTAACTTAATTTCCAAGCTGGTCCATGTTACCCCATCAGGGCTGATATTAGGTGGTCTAAGTTCCCCTATTCGGGGGCAGCGCCTCCCATTTGCAAACTATGACACTTTCCTCAAATTTGTCATTTGCATATGTAACTAGAAGAGTTCTACTACAATGCACCAAAACCTGGAGTTATTTTACCTAAAAATGTAAAAATTGGAGGGGGTTCTACAACAGGCTTTAAATAATAGCTCTTTTTTGTGGGTACAATTTTTTCATTTTTTAACCTATCAGATATGCATAATTTCTTTATCCTTCTATTGTGTTACATAGCCTCAGTATTAGGCCTTTAATGCCCATTGACAACATTTTTTTATGTTGAATAGTTTTTGAGTTTTGGGGTTTTTTGTTAAAAAAACTAAAAGTGGTCTAAGTTACCCTGGGAGTCTTAAGTAACCCCCATTTAACGGTACATAGTTTAGTCTTCAGCACAAACTGATTGGGATTGGAGGCTTTTTTTGAGCAGAGATTTCAGGTTACCATGTATGGTAACTTGCCCACATAAAATTTGATACAAAATAAGAATATATATATATATATATTAGTGTAGTTAGGCAGAAGTTCTTCATTTATACAGGTTTGGTTGAAGACCAGAGCGTACTTTTTATTTACGATTTTCTTATTGTTCTTTTCTACTTGCTTGATAATGAATATTGATATATTCGAAACGTCGCACTGCAATAAAATGTCATTCGGTAATCTACTTTTTGATCTCCAAGCTCCAGCTAGAAATTTCGTTCGGCTTATTGAAAAGAACAATAAGAAAATCGTAAATAAAAAGTACGCTCTGGTCTTCAACCAAACCTGTATATATATATATATATATACTGTCTTATTTTTTCTCATTTCCATTATAATTTACAAGAATATGACAAAAACAATTGTGTGCAATTTTTTAAACTAATAAACCTGCTGTTACAGTCTATATATAGCACTCTGTCTCATGTGTGGAATATGCAAATCTGTATTATAAAAATTTCAAAATTGTCTGTTACCTAGTTTTTAAACTATCAAGTTTTGTGTTGACTTGATCTTGTTTAGTGGAAGTGGCTCCACAGAAATCCCAAATTTGCCTTTTATTTCATTTTTGTTCAGATTAGTTATTATTTTAGTGAATCTTTGTTATTAAGAAATAACTTGGTATATATATTTTGGTACGTATATATATTTTCTGCCAAACCTTGTTGCTTATTACAAAGTACCAATCAGCTTCATGGCTAAGCAGCTAGGCCCTTTCTATGTGTTAATAAAATATTTATCCCTGCATCTTATTGTGAATGCAGGTGATCATCTTCAAATTGCAATTATTAGATTTTTAGACATTTTTCATCACAAACTTCTATTATCTTTTTATGAATCTACTTGAAAATTTTGCAGAATATTGGCTGGCAATGACAATGGCTGCCAATGAAGCCAAGCCTACTGAAGAAGCACCCTCTCACCGAAGCAGCAGTAGCAGCAGCAATCACAGCAACAGTAGTAGCAGTTCAAATTCTTCTGATACAAGCAGTGCCAGCAGCAGCACTTCATCTTACTCAAGTAAACTGCCTGGTCCTCCTGAGGAATTGGAGGCTAAGTTGTCTGATTCTGAAGGCTTGTGTGACGAGTTAAAAGTAAATGAAGAAAATGACAAAGATGTCCCTAAAGTGTTGGAGTCTCAGGAGAATATGTTTATTGCAAATGATCTGTTCTCTCACAATTCTCCATGTCCAAGTGAAGATGGCTTTGAAGGTTTTTCCAGCCCAGCCAGGGAAAGGAAAACTTATTTGAGTGCACAAACCAATTCTGAAAGTTCATCAAAATCTGTTTTGAATTTACAAAGAGAAATTTTTGATACTTGTGAATCTGAAGAAGAAAAAATTGACTCCTCTTCTAGTGATTATGAATCTGACCATGGTGAATCTCATAGTGATTCTGCTGAAAAAATATGTGAATCTTTAACAATAAAAAATGATGGAGCTAATCTATCTGAAAATGATAAGACAACACAAGAGCTAGCCAATGATGTTCCAAAAATTGAAATTTGTGAGAGAAACAAAACAAAACTGTCTCCTGGCATGCAGTCAGTTGAGCAAATGACTAAAGCAGCCATTGGAGAAGTGGTGGAAGCTTTAGATGATGACACAACTGGTGAGGCTGTCAAGCTACCAAACAATGTAATCAAGAAAATTATAGAGAAGAAAGAGGAATTACTTATTGAAGGCCCCAGTAAACTAAGCATTGGCAGTCTGCTTTGTACTGCTAGAAAAAATGATGCATCAGCCTTATTGAAATCTAAGAAAATTTCACTTAACCCTGATATGAGATTAGGTATTGACCCTAATTTGGAGCCATCAAGCTCTAAATTAGATCAAAATTCACTTGCTCCCAATGACACTGAATTACATTCTTCACTAACTGAAACTGGCAAGAGTATCACCATCCCAAAATCAACAACAGAGAATAGTTTGAAGACTCAGGGTTTTTCTCCTAATGATTTTGGGAAGAAGTTATTTAATGGGACGCCAGACCATATCAAACCTCACACATCCTGCCCCACATCCTCTGAAGAAGATGAGGAGGAAGAACAAGAAGAGACAGATAAAGATGGAGAACCTCCTTTGCCCATCCAAGCAGAGGTGGTGATGTCTGAAGGCAGTGACAGTGAAAGCCAAGCACCAAATGAGAAGAGGAAAAATTTCTCTAGTTCCTCCAACTTGCTAAGACCACATGAATTTCTGAACAATGGCTTGAATGGTGCTGACATCTCTGAATTACTTCGAAGCTATGTAAGTACTATGAGATGAATGGAATTAAAGGAGTAATCAATGAATAATTCCACCCAGTTACTTGGTATTGCATGGCTGTTTCCATGCAAAAAATGCTTACAATTTACCCTCTGACAATTCTTTACATTCCAACAAGTCAGGATCCCCAGAACACACAAAAAATGGCTAATTAAAAAATCTTGAGTTGCCATCAGCCGTTATGAGCTCTATAAATTGACATTTTGGCATATGCCGCAGTAAAAAGTCTGTCTGAATCCTACCATCAAACTTCATAACTGTCTCTACCCATATTATTCATAACGTGCAGTTGTTGCTCCAATAAGGTACTTCTGTATTTCCTCTCATTAGCAAATATTTTGAATATTGTTATTATTGTGGTACCAATAATGTAAAGAAATTAAATTCAATTTGGACGTTTGTGCAGGTTGGGGGAGATCAAAGCGGTGAAATGGTTCAGTTCCATCCCTCAAGTAATGCATTGCCCAAGGCATGCTCAAATTTATCCTTGTGGCAGCTGGACTCTGTCAAACTACCAGCCTTTGTTCCTTCACAGAAAACTCCTGACTGGATTCGTGTCACCATCCCCCCTGAGGGGTACAAATGTCACAGCTGCGGTGACACGTAAGCCATCAGACTTGTTTGTATATTTTTTGAGCAAATTTTTTATATATGTGTAGGTGTTTTTTAACATTGAAGGTTTTTTCTAACTTCCTAACAGTTTTTCATATGCAGTTGGTAGGCCAATTTAAACTGTATCAACTGTACTGATCATATATGAAAAATTTAAGGCACCCAAAACAATTTCCATGATATAATGAGACCTACCTTGGCTATCATGCCTCAACTATGTTATAATGTTTGTACCCATCATCAATGGTTTACTTAAACTACAAGATTTGTATTTCTTTGTAATGTTTATGTTACAAAAACTCTCAAATAATTACATCTACGATTCATAGGTCTGGAAACTGCTACTTGCTTAACGTGCATTGTGACCAGAAATTTTTAAGGAAAAAGATTTCCTTCTAAATAAACCATTACTATCATTAGATTAAGCAAGTGTTTTGTTTTGCAGGTTCTTTTTGGATTCGTCAAGGGAGTCTCACATGCAGAGACGCAGTCTGCTCATCAACCTGGAGTGTGGCCCATGTGATGCTCGACTGACTTTCTACAATAGATGCGCCCTCAGAGGTAAGGCAAATTATGATCGTTTGCTGAGTGATTATTTTTTTCCTTAGAATCACCTCACAAATACTTAGTTTCATTTCATTCCATTTTTAAATTATGTTATTTTTCCTCATCAGGGAATTGACAATTCTATGGAATTGGCAGCCAGTTTGCCAAATCTGTAGGTCAGCATTTCATTGCTTATTCAGAAAATTGGATGTTAGAGCTGGAACATAAATTGGCAGAAAGTCTGAAAAGGGTTAGGTCAAGTCTGGTCAAGTTTCTTTATATTAAAAAAAAACTTGGCTGACTGACCTAACACCAGATTCCTATAATATAGAAATGCTGTTTCTACAGATTCGGCATGACATATACATTAATATGTGTTTTGGCCTGTGCAGAACACTTGCGCATGCACATCATGAAAGGCGAGGATGTTGACGATGACACCGTGGAGGTGCGCTCTCTGCCAGTGCACATGACGCCCCTCCTGCAGCCTTACGTTGTGCCCGTTCCCAGAGTCACAGATGAGGTAAATGCGGGTTTGCTTAACCCAGTTATCTGCTGGGAGGTCTTCTAGTCACCAGCCCCTGATATTTATACAAATATCATTGGCAATGATTAATGGATCTGTAGATAAAGAGTCAACCCATTATATATTTATGGTAGCTCTGTTTACTAGCTCAAATTCGGCCAATTGTGGAATTTGAAGCAAAAAGTTATAACTTTTTTATGACTTTGATGATAAATATACCTTTAGACAAATGGGGAGTGTGATGCTTACAGTCCAGGTAGTATCTAGATTCCTGTTAGAGTTGTGGTAGGCTTGATTGCCTCTCTTACTATTAAAGTCATCCCTGAAAATTTCTGCGTCTAGTTGACAGCATTGATACCTGAGAACACCTGTGAAATATTAAAAATAGCAGAACTTAAAAGTATCATTCATCGTGAAAAAAGTACAAAACTGATTATAACACTGATGAATTTCAACTGGCTAAAGTGAGACTGAGTCTTTGCAAAATAGAAACTGCTGTAAATACAAGCTGGCGTGGCTCATGAAGGTCTCAGTCCGTACTGACACAGTATCAGGTTGTGTGCCATGCCAGGTTCCGAGTAGTGGAAGACAAACAAGGTTGTAACTTCACGTGATTAGAGCATAACCTAGGCATCGTGCACAGATATAAGCATGAAGCTGATTCTTTACAAATATAAGCATAAAACAGGCATCGTGTAATGATATAAGTTAGTGTGAATCATATTTTTATTTGTTTGTATTCAGTGTACAATGATGGCTGCAGCTAAGTTGTTTGAAGTCTACTCATAGCGACCGATTAAGGCGTTTTTTTTCCTGGTTAGACGGAGCAAGAGCTGTGTTGCTTTTATAATGCTTTTTGAAGGATATCTGAGTGCCTGATTTGTGTAAATATTGCTGATGTATTTTTTACTCTGCAGATGACGCGGTCGGTTGGAGAGAACGATGGAGTGGTGCAGACTAAAAAGTACGAGAACACTTTCTCTTTTATGCTACAGCTATTCAATTCTATTAATACCCTCCCTCTCCTTCCCTAAAAAAATATTTATTACTAAATCGACATTAGTTACCTTACTCATTTTGATTTAATGTAAGATTGAATACTTGGTCAAATTTGTGTGTCATTGAACGGTTGATAATCATTTATCCATCATCGACTGCACCGTGCAGCTTGCTCTGTGTACAGAATTTCAGCACCTAACGTCCTCAGTCAGTTTCATGTTAGCAATATTTTTATTTGAGCGCTTGTGTTAAATATTGAAAATGAGGTACTTAGTTCATTATTTGCACTAGTGCGCGGTAAATTGCATATAGATTATTCTTTCTATATATAGTCAATATTTAATATTACACAAGGACTACTACACACAGGACATGCATAGCCTATGTCCAGCCTCTGCTAGCAGAGGCTCAAGGACTACTACACACATTGTAATACTATTGTATGAAACAATTATGGGCATATCATTTGTTGATGCCACTAAAACAACAGCATTTTCATAGTGTAGGCGATCGCCTCTGCTAGCAGAGGCTGGACATAGGCTATGCATGTCCTGTGTGTAGTAGTCCTTGATATTACATTAAATTTCTATCTTTAAATGTATTTTAATAATTAATTGAATTTAATTATTTAGGATTTTTATTTAATTCTTTTTCTGTAATAAATCTCTTTCGTATAATTATTATATAACTTTCATATAGTGCTCATGTGTAATCTAACCTTCTTCACACATTTCCTAGGCATTTTATGATAGTTAACCTTTTTCACCGACATCTTAATACCACTTACATTACAGCTCGTCATGTGACCGCATGCTGAGGTGCTTCATGTGCGACCGCATGTTCTACAGCATACGTGAGCTCATGGCACACATGCGTACTGATCAGGCCTTCTCTGACAAGCGCGTTGAGTGCCGAAAGTGTCAACTGATCCTGCCAAGTGTTTGTGCTGCCAAGGCGCACATTTTGACCCACCCTCCTACCAACGAAACCAATATTTCCGTGTGTCCCGAGTGCGGCTCGCTGTGCGAGTCGCCACGAGATTTTGTGCACCACATCAACACGTGCGGTCACCACTACAGGCGCTCTGGTATCATTTGCAGTGAATGCCACGTCTGCTTCTTCCGTTCCGATGACGAGTTTCTCTCGCATTGGATAAAGGAACACTGCAATAAAAGTTACGAGTGTTCGGTTTGTAGCAAACGTTTTGAAAGCTTAGTATTTCACAGCTGTTCGACTCCCGGGCAACAGGTGCTAAGTGCTTTCAAATGTGTGCTCGACTGTCCACTCTGTGATGAGTCCGTTCTTGTCGACACGCTTGAGCACGACGACATTCATTTCCAAGTGCGCGAGCATCTCGACAAGAGCCACACCAGAACCATTAATCGTGTTCACTATGTGTATAAGTCTAAATTCTGCAGCAATGCTTTCCGAAGTAAAGACGAGCTACGCGCACATCATGAAAGAGAGCATCGAAGGGATAACCATTATCGCACGAAGTCGTGTTCCCTCCACCACACCGTCGTGGCTGCCCAGCAGAAATATTCTATTACAGCAAATGAAGTCCGCTACTCTGAGCAAAGAGGAGCTTTGGTCAGCCTGCCTATACTGTTGAGCGCCGAGGAGCAGGAAGAAACGCGCTTGAGGGAAATTCCAACCGTCAGCTGTATCTTGGATAAAGATTTATTCCCTGAGATGCCTAGTGCTGTTGACCCTTTGACAGGACAGAGAGTTACAGTCGTTGATGGCGTGAAAGTCGATGCCTTGACTGGAGAGGTTTTGAATGCTGTTAACTCGGACACCCCCAAGAGTAGGCCTAGTTTAGACGATGGTTTCAGCCCGTATGTGTGCTACAGATGCGGCCTCACGCACTCCGAAAGAAAGAAACACAAACGCCACGTACGGAACTGCACAGGCGAGATGAGAGACCGAACCTGTCGCGTGTGCCATAACAGCTTCAGGGGCGAGAATTTCGTCCTACATTGCCGCTATCACATGCAACAGGGCATCATCCTGTGCATGTTTTGTAACGCTGCTCAATTTGAATCCATGGAGAGGCTTCATAGCCACTTCGAGAAACATGCTCATGAGCAATTCGTCTACCCAGCTGTGTGTCCATTCTGTAGCATTGTCATGCCAGATGTCGCTTCATCGTTATCTCACCTTATCGACAAGCACGCTTTTCTAATGAATCTTAGCTCAAACAATTCTAATAATTCCAGCATTACAGCTGTAAGCTCATCTCAACCCGTGATAATAGCAGCAGCGCCCGAGGCATTTGTACCCTGTGAAAGATGTGGCCGTAAGTTCCAAGGCGGTAGAGCCTTGTCAGTTCACTCCCTATCGTGTCACACATCCGGCAGTGCGGCCCAGTTGCCCAACACGCGCCAATGTCTTGCATGCAAGCGTGTCCTGACTCCTGAGACAATAGGCAAACACATGGCTGGTCACTTGCAAGATGGCTTCATTGTATGCAGCTTGTGTGACGGTAAGCCTATTGCCTCCAGCGGAGACTTACTGGAGCATTTAGAAGAGCATGTTTCCTCGCTCTCATATCCGTACTCTTGCATCATGTGCCAACTAAAATTAGAAGATCCTCAGGACGCTCTTGAGCATCTCAAAGAAGAGCATGGTTTGGGGCATCTTGCTTGCCCTGAGTGTGACATGAATTATACTTTCAGCCAACAGCTTGCTCGGCACACTGAAATTGTTCACCGGGTCTGCCAGTACTCAAAGCGCCGTTATATCTGCTGGATCTGCCGAGCCTATGACCACGTCAAGAAAGAGACACTTATGAATCATTTTTCAACTGCTCACGGTCTTGAACGATCCCAAGTTAATGAGAAAATAATGATCAGAACAAGAGGTCAGGGAACGATGCCAACTTCTCAATTTGTACCAACTAAGCAAATCAATAAGAAGAAATCGTCAGCTAGTGATAAATTCCCTGATGAAGCACAAGCTCGTAGTTTCTGTGAAGTATCGCCCACTGGAGGCTCCATCAATTCAAGTCCTGAAACGAAACCTCCTACAATTGTTAAGGATACTAGTCCCCCTGCGACGAAGCTAACATCTCCAGCTGCCACTCCGTCATCCAGTTCTGCCAGCGTTTCTCCACCTGAGAAAAGTTCCATACCTATTATTCCTCAAAAGGTCACTGATACGAAAAATACCCAAAAAATAATTCGAGTTGACATTAAAGAAGCTCTCATTAAACCACAAGTCACCAAAGTGAGAATAGAAGAGGCCACTAATAGCACTGTAGTTAAGCCTGCTCCTAAAGTTAACGTTACAATAAGTACAAACTTAGCTAAAACGAACACAAATATTCAACCTACCGTGTCCATTTCTCCATTGGAAGTTGGGGTAAAACGGAAACTTGATACAAGTTCTGATGGTGAAAATTCATCTGGTGTGTCCGTTTCCAGTGACTTGTCGTCAACATCGTCTAACTTAAAAAAGAAGAAGAAAACTCATCAGTGTAATTCGTGTAGTTTTGCGACAAATTTCAGAGAAAAGCTGGAACGCCATAAGCAACGACAACACGGATCTCCTGTCACTGGTTTTCTGTGCCAAGAATGTGGTCAGTCGTTCGTAGTTCAACAGTCACTCGTGCGCCACATGTTCTTTGATCATAAAATCAAGTGGCAGAGCGACCTTGCCTCACGTAGCGAGTCGCCTGATGTGAAGCAGCTAGAAAATCCAGACGAGCAGCCCAAGCAAATGGTATGCCTAAAGCGGCCTGCTGGGCAGTTGGTATTGGATTCAAATAAGATGAGACGACTGAGCAATAATGACCGCCCCGAAGATAGAAAAACGATGTTGTCCAATCTCCCTAAAGTGACTGCTCGCGGTCTCTTCGGTTCAACTCGACCGGACAGCAACAAAGTTATTGTCACGCAAAGTTCGATTATTAGAGTTGAAAGAAGCAAGTCAGTTGACGGAGCCCCGACCGTTTCTAAAATTATTGCCAAGCCTATTGGTGAAAAAGGCTTCGTGTCAGCGCCGTGCCTAAAATCTGTTTCAGTAGTGAGTTTTGGAATTAATTCTGGTGTTGGCGAGCTTCCCAAGACAACTTTGATATCCGGTGACGGTAAAATTCACCAGAACCAAAGCACCTCAAAAACCATTGTTGTCGGCAAGCCTTTGCAAGTCCAGTCTTCGATCGTCAGTTTGCGGCCTCCAGTAAAGATCTCGTGTTCGTCCTTGGGATCTAACGCCTCAGAGAAGTCCAAGTCCGCCTCAGCTCTCACATTTATGAATACATCAAACTCCCCTGCTGACTCCTCACCAATCGTTTCTGTTCGGCTACCTTATGTATCTCTTGGTTCCCCACCAGGAGCATCATTAGTAAGTACTTCAAACGCCTTAAAATCAGCAAGTGATAGCTCGGCTGTCGTTCTACCAAACCAATCGAAAATTTCAGTCACGAACAAATCCCAACCTCCGCCTCGCTCTTCTTCAGCTCCTATCCCACAGTCCGCTAATTCTATTGTAACAATGTCCGCTTCGATCCCAGAAATGCCCGACATTGAAACCTCCGCTTCCGGTGCTCCTACATCAGCTGAATCAATAGAAGATGAAGTCGTGACCCTTGATGATGATGCCAACGAAGAAAGTTATGAATGCGGAGTTTGCAACGAGGAATTTAGTTCAGTAAGTGAACAGTACAGTCACATGAGGACGCACGGCATGGCATTCTTGCAGATTGGTCGTAAGCACAGGGCTTTACCTGCGCCCGGTGTCAGCTCTACAAAAGATGAAAATAAGGAAGCTGAGTTAGATTCCCCATGAAATATCGTGATGCGCAAGTTGCAAGCGCGTTATTTCGACTCCCAATGAATCTCTTAACACCGTTGCTTGGACTCGGAGTAAGTTGTCTGATTTTTAGGCCCAATCTTATCGTATAATAATTGCATCGAGTTTTAGCTTGGAACTATCTATTGTTGTCTAACCTTACCTTTGTGGTGAAACCTATCATAGGAGTCCAGACGCTAGTCCTTCATGGAGTTGTGACTTTTTTTCTATTGTATTTGTATTTCCAACTACAGATTGGACCTTATTTAATCAAATCATCTTTTAAAATAGGGATTGTTCAACACTTTTTGTGCGGCTAAATTGGTTGTTATAAATGCTGTACATATCTAGATGACTGATACAGTGGGGGGAAATAAATATTCGTACACTTGAAAAATCGTATTTTAATGTATGTAAGTACACAAACTTAACAGGAAAAGTGATTTAAATTATGTATAGAGACGCATAGTATTCAAAAATACTATTCTGATGAGCTGAATAAAGGGTATTCAACCAAGTATTAAATTAAAATAATGCGGATTTATTGTTTTGTACGAATACTTTTTTCACCCCGAAAAGTGAACATGTTGCATTGTTTTTTGTTGCATTGAGATTTAATTTCTTTTGATAGTATTTTTGAATACTATGCGTCTCTATACATAAGTTAAATCACTTTTCCTGTTAAGTTTGTGTACTTACATACATTAAAATACGATTTTTCAAGTGTACGAATATTTATTTCCCCCCACTGTAGGTAACTAATATTCTCCTTATTGGTCAAAAGAATCGAATAGTTTAGGTAAACTGTTCGATTTCTCATCGTGAACATTTAAATCTCAACTCTAAAAAGAGACTTTTACGCACTGTGTCGCATGACACTGGATTATGTGTCACTTCATTGTACAACCGTGTAAGTTGACTAAAGTTCTGCGATATTTTATATTCATCTGTGATTTTATGTCCAGTTTAAAGTGTACCGCTAATCTATTGTTCTTACCTGGGCTTGTGACAGTGCATGAAATGCGGCAAGGAAAGTGTATTTTAATACCGTCTGCAGTTCCTTCAAGATTTGATGCCTTCAGTGCGGTATTTGGGCGTACAATTTTACAGTAAAAGTCTCATTTTATTTACTGAATATAGATAGCAAGTTATGTCTTTAGAATCCTCCAATAACTTATTAGATGGTATAATGCAAACTGAACAGGTGAAACCGTTTCTGGAGGATGTATTTATTTGGTTATTTAGGAGTATTTTTATGTTTGTTATTAATAAGATGTTACGAGAATTCCCTATAAAATGGGTTAATGTGTAATTTCTCATTACAGATGTAAAGAATTATTTGAGATAGAATAAAATTAGGAAATCAATATGACTCCAGATTACTTAGATGTGTTCTTATTATTATCAATTGGTTCTGATAATTCAATGAAGGTCAGGCCACGTGTCTCTCTTATGGGAGTCAAGTCTTGCTATTTTATTTTCCTTGCATGTCTCGTCTCTCTACCGTCACTACCGTGCTGCCGGCCATCGTCTCGTAGGAGCCACCTCTTTTACGAGTTTATTAGCCACTTTCCTATCCTTTTTTCGTCTCTGAATGAGCAACTCTGCTTCCGTTTCGCCGACTTTATGCTCTGGCAAATAATGCCTTCTTTCTCTTGTTCGAAAATAATATTTGATTTGTATAATTTGTGGTTTTCCAGATCAACTGCCCTACTGCTTATGAATATAATTTGCGAACAAGAGAAAGTGCCGTGTCCACTTTACTCCAAAAAATCACTTTTAAAAGTACTTCAAGTTAACTTATAATACGGCTCAGCTCCCGCAACCGATATGCTTCCTCTTTCTTCCCATCGAAATACGGATCGGTGGGCGAATTTCCTTGGAATGCTTACTATTTTGTAAAAGATGTAGAAGTTTTAGTCAGGAAAATTATAATTATGACCCTTCACACCTTAAAATTTATAAACACAAGTTATAATGTTTTTTTTTTTTTTTTTTTTTTGAGGCAAGTTGTTGAAGCAAAAAATGAGAATGACCGATAACGAAGTCATATTACGATAAAGATAACTTTTTTATCTCTCAATCGGCCAATTGTTTATAATCACAATTATTCTCGCGATTGTGAATGGAGACTTTTAAAGGGCCACAAAATTCCTATGTTTTATAATATATTTATAATTACCGACGACTCTTTCCATTACTCATTCAGTGATGCTCCAACATTTCGTTGCACAGAACTCCTGACCGCTGCACCTGTCGTTATCGACAAGTGTGATTACGAGCCGCAGGCAGAGCGGCCGACACAGATTTTGTTAGGTTATTTTCTCCACGGTGGAGCCAGCCATTAATGTTCGTGTACACTGCAGGAGTTTTCTGTCGCGTATCTATGCTCGTCAGAAGTCCTTTGAGATTTCGCGTTCCTAAGTCTAAAAATTTCGCGTCATTTTTCCTGAGCGTACCACCTTGAGTTCGCGGTGTCACAGTTCTGGGGTTAAGCTATCATGTAGGCAGATCAGTTGTGGAGGTAAGCTATCATGTAGGCAGGGCAGTTGTGGGGTTAAGTTATCATGTAGGCAGGTCAGTTGTGTTACGCTATCATGTAGGCAGGTCGGTTGTGGTGCTAAGCTATCATGTAGGCAAGAGTCCTTACATTTATCTTCTCTTTCTCATGTAGGTGGTCGACGTCTCGTGTAAGCGATCTCTTGTACGAACGTCTTTTTACTGTTGCAATTCACCTGCCTACATGTCTTATTCGGTACCGTAGCGCTGCTATATAATACCTTGTTCTTTCAAAACGTGCTCGTGCGGTTGTTTTACGCAGTATTAGGGCGTAAATGGAGCTAATTTTTCTTGTTTTTAGGTTCTGAGAATAACACGTCCAGATTTTTTTTCGTATCATATAAGTCAGCTATATTTCGTAATCAATAAATGAGCTGTAACCTATACCCCAGCAGCTCTTCTTTTGAAGAGTTATAGGGTCGCATTCAACTTTTCTTGCTGCTGATACATTAACCAATGATATTTGTATCTAAATGACTGTAAACTTAGATACCGTCAGCAGACAGAGGGATTAAAGATATCAAATCGTTGACATTTTTTATTGTTATCGTGAAATTTTGCTCCGAGGGATCTTACAATAAACAAAATATTGTAATATTCATTACAATTTTTTTACCACCCGATATTAAAAAAACTAAATGTAAGTTACAAGCTAGAAATTCGCTGGCACCAAGTATATGACAGTTTTTTAGCCCGCTCCCTTGCTTCCTAACACACCTAATCAAAATGCAGGCTGCCTCTTATACCGCAGCTGATATCAGGCTTATTAATATTTTGTATATATCGCGTTGACTTGTTCAGCTTCGTATTGACGTTATTAGGTTTGCATTTGCTCCTTATTTTAGTCCTGCAATACTCAGCTGTAATAACTGAATCTGTATAAATGTTATTTATCTACCCGTGTTCACCTATTGACCTTAGTATTCTTCGAATGTAAATTCATGTAAATAAAATTCAATAATACTGAATTATATTCAGACCAAGGCCCCTCCATTTATCGTAAACTCGTATGATTCTTGCATCGATATGAAATCGGTTCAGGGTTAGCTCAGACCACATTTATTTTGATCATTTATGGTACGTATAAAGAGGATTGACTGGAGTTAAAAACGAGAATATTCTAAAATTGTCTTCTTATAAACTTAATTTTTCTCGTTGGCAGTATATGGAGTGCCAGGAATAAATTCCAATTGAATAGTAATTTGGTTTTGAGTCACTATGTACATTTTTATATGAAAAAATAAACATTCATTCACACGTCATGCACCAAAAACCTAACTTGGCCGGATGGCTCGACAGATTGGTTCATTGGCTACACTCTAAGAAGTATGGTGAAAAATCAGTGCGATAGTGATATTCATTTTGCATTTAGCTCGTATGAAATGGAGTGCTTTATTTATGGCAACTTAATTTTACCTCAGTTATGTTTGGCTGAAAATCCGTTAGTTTTAGTCTCAATTGATTGATCCACGATAACAATTTACGAACCTTCTCAACTCGGTTAATTCCTTAAAAGTTTCAACTACAAGAAAACGGAATCGTCGACGTGAAAAATAATTTTATCCGCTCAATCAATACAATTATTTCCTTCATTAACGTTATATTTGGTCATATTCACCGCTTTCAAACTAAATAGTCTGGCCGACATTCAGGTAAATTGATGGGGAAAACATAAGAAGTAATTGGCCCTGTCCATCATTACATCATCTATGAAACGTCCACAATAAAATTTGCGTAGGTTGACCCGCTTTGCACCGCCAATTCCAAACATTGCACGCCAACTTTATTTCTCGAGTCGACCTGCTAGTTATAAAACAACGAATTCTAATGACCAGGGCCTATACGTTCAAAAAAAGTTAAGAGATCGTAAGTTCATCAGCCAATCATTGACGGCTTTTCAAGCAAAATCCACCAATCATAGACAAGTAAATAGAGCGTAAGTACTTACGTTCACTTAACGAGTTTTGAAAGTATGGCCCCAGAACATCTTAAAATAACAATTTTTTCATTGCATGTAATCAGGCCCTGGTCAAATTTCCAGCCCGCAATACAATTTTTTGGCTTCTTCTGATTAACACCAAATTGCCATCGGCCATAGAAAAAACCCACTGTGACATAGAATTAGCAAGATATGTATGTATAGGAGCAACAGCTTAGCTTTTCTTATGTCAAAAATACAAATTTTTGTGTAACAATATTCAAGGAATTACGGTCAAAGCTAGGCTTCTAAAAAATTAATCCGCATCAACCAGACTAAAATAAAGAGACTAGCAATAACTGAGAAACTTATCTAAACTAAATGGCACTAACCGATTTTGTGTCATGTTCTTTCAACATTCAAAAGGAACAAAATATGCCATGTCCATGACTATGGGTATTTTGAAATAAGGAACTATGAAGAAGACTAGACAGTTTCAAAGTGCTTAACATTTTAAAGTTAATTTGTAAAAAAAAAATTCAAAGCTCTAACCAAAGACAATGATTCTATACAATAATTAATGAAGTTAATTACATGTACTAGAAGTTTTTACAGACATGCATAGTGCGCTCCTTGGTCAGGATATCGACACAAAACAGTAACAGGTGGTCAACACTGAACACTACTTCGCCGCGTACAAGGGAATTTATAAATCGTCAACACCTATTAGGCTAAGTGAATCAACCAATTTCTTGAACAGAATAAATGCTAAGATATTTAACTCAAAATAAGGATGCAAGTGAATTTGTGTAATTCTCAACACTTATTGTTACATTGAGGTACAGCTAAGACGATAGAGTGTTGCTATAAATCGCCATAGTGTCTGGACAGAGTTGGTCCTTTCTTGAAACTTTTTTTCTTTCTTGCTTTGGTTTTCTTTTGGGCTTCATTGGTACCAGTAGGTTGTTTCTTGTTTGCATATGGGTTAATATAGTCTGGATCACGCTCTGCAAGCCCCAACTCTTGAGTCATCTGCAAACAAATAGCAGTTTTTGCATCGATTGCTTCACTTCATACCATTGAATATTGCACAACTACCACCTTTGCTATCAATACAATATAAAGGAATAGCTCATTTTTGTCATTTTTCAGCAGAACTTTTATAATTAATGTCAATTATTATCATTATTAAAAAAGAACATAAATTTTTAAATAAAACCTCAAGAACTGATTGAGAAGTTTAATTATAATCTTACAGTAGACCATCACTGAACTAACACAATTAATTGACATGCAGGCCACCTTAATTAAATCAAATAACAACATTTTTGAGACGGCATAAATGATAGGGATGCTAAGGAGTATAATGAATAAAAGTATACTCACCAAGTGCACAAGACGCCGAGTATTTTCTGAGAGAAAGGACGAGTGAGCAGTGAAAAAGACACCCCAAGCAAGTAAGGTCTTGTGTTGGTCTTGTAGCTTGTCTAACACCTTATGTGTTAGAGAAGGCAGGTGAAGAAGAACTTCACCCAGCAGACAAGTTGTCTCCAAAGTTTGAGAAAGAGCTGAAAAATGGAACATTCACCATTAATACACTACATATACACATATTCAACTGATTGCTGTGCTTTTTTCATAACATTGTTTCTAATTTTCATCATAATCCTGCTTAAATAAATGATGCAGTCAATAAAAGCAGTTTGAAATTTTAGTGAAGATAATATTAGTTACTATACTGCACATACCATCCCTCACATCCTCTTGTTCAGGAAACTCATTGCCAGGCACGTACCCTGCAAGCCTCAACTTCTCTTGACTTGAAGATAGAACCTGAAAAAGAAATAGGACTTGGATTAAATTAATAATTTTATCAGAAAAAAATGTCTACATAATAATTTATAGCTTTCTCAAATCATCCCATAATATTGAAAAAAGCTTAAGTTTTCACCTTCATATATGTCATAACATACTGGTCTATACTTCACAAAATTATTTACAAGAAGAGCGGAATATGAAGAAATGATAATATTTTAAATGGAAAATACTATGCATGAATATTTTCAATTAATAATTCATAGATTAATTAAATTATTAAACTCTTCAAAACCCTAAACAACTTGTGAGCCAAGGCTTTCAAGGTTATTTAACAGAGTCAATAAATTATAATGGCACTTCTAGTGCTTTTTCATCTAAATATAATTTAGCAATTATTTTAATTAGTTTACACATGCTTGGGAACAAACCTAATTTTCAACAGTTTATTATGAACTTTTCTCCTGCTGTTTCGGATTGATAGGAAAAAAATAATCGTGAACTCACTTGAAAAACCTTTTCCAAAGTAAGAGTTATCATTTTTTGTTGCTTGGTACTATCAGGCATAGCCATCAATGTTTGGACAGCTGCTTGGTGTTCCTTTCGTCTCTCATCAAATAAGTGTTGGACTGGAAAGAAAAATTAAATTACTCAGTATACAGCAGCCTACAAATACATGGAAACTTTTATAATTATAATTATGCAATTTTCAGAAATTTGTCCCTATTATTCATTTATTCCAGCTTGACAGCCCTTGATCCAAAAGTGGAGAATCTTGGAGAACCCATCTATGACTGTGTTGAGAATGCCAGTACTCACAGATAATTTTACCAGTTCCAAAGTCTCTTGAGTAATTTTTTCAGTAAAAATGTCTTTAAACTGACACATTCAATATGCGATTTTCAGAAAATTTTGCTTAACATTCCAGATTGATTTTATTTCAAGGTTTGAGATGAAAATTAAGAGAGTCAGCTTCACGACTATTGAAGAAATATATAAATGCGTGATTTATGAAGAGTAATATATCTATTTCCCTGGCCATGAATTGAGCTTTCTTGCCATTGTCAGAGCCACAAGATAAATTATCACCCATCTAATAAGACAAGTGTATAGGTAATCAAGCCACAATATTCTAATGTTATTGAAAATATGTTGCTTTGGATCAGTGGGATTTTAATAATTAATTAGAATTTCCAACCTTGAACCAATTTCATATATAAAATTGAACCCTGGAGCCTGGATTTCATACTTCAAAGCTGATGTGGAATGTTAGACAAAATTTAAAAAAATTGCAATAAAAATTTTTTGAAGCCGTGGTTTCATGGATTTGCCAGCCGTGATTCCATTTCTTGGAGCCGTGATTTAATTTCTTTGAGCTGTGAATTCTATACCTCAGCCATTCAAAGCCATTTACAAGCCGGCAGCCATGAACTTTTTACTAAGTCCCGTGCACATGTCACCCCTAATCTTTAATTTTACCCTAAAAACAGTCAATGCTAACATTTGTCTTGTTGTTGTTGTTAATTGCCCGGGATCGCTGCACGGCGGCGCCCCAGCAGAGGCGGCGGCTCCGGGGGAGGGGGAGGGAGCGGGGGTTCCACTCCAAGGATGTCGGAGAAGGATGGGAGCGATGAGAGGAAGGCCGCAGTCGGTCCGGGGTTAGTCCCCAGCTGGTTCCGGCAAGAGACTTCAGGATGTTGAGGCGCGGGCGGGCTCTCTGGCATTTCGCAGCGATATGTGGCGAGAAGGTGAAGTGGGGGTCAAAAGTGACCCCGAGGAGCTTCGGGGTCCGACAAAGTGGAAGGTCGGATCCCTCCCAGCTGACATGAGGGTCAGTTTGTGATTGGTGGGTATCGGAGGTGAAGAGGGTGGTGTGGGATTTGGGAATGGATACAGATAATCCCTTCCGGCGAGCCCACGCAGCCACGTCGGAAGCGTGGGAGGTGAGGACTGCACATTTGTCTTCACCACTTGAGTGGCAACTGCATGAACTGATCACATGATAATGCAGTCTGACTGCTCTGACGTGACCACAACTACGCAATCTATAAGGAAATGTTTTAGGTTGACTTGTTTTTGTTACGTTGTGTAGGATATTTTGGTTGGATTGTTGAAGCAGTATGGATTACGGACATTGAAAATTTTTGAAAAACATTTTTATTTTTTATGGAGTAAAAACCTAAAATTTCTCATCAAACAAAAATACTTGACATTAGAGCCAAGAGATTTCATACCTTCTGAAATTATATGATATTAGAGCAGCAATATTTCAGAAAAAATAGGACTTTTCCAGCCCTGAGTTAGAGCCTAACACTCTAACCCCAAGTAGTAAATTCAATAGAAGCAGTAAGAAGCCTTCTTTAAATTTGACAATAAGCAAATGAATCTAACCAATTTTACCTACGTACTTCTATTGCCTTTTCTTAATTTATTAAAACATTAATGAGAAAATTTTTCTATTTTAGCCTTCGATTTTATAAAATCACCTCATTCACCTGTGCCTTCAATTTTATAAAATAACCTGTGAAATGTCAGAAATGGTTGGTTTTGATGGATGATGGTAATATTGAGAAACTTCTTTCTGATATTAAAAATAAGATCTAGGAACACACATTTTCAGTCAGAGGTTAGAGCAGTAAATTTTAGATAATTAATATTCAACAAAAAACAATTACAAAAAGTTAGTTCCATTATCAGCTCCATATTTTACATAGGGGTAAACGCGGTATATTCCATCATCGTGGGTAATTCCGTCACCTCTCTAGTTTATCCTTTATATTAAGCTTTGTTTTAGTTCCATGCGTTCATTGATGGTTGAAATGGTGATGTCATACATTTGCGCGTCGAACTAATGCCAAAACACTAGGTCTTGGCCATCTAGCGGGAAAATATTGAGATCCAAAGAGAGACAATGCACGCTACCCAGTGAGATCATCGAAAAATGTGTCAAATTTGACAGTTGACCTTGCTCTACCAAATAGTGAATAACTGTTTGTATAGGAAGAATATTATGGTTTGAGACTTTTAAATACGTCTGTGAGTATATTAGGAATCCTTTAAGTATAGGGTAAACGCGGTCTATTCCGACATTGTAGGTAATTCCGTCACTTCTCTAGTTTTTCCTTTATATTAAGCTTTGTTTTAGTTCCATGCGTTCATTGATGGTTGAAATGGTGACGTCATACATTTGCGTGTCGAAATACTGCAAAAACACTAGGTCTTGGCCATCTAGCGGGAAAATATTGAGATCCAAAGAGAGACAATGCATGCCATGTGTTGTATCCCAATACAGCTCACACAGCAAACGGAATTCGAACACATGGATGTCGGCAATACGTATCAGTTAAATTTGAAGCGCTGACGCAATACGACTCACCACGTGTCGGATGTTGCCACACAAAATGACGGAATATAAGGATTTGGTAGGTTTCCATTCTAAAGGCTTTTTAATAAATATGGCAACATTTTGTGACGTTTCATCGTTGCTGACACGTAGTGAAGTGTTTTGAGAGTCATGTGAAGGCAACAGAACTTACGTAACGCATACGGTTTTTTTTATAGTTTTTCATTTCTCGATGCGTCCTTAAAGTGTCGGAATATACCACATTTACCCTACTTGTATTTGCTGATTTCAAGTGGTAAATTAATAGATGATTAAGTTGAGAAATGGATTTAGACACATGAAAACTAATTCCGTCACAACTTGAATTGGACACACAGACGTTCCAAGCTATGTACAAAAATTAAAATTTGCTTAATTAAAAGCTTAATAGTTGTTAATTAAAAGCATAATTAAGTAGTGTTCAATATTCATTAGTGTTCTAAATCAAAGCCGTGTTGTATTCCAATACAGCTCACACAGCAAACGAATTCGAACACGTGGATGACGGTAAATGTGGAAAACATCTACCTTTAGGTCCATAACTAGAACTTTCCTGCCATTTCCGAAACCGCGAGATTTCTGTCCGATGAATTACCTCCTGCCTAAGCCTAATTGTTAACAAAAAGGTACAATCGGGCTGCGAGACTCCAATTGTATTAAAATTTTGTCACGTTAGAGCCGCAAGATTTCATAAACAAGTAGAAAAATTTCAATCCTGGATGACGGCATTACGTATCAGTAGAATTTGAAGCGCGGACGGAATACGCATCACCACGTGCCGAATATTGCCACACACAGTGACGGAATATAGGGATTTGGTAGGTTTGCATTCTAAAGGCTTTTACATAAATATGGCAACATTTTGTCACGTTTCATCGTTGCCAACGCGTACTAGTGTACTACGGTGTTTTGAGAGTCACCTAAAGCAAACAGAACTTGAGTAACGCATAGGGTTATTTTTTTATAGTTTTTCATTTCTTGATGCTTCCTTAATGTGACAGAATATACCATGTTTACCCTACAAATGCAATTTTGTTTACCATTTTTCTAATGCTCAGCCAGTTTTTAATTAAAATTATATTACCAGGACTTTAGGAAAGTTACCTCATTCAAAACTTATTCATTCAACTTTCAAGTTACTTCCACTCCAGTGAGTCCAGTCTGAGTTCTAGTGACTTGAGTACCTAACTTCTACGTTCTAGAATCTAGACTAGGCTAGGTACATGATTTATGGATAGCCTAAACAACAAATAGACATACTTACATATAAGGAGATCTTTTGATGCACTTCCATCGCTTAAGACGATAGTTTGGAGAAATGAACTGAGACACAGAAAAGCACAAATTAATCTTTTCATTATGATGAATCTGATTCCCGAATTACTTAAACTTCAAGCCTTGAAAGAAGTTCGATGACGGCTAGGGGGCCGGGGCTAGGCAGTGTTTTGCTTACGTTGATACATTCCGGTCATTCTCTTCCACGATACCGGAAAATTATGCGTGTATAAGATTATATGTAAACTAGTTCAACCATGATAGTTAAATATATATGACAAAATGGAAGTACCTTGCGCAGGCTCAACTAATTTGTAAAGAAAGAAATTTAAAAGCTCAAGATCAGTAGTAAGACTGCATGGAATCCAGACTCACTGCTGAAGAACCTGAGTATGAATATAAATTTATTAACACAAATCAATTAACAAGATTGTCCAATTCCTAAGACATTCATGCTATTCTATATATCAAATTTGTTGCACATTATCTGGCGGAGCTTACATAAGCATAGATTTAGAATGGCCAAGCCATACTATTGCCAGTGACGCCAACTCAGGTAAGCAGATGCTGCGACACCGCTAGGGTGACGACGCATGAAACTGCCACAAAGACGTCACTTATACCTGCTTGAAAGTGAAATATGTTTTTTATTCTAACCGGATAAAAAACATGACATTGCTGATCTCACTGTGATATCACAATTAAGCAATTGCTGACACATGTGGCGAGATAGCACTGGGCAGAGTGGCCCAGTGGTTACAGTTCAGCAGAGGACCAGGATTGGCGCAGAGAGGCGCGGGTTCGATCCCAGCTCTGTGCGCCAGTTTCTGGTCAGAATCGGCAAGGAGGCCGGGCGGTTAAGCACTGCAGAATTGTAGCAGTGAGTTGCGAGTTCAAGCCTGCAACAAGCTGTGGATGTTCTGCGATGTTAAGAATCGGCGATAGTCCTACGGCTTACTAAACGCTGAAACCGCTATTATATTATTATATTCTGTGCACTAATGTAAAGGATGAAGAGGAGAAATAGATGAGAGAATGCTTCGTGATGAGCAGAATGGCTTTGGACGTAACAGAAAAGCAGAAGATAATATATTTATTGAGAATTAAGTGATGAATATATATAGGACGTGTATTTTGCTCTTCTACAGATATAAAAAGCGTATGACTATTGATAATGAGTTGAAATTTTCTTAGTATATTGAAGGTCGGATATTGAAGGATTATTATTATCAACGCTGACACTGCGATCACTATTACCTAGGTCCCTTGAGACGAACACTGTTGATGACGTGCCAGACGCAATGTAACGATGGGAGCGCAGCCGTGCACCACCAATTTTGTGCACCAATAAGCCCTGAATCGAACGCCTTGGATCTCTCCGGACACCCACCAATCCGCCGTGAACCACTCGGCTTTGGCTTCCTCCGGCCTCGCATAGAACCTGCCGTGCACCACCAGGCCGCGGATCGAATCTGACTTCCGGGCATCGTTAAATTACGTAATTTTACGTTCACCGCATCTGAGGTTAGGTTTCAGATAGCATAGTTCTGTTCCAAAATTTATCGTCCTTCGAAGAGTGGCCGTTCGACCGAGGGCTGGTTCGACCCACGGCCTAGATACGGACGGCTTGAAGTGTTAAAGGCTACGTTCCGGAAGGCAGGAATCATGTCGGTCCATTACATCCAGGGCAGTGGTGGTCTTCGGCAGGCGACCCGTAACGATAGCCTCCGTTATCGACAAGTTAATAACCAATAAACGACTTAGACTGATCAGGCGCTCTTTCGAATTTATAGATGCAGAAGCGATGAAGCAGTTGATTGTTGATGTCGTGCGCCCGAACCTAGAGTTTGGAAACGTCGTGTGGTCACCGAAACTTGAAAAGGAAAAAAATTTAGAGGAGAGTGTTCAAAGACGTGCAACAAGGATAATTCCAGGCCCGAAAGGCACGGCCTATGAGGAAAGGTTGTGAAGCTTCCAAGCCTCCGTTATCGACATCTGCGTGGTGACCTGGTAGAAGTATACAAGTATACTCATGATTTATACAAGGTCCCAAAAGGATTACTAGAATTTGAAACAATAACCAACGACAGGGGCCACGACCATAAACTAAAGAACTACGTTGCAATACATCCATTCGACAAAATTTCTTCTCGCTTCAAGTCTCCGACATGTGGAACAGCCTCCCCATAGCATCGTTGACGCTCCGAGTATGATCGTCTTCAAGAACGGACTAGATGAAGCTATGCTGGAGTATATGTTCAGTCTTAATATGCCCATCAACCTTACGGACCAGGCAATAAGTCCAGCAGCTATCTCAATTAATCGTCAGTTATGGAAATATCGGGTTCCAAAGGCCGGATCCTTTGTGAAGCAAGTCACGAAAAGTTCATGAATCGGCAACAGGCCATGGGCATATTTCTTCAGTGCCGACACTCTATATTCTATTCTATGACTGGGTTTGACAGAAGACTGCTGTCTCAGAAGCCGTTGGACTGAATTAAAAAATACATGAGAATCGTGAGAATTATATACGAGTATGTCAAAACAGACAATACTAGAGCAAAATATAGGCTGGGAGATGTTTAAACCAATTGGTAGACGAGCAGAAGGTCGCACGACAAGGATGAATCCTGTCCCCGCTTCTCTTTTACAATAGTATATACAGATGAGATCCCTCCTAGGGTGAGGCCAATGAAATTGTCAAAAGTACGTGGGCAGTGAAATTTTTAAAAATCCTCTGTATGCTAGTGATGCTGTGATCACGAATTAAAATGTTGCCTAACTCGAGAGTATGCTAGACTGTAAGATAACCGAGTGTGGTAGGGATTTCGAGGTGCGATTCAGCACCGAAAGAGCCAAGTAATTGCTGTGAATGGATCAGTTGCGAATAACTAATTTTTCGAAATACAGACATTACATCCGAAGTTGTCTGCTAAAGAGCATTCAGAATCTCTAGCGGTAATTTATTTTAGAGTTGTATTCCAATTCCACACTATTTTTATATACAAATAAAAACCCAAAGGTTTCCATTTTATTTATTTATTGGACATCCGGTGTTCGAAATCGACGTAACATCGTTGGGTTTCATACTCGATCAATCATAGTAGTTGATTTGTTATTTAGAGTCGACTCAGTTATTTCCAAAGTAATACTCAGAATACAACGAAAATATGAATTTAATTATAAGTTATATAGTAATTATTTTGGGGTCATGTTTCAATCCCAAGAAATAAACGATCAAGGTTCATTTAGCTAATTTGAAACAGGTTCTGTCGCCGCGTCAGTGTCTTCTCTGTTGAAAGAGGATGCAAGTGCAAATTGCTTAAAGACAAAATAACCCAACAAAAAAGTATTAGAATTAAAACTTCATATTATGTCAATAATTCCGTTGTCCTTTCTTCAGTGGCTGACCACGAAGAAAGTCTGAAATAGCACAGCAGTTCTGCTGCTATTAGTTGGAATTTCGATGTGGCCGATAAAGCAATAAGGTGGTCAATGGCCGTCGTCGAGACATGCTTGTAAATGTGATAATTATCGTTCATAAATAGTGCCAGACTGGAGGCATCCTATATATCGGAAGAATGTTTGAAAGACGCTGATGCTTTAATCTTTGCTGCATTTCAAACCTAAATATCGTGGTGATATTAATGATTTAGCTTCACATGTCAGTAATGAAATTGAAACCTCACTTCATTTTGGTCTGCGGAAAATGTGATATTTTCGATTATAGCAAGCCCTTGCTCTTTATACCCCTACTGACTTGAGGAAAAATGTTTGCTTGGATATCTTAAGGAAAGGGGGACAAGTTATATCTGATGCAATAGACTACGTGCTCCTGACTTGAACTAAAGGACAACGAGATCCTGGCGAAAAAGATCGAATGAACTGGGGTAGTCTAGACGACGAACCATTGACGTAGAATGTGATGAGCCCCTGAAGTTTTGTGAAAGTTCGCGTGAATAGATTGTCAATATTCACGTGACGAAAGATATGTCGACCTAATGACGTGTTATATATAGCTGCGCCCAAACGGAGCAAGGGACTAGTTTTAAAGAATTACAGAGTTAGTGCAGAAGTTGGAATGAAAACCCGCACATCCGACGGCATAGTAATTGCCAAATAGCGTCTTTGCAGGCGACAGATAGCGGACATTGTAAACATGAGCAGCAGAGCTGATGCTGATGGTCGCATTACCGTCGCAATCATAGAAGCCAAAGTTTGTGCTCTCTCTCCTTGAGGACCACTGTCAGCCGCGGACCGCGGAACAGTGCAACAAGTGGAAGCGACGCAGAGAACCTTTCCGTCTAGCATCAGTGGAGAGTTATCGAGAGGGGTGCTAGGTGACCGCGGGAATAAAGCACAGTGGACACCGGGGCAGGGAGTTGCTTGTTCGAGACACGAAACAAGCTGTGATAATTCTACAATGTTCAGAATTGGTAGCCTAATCAACGCTGACACTGCTATCACTATTACCTATATAGGTCCCTTGAGACGAACACTGTTGATGACGTGCCAGACGCAATGTAACGACGAGAGACACACTCGACGGACGAATGTCACATTTTACATGACGGGCGCTGTGCGCTTCTGATGACCGCACATAACGAGCCCCACACACGGCAGACGAATCACTGTTCGCTCACTTATACGGTGTTTGTTAAGTAATAATACCTTCTTGAACTGATGCCATAAGATATGTTCAAAAGCATCTCAAAGATCGTTTGGCTAACAAGATTCGACCTTGGCTTGCTCCAGATATTGATTTTTTTATTTTAATTCTTAAAATGTTGGACGGACCGGCATTAGACTTTTTAAAAAGTTTCATCGTAGATACGCATGAAGTTAAAAAAGGTGAGTGAAAGAAAGGCACACCATGATCTGCATAGTGTCAATTAATGCAGTGTGACGTGTCATTCTCCTGTTATTTTACTCCTTAACTTTTAATATTCTGGATTATGATCATTAATTTACCTTTGTTTAGTAATTAAATTTCATTTTAATATTTTTCAATCGATTGAAATTAAAATTGATTTTATTCACGGCAGACCTGATGTTGTCATACTGCAGCTAATATTTGGAATAATTTTATTTCCGTAAAACTGAAATCCTTTAAAAAATTTGGAACGATTAACGCGATGGATTTTTTTAAATGAATGTAGTACAGTTTCTTGTGAATTAACTTATTGAAATTTGATGATTAATTTAGTGATTCATTTTTGTACTGGTGAATTTAATTCTTGAATTTCAGTGAAAATATAAGTCAATTTTTGTCCCTGTGAATTTTTTTCTTAACTGTCTATGAACATACAGATCAATTTTTCTACCTGTTATTTCAGTTCTTAAATTTCAGTGAATATACCGGCCATTTTTTCGTATGAATTAACAACTGTCTCATTTTATATAGTTAATGAAGAGGCAGGGCAGCCATGGTTGAACTTGAACTATATAAGGTTGACCCACGAGAAGTTCCGTCTTACAGTTCACCTTTCTTGTTACGTCACTGAGATGGAGAAACGTAAACAAACCCGTCATTCCCATGACGGATTGGTTGACTGTTCTGATCGCATTTCGGTGATTGGTCAATGTCTGTGACGTCACTGAGATCAGTGACGTCACAGACGAACAACAAGCTACATCCGCAAAAATGAGCTTCATGTGTCAACCTTATACTAATTCAACCATGCAGGGCAGCCTCCCCGTCAGCTGGCACCCGCAGTCGACGTTGCTGGGGACCTGCCGAATAGCGTGGGACTTGCGAACAACAAGACGTATTCCACGACGTCCCCGCCCGTATATGTCTGGACCTTGTAAGATGAGAGACATCGCAGCCTTATTGTACCAAACTATACTTGAATTTTGATTCCATTAACATAATGAATGTAGCATGACTCACCAGGGTTGCCAAATGGCCTAAAAATGGCTATGTCCGCGGACCTAGATAAGGCATATAATTCAATATTTACTAGTAAATTTGTAGGTTCTGGTGCTAAATTTTGATTTTAATTTTTCTTGCTCTTTTAATTTAATAAGGGAATACCGCAATCATAAATTTATGTCGTCCAATTCAATTGAAGAAAAAATTAAATCGCAGAAAAAAAAGACGCTGCAACCCACCGGTGTGTCTGTGTCGTGCGGCACTCAACGTGTTAAATGGTACCTAGTGCTCTTGATATTTTCTAGGAAATTTTTATCGTACATGAGTTATATTGCGTAACAATTCAGCTCCATGCATAATCTGATGGTGGAAAGGAAAATTATACATTCTGGAAGAAATTTTGACATAATCCAAATGCAATATTAATAATCGGGTCATCTACAGTCTCTACACTTGCATCGTCACTGAATTCCCGCTCGCACCAGCTATAGTTTTCACGCTTGATCGTTTAAGAACGGTGCCTATGATTCAACTTTCAAATTTATATTAATTATTATTTGTGAGATGATAATTATGCTTAACTAAATTTCGAAAGTCTATAGAAATGTAACTTGTGAAGCTAATGCTGCTGTGTACATTCTTACTGCGCCTGTGGGATCGCATTCCTGAGGACGGGTAATATGAAGAGTTGGAAAAGTGCTTCCAACCCACAAAAAAAGCAGCAATTCTGAGTGAAGAATATTAAAATCAATTTGCTCTCCTGTTTATTCATTGCACATATTTTATTCATTTTAATCAAAACTTAGTTCCGTCTAGTTCCTATTTTCTAAAAAGTCTTGCTAGTTTATTTTCCGATTGTAATTTTTCTCAGGCGAAACTTTACTTACCTCAAAGAGGAAGAAGAACGGGCTCTAGGGCAATTGGATTACCCGCTGTCTGCAGAACTCGGGATGTGCCCTCACTGCCGGGACCGAGGGCATGGTCAGATCGAGCATATCTATAAGGTGAACGAACTCGATACATATATTTTATTTCATACTTAGATAACTTATAATGCAAATCTAATTTTAAAATTAGTAAATTTGAATTTTAATTTACTTGATATGCCTCCTTAAATTCAAGATTAAATGATGCCCGAGTTTGGGTGTTTTTCATTCTTCGTGGATGTTGCATTTAGCAAACAACCGGCCTGTGACGATAAAAAGATAAAGCTGAATAATATTAAGTCAGTTCTCTACACGCTTTCTGCATCGAAATGTGGGAGATTTTGAAGTGTATGTTATTTGCTTCATAAATAAAATAAGTAACTTTCTCCTGAAAAAAAAATTAGGACCGAAGTCGTCGCTACCGAAGAATTGAGCTTTAAATATTGTAAACCAATTTACTGATGTGTACTATCCGTTTTTCAGGATATTGGGGAACGAATCGTCTGTCCTCGAATAAGTTATAAGATGGGTTACCTGCTACAAGCGATAAACAGCATTTCAACCGTTATCTTACCAGGCTGGCATCCGCAACTCGAAGACCTGATCGAATTCAGCGCCCAATTCTATTACATCATCTTTAAAGTTGCTGATCTATTGTACGACCAGATGTCTCTGACAGACATCGTCCAGTTCCTTCCAGTAAATCAGCAAAATAATTTCAAGAGTGTAATCCCATGCCGGTCACCAACCACACTCGCTAATTCTTCTCTGCCGTCGATCTCCGAAACAAGATTCGAAATCGATATAAATAATTTAATAGAAGTCATGTTGCAAATAAACGAAGAAGTGTTATCCCAATCACAACCTCAACCACAGCCTACACACTTATCCCAAGCACAGTCTACCGACTCTCCTCAACCGAAAACTGCCAAAGGATCCCAACCTCAACCTATCCAAAACTTCCAAAATAAATCTCACGGAGGTTTCCAACCTCAGTCAAGCCGAGGTTTCCAGCCTCAGTCAAGCCGAGGCTATCAGCTTCGGTCAAGCCGACGCTTCCAACCTCAGTCACGCCGAGTTTTCCAATCCCAGTCAAGCCGAGGTTTCCAGCCTCAGTCAAGTCAAGATTTCCGGCCTCAGTCAAGCCGAGGTTTCCAGCCTAAGTCAAGCCGAGGCTTCCAACGTAAGTCAAACCGAGGCGTCCGGCCTCAGTCAAACCGAGGCGTCCGGCCTCAGTCAAACCGAGGTTTCCAGCCTAAGTCACGCCAAGGCTCCCAGCCACAGTCAGACCAGAGCTCCGATCTTCAGACAGACTCGAACAATTCACTACAGTCAGACTGGAACAACCAACAACAGTCAGACTGGAACAACCCACAACAGTCAGACTGGAACAACCCACAACAGTCAGACTGGAACAACCAACAACAGTCAGACTGGAATACTCCACTACAGTCAGACTGGAACAACCCACTGCAGTCAGACTGGAACAATTCACTACAGTCAGACTGGAACAACCCACTACAGTCAGACTGGAACAATTCACTACAGTCAGACTGGAACAACCCACTACAGTCAGACTTGGAAGCCAACGTAATTTAGATAGGTGGTCCTAACAACAACTAGCACATGGAGCTTTTAACATCTATCGACCTGAATCTCCACCTACGTTAGCAAAAGCCCCCAACCTGCCAGCCAGCGCTTGCAGCCTCAACCAGATCCAACTTCGTATCTCAGCAGCTACGGAACGTCCTACCTCTGTCAGCTCAAAGACATCAGTCGGCATAAAGCCTCCTACCTCAGTCAGCTAATAGCCACCTAGTTCAGTCAGCTCGAAGCCTCCTACCTCAGTCAGCTACTAGTCACCTATTTCAGTCAGCTCGAAGCCTCCTACCTCAGTCAGCTAATAGCCACCTAATTCAGTCAGCTCGAAGCCTCCTACCTCAGTCAGCTAATAGCCACCTAGTTCAGTCAGCTCGAAGCCTCCTACCTCAGTCAGCTCAGAGCCTCCTACCACAGTCAGCTAAGATCCTCCTACCTCAGTTAGCTAAGAGCCTCCTACCTCAGTCAGCTATGAGCCTCCAATCTAAAGAAGCTCAGCCGTCTACCTTAGTCAAGTTAGTCAACTTATATATTTCAAACCATGACTATAGCTTCCAACCTCACCTAGACTACAGCCACAAAAATCAGCCTATCCAGAATTTCCTAGCATGTCCTTCAATTAGTTCTTAAATGAGTGCAACGCATATATTCCACCATGACTGCAAGCACGAGTCCCAGGCCTGACAAGCCATGCCTGATAGTCTCAACGATTCAATCGATGCGCATGCCATCTTACTTTTTTCGTTTTCCCTTAAACAATTTCCATAATATCTAGTTAAGATTGATTAAATATCTCGTTATTTGACGAAGCTTTGCCTAAAATCCATTTACGAGCGGTCACATACCTCCCGTCAAGCTCTGGTGTGTTCAATTCATTCCTGTGCCCGGATCGTGTCAACGACGCATCATTTAGCTACATTCTTGTACTGTAATTATGGATTAATTCTTAGTATAATTTTTACTTGTTAGAGATAATTATGTAGGCATTTTAGTTATTTCGACGACGAAAATGAATATTGAAAGCTGAAATTTTGTTTCATATTTCGGTTTAACGACGAATTCGATAAGTATGTATTTTAACCGTGTATTTTATTTTGATTTTATCCTGGACTTTGCTGAATATGATTTGTACTCAGTATTTTACATGAATTGAGCCAACATTTGTTATAGTTTTTATATGATTTCTGTTATGTTCTGGTTGCTACCATGTTAATATATATTTTGAAAACCCAAAGTTACACCAGCTTGCGTGGTGTAACGCTAGCTGTAAATGATTTACTTTTCCTCAGTATAGCTAATGTCGTTCTCTCTCGCTGTTCACCGTTGGAAATATAATCGACCAAATATACTTATTTATTACATCGACTCGTTGATTTATAAAGACCAGTTTTACTGATAATCTCAGAACTTGAGGCTGATTGTAATTTGATGTATACAAACGAATGTTGTATGGAAATAGATTTTCATCAATATTCGGCATTTTGTTCAAGACGAACTTTTGATTTTTCTTGGCTGCTGCCATCGCCATCGAATGTGCGATTACGTATTCCTGCAGTGCGTATTCCACTTTCTTTCTGATGCCATCACTTTCGAATGTGCAATGACGCATTCCTGCAATTCTTATTCCATCTTCTTGGCTGCTGAAATCGTCGTAGGTTGATGGCCACAATCAATGCATGGGCCAAGGTTCGTCGTGGTTGAGCCAGGCAGTATTTAGGCACAGGTTTGTCATACTAAGCAGGTGGGAAATAGATCTCGAGGTGTCAATTATTCCTCCTCCTGCGCTTCTTGAGGCCTCTTTTGTGGATATGGAGATTTCTTTAATGCTTGTTTCTGCCACATTTCGGCTTGCCAAGACATTGTACACTAATTTTTCTTGACGCCGCTTACAACTTCACTTATGTATATCAGTTCCTCAATTGTACCCATTGAGGCGGCGAAAATATTTTCGAGATCTCAGTCATTCATGTTGATGTAGTAAAGTAAGCTGCTATGCGTCATTCTCCAACTTAGTCACTTAATTGGCATAATTAATTTGTAAGCCAAGTTCTTATGGAGTAACTGTGTTTCATTAGCGCTGTTTCTCGTTGTGGCCGTTCAACTCGCGAACGAAGCCTTGATTGAAAAATTTTGCATAACCTAAATAAACATTATCGTTAGCTGATTCGGAATGTATATTCAAGATTAGCTTCAAATCTGTTTTTGGCTGAATGACAGAATTTCGACCCGTATGACCGTTTAAGTTGAAAACGAAGGCGAAATCTAGAAAAATAATCACGACCTAAACATGACCTTTGGGTCCTAATGAACTCGTGTGCAAAGTTTCGTCGAGCGTTCATTGGTTTTGGGAGATATTAAATGTTCACTGAATTTTGCAGGCCGACTGCGTAAATTTAGTCCGGCCGTGAGACCGGCCGGACTCAATGCCGGTCTCTCAACCAATCTCTAAATTCAATGACCAAGGAATATCTCCCAAACTAATGAACGCAGCTCGATGAAACTTGGTACACGTATTCATTATGGCCTAACGGTTTTGGTTAGCTCGTGAAAAATTTTTTCACTTCAACATCATTCCTGAGTTATAGAACAATTTGGGCCAAATTTGCAGTGACCAAGAAATTTCTTCTAAACTACTGAACAGATTTGAACGGAACTTTGATTGTACAAACCTAACCTCCCAACGGTGATGTTTAGCTCGAGTCAATTTTTTTCGACTTTTTCTTCGTTTGCGAGTTATGCGGCTATACGTATACGGCTTAGTCAATGCAAATTTAACGTCGGCCTCAGAAACTACTGTCGTTTCTCTGTAAGTCCGTATTACTCGCGAACGAAGGCAGAATCGAAAACTTGTCACGAGCTAAACATCACTGCTGGGAGGTAACGTTTGTATATTCAAAGTTTCGTTGAAATCTGTTAAGTAGTCTAGGATAAATTTCTTGGTCAGTGTAATTTTCAGTCAGAATCGCTCTATAACTCACAAATGACAGTGAAATGGAAAAAAACTCGCAAACGAAGGTAAAACCGGAAAAGTTGTAACGGTCTTATCCTCACCGTTGGAAGGTTAAGAATATATAGAATAGAATAGAAGCGTCGGCGTTGAAGAAATAGGCTCATGGCCTGTTTTTATTCAAAATTTCGTTCAAATCTATTCAGTAGTGTAAAAATATTTCTTGGTCACTGCAAATTTAGACACGAATTGCCGTATAATTCGCGTATGAAGGTGAAATGGAAAAAAAATCACTAGCTAAACAGCACCGTAAGGTCCTGCTGAATACGTGTACCAAGTTTCATCAAGCTGCGTTCATTAGTTTGGGAGATATTCCTTGGTCCCTAAATTTGGAAATCGGCCGTGAGACTGGCCACAAGGCCGGCCGCGTGTCCGGCCGTAAATTTGTCCGAGGCATGAGTTCGTGAAATAGTCAGTAGTCAACAGCAATGAACGAAGAAATAAGGAGGAAGAGATTGAAAGATGCTCAATTGAAAGATTACTATATCTATAAACGTGCTCTCTAATGTCGTGCGCGGATCCAAAAGCTATTTTCACTAAAAGTATCTAATAAAAAGAAATGGAAACAAATTTCAACCATCATTGGAAGACAAATCTTTAACCCAGAAGTTTCATTAAGTAAATGAAAAAAATTATTACGTGAATGTTTTATATATCATCGAACTATTCCTGACCTCTTAGTAAGTATTTTGCAGAGTGCTAATTATGAAAAATTATTTGAGAGATCACAAGTGGCAACATTGCAGATTGCCTCGTATAGTCGATTCGCACTCCAAATTAATTACAATTCAGTTAACAAAGAGACGCCGCAGTGGTTGGTTGTGAACTAAGAGTTTTGGATGGTCTGTTAATGCTCTCTTTGACCAGCTGTTTTTCAATGATTCTATGCTAACCTGATTTGATGTTTTAGTGTTGAATACTGAATTAATGTTAAAGTCTACTTTGTTTCAGTTGAATTTATTGTTGTTGTTACTCCATATATTTTATTAGAGGAATAATGGCTATGTTTACTCGTGTATTCGACGGAGATATTCACGTCCAGAGTAAAATTTACCCCAGCAACCCCGCTAGTAATGCCAACCAACTCAGCCTTGCCAATCCTGCCAAGCTTAATCCGTTGGCATCCTGCTTCAAACCCAGAGGTACGTTCTGAGCACCAGAGAATTTGGTTTGGATACTATAATACGTAATGTTCCTATTAGTTTTTGAAACGGAGCTTTAAGTTTCGTCAAATAGATTTTTTTCGTCACTTCTGTGCTGTGGTTCGTCCACTGCAGTGTTTTGCGGTTGTGACAGTGGCACGGGCCGCATGAAAAACTAGCTATTAAGCATGTCTACCGAACGTTCGGTCGATAAAAGTTTTTACCCATGCTTTTCAGTCTATATGCTTTTCTACCGACTACCGAGTACTATTTGTCAACTTTTATAGGACTTGTCTAGTTGTCTCCTCTCCAGACTGATTGTGATGTCATCATCTGATATTTCCTCTCCAGACTGATTTCCATTGGACGATTGGTTGTATCCAATACCGTATGCCATGTGTACTATACTAGGTAATTTAATACTCCTAGAATTCCAGCCACTGAAATTCTGAAATCCCAGACAAACTGGCGAGTATTATAGTACCCATTCGCATTGCGTGTTATGATGAGAGTACCTAGTTATGCTTTGAATCAATGGTTCTGTTTTCTAAGTTTCAATGTGCATCGAGAGCTCATAACAATTTTATATTAGCCAAGAATGTTATTCCCCAGGAATGAAAATCCAGAATATTATGTTGCCTCGAGTAATTTCAATTTCTAAAAATATATTTTCTTCCCTTGAACTGTACATACCTGCTGCCACCGCTAAAAATATACCGTACCAGTACCTCAGCACATTGCACGCTGGTATTAATTAATTAAATTCGTTGCGTTGCTACGTTATACTTTAATGCATAGTAAATACATTCATTTAAGTCGAATTCTGATTTTCAGCTCTCCGATCACAGTCTGAGGGTGCTACGTTGAAAGCTTATCAAGATAAACTGACGAAAACGCAAGTCGTCGAGAAAACCGTTACCTTCTACACGCCTAATCCAGCTGAGAGTTCGGGACTGGTAGCTTACGTCAACCAGTGAGTTCTAAATTTAGTATTTTAGTGTGGCCTGACGAAAGGTTTTTACCGTGAACGAATCAAAAGAGTACCAATATATTTTCTGTGGAACTGGCATTTGTATTGCTATATACTTATAATATAGTATTAATACCTGTATTAATAGTATCGTTAAATTCACGGTTAAACTCCTCAAATTCTCAATGTAAAATTGGACGAAGATTCGCTCGATATTAATTAGATAAAATAAGTTTTATGTGGCTGTAAAAGTTTCTTAAAATTCTCGCAGATACTAATGTAGGCTAATTAACGAGACCTAAGTAAAATTTCAATTTGACGAGTGCTCAAAGTCGAAGGCGTTTCCGCCAGACGCTTCTGCACGGTGTCGCGTCGTGACGCGCAGTTGCTGGAGCTCTTGGCTCCCGGTCCTCCACTGCCATCGCATCTGCAGCCCGCCTGCAGTTACTGCCATAAACGCTCGCCCAAGATATGTTGGCATCCCTTCAAAGTTAGTTTCTATTTCATTCAGTGCCGCTATTGAGTTGGTACCTGTATTCATATTTTATTTAAAAATTCCGAACAACCATCTGATATTATTTAGTTGGTACTTTTAAGCTGCCAATTTTTTCGAAGTTAATCAGGCATCGCACATCGGATTAGTGATGGTCACTCATTCCTGATTAGTTTTAATTTTTTAGCTTGAAATTAATTTCAAAGCTTTGAAGTTACTATAGTGAAAAATATAACTTAGCACTTCTTTTGTGATCCATTTTCAGGATAATTTGGGTAGGATCATATGCCCTCTGATTGGATACAAGTTGGCAGTTCTGGAGACGTATAGAAAGAAACATCCATCTTACCAAGCCATCAGGTCGGTTCACCGTCGGCTCGTGACTGGCCAAAAGCGTTCGTTAACTCCTCCTGGACTACATCCTGAGAATCGATCAAAGCTGCAGTACCTAAACGAGCTCAATAGTTTCCGAGACATCGAAAACATGAACGACATGAAGTTGAAGCGCAAATGTCTGAGGTACGAGGCAGAGCGGCAATCGCTGGAAGCTGATTACTTCAAGAAGCTGCAGGAATGTGAAAAAGCGTACAACAGTAAATCTACGGGAGAAGTCTTGTCTTACATGCCAGTCTCTGAAAGAATAGCAAGTAGATCGCTCCGCTCTGCCGCAAGCTTAAATCTTTCTAAGTTGTCGAGCATTTCGTCCAAAGACTCGAAGACTACTGATGGTGCTCGTTCCGGTAGTGCCAAGTTGGGCAACAATGGATATTCCAGTCACAACTCGTCAAGCGATGGAAGTGGTTACACTTGCTCTTCAAAGAACGGTTATGGGAGCGAAAAGTTCCCACAGAATATGGATGCTTACGTTGAGAGTGTGCTGGCTAATGATGATTCATGTTTATCCCACATAACTGGATCTGTTACTTTTGATGGTTCGATTAGCAGTCAAAACGGCAGCAATGTTGATTGCTCGACATCTGTGAAGCTTCAAGCTTCTGACTACAACTGTGTTGTTTCCAATCGTAATCGGGTATCCAAAGACAATTATTTTAATAGTTCATTTTCATTGGTTTTGTCTGATGCTTCGTCCAGTGAATCCGAGAACTCGTTCATTTTTTCATTGCTGGGTGACTTGCAAAAAATTTCTGCCGACTCGGGATCGAAGAAATTCACATCCACCGAAATTCTATCCGCACTACAGTTCACTTTGCTGGACAAGGTTGATAAGGATGACATCTGGAAAGATGTCTACCGTCGGACAATGGATTGTGTCCTGGATCGATGTTCTGTGAGGAAGGATTTTATCAGAAAATATTTAGTTGACAATTTTTACAACGATTCCATGTATCAACCCGACGTAATTTCACTCGCCGCCATAATTGCGAATGTGTTGCCGTTGCCTCAGACGAATCTCCGCCGTCTGTCATTCTGGATCGATTTGGAGCACATTATTACAATTGCCTGGAATTCTGACGGTAATATTGATGGTTCATCATTATCGACACTCAAAGATAGAGTAGTAAAAGTATTGAACTCGTTCGGAGGCGAAGATTATCCATGTCCGGTCAGAGGCGTGCATGGACTAACAGAGAGCAAGTATTCTCAGAACGGGGCATTTGAGATCACCACTGCTCAAGCTCAACAAGATTTAAACAATAATTGTATTTTTACTTTGCCATATGAATCGAAAAAATATCGCAATATTTTGACTTGCACAGGATACGAAAAAGCTGATCTTGGAAATGACGTTTGGTGTCAACCGAAACCAATGAATGCTCACCAAGCATCGGCGCCCTCTGACTCACTGGCTGCTACTTGGGCTGGCTTTACCGATTCAGCGCAACCACGCCTCAGCTTTAGTCAAGTTTGCAGCAAACCAGTAGAAAGCTTCAATCAGACTTGGAAATGTGGTCAGAATGAACAACTCGCCCAAGTCAGTGTACCAAAAGTCCCTTGGAGCCTGAACTGTGGCGAACAAATGACGTTTGGAAAACATTTTCAACCTGAACCTTCCCAGAGCCTACAAGGATTTAAGACTGCGCTTCTGACGCTGAAGCTGCTCGATTATTTCTTCGACAATTGTCATATTTTCTCGACACATTTTCACACCGAAGATGTCCAACGAATGTTAGCTAGCGTTTCGGTGTCGAGCGTACAAATCGCAAAGGCTGTCGAAATGTTAGATTGCATGGTTGACACGGACAATGATGGCATATTTAGGCCGGAGACTAGATGGCAAAAACCAAATTTCGAAAAAGTGAAAATTGTTGATAAAATCTGGTCTTCCTACGATAAACGCGGGGAACACTATAGTCTTTGGTAGCTCATTATTTAGCATTAATTTGTTTGAATTTAATGGTGATGTATACATCTGTACTATTTCAATTCTTAGTTAAATTTTAACTTGTTCTTTAATGATGGCAACTTTAAAATACTGTAATAATTTCTAAATTGTTATGTATTTTTCCCATTTGCACATTTTATGATGTCAGATTTTACTTTTTAGGTGTAGACATTCATTTGTGTGAATAAAATGTGTTTTAGCTGCTGCATCCTGACGTGCTACGTTTTATTTCAGACGTGAATCGGCATTGCTTAAATATTGCGGTATTATATCATATTGATGTCTGATGTTATCTAGGTGACGATGTTGTCATCTCAGTTCAGATCTATGGAATAACATAACGTCAAATAGTGTTCATTTTGAAGAATACATTGACTTGATTTGTATTTGTTAGAATTGAAATTTTAATACAGGACCACGAAATGCATCTCTCGTTATTATATTCTTTCGTCCTTCAAGAAGATAATAACAGCATGACCATAGGTTACCGAAAAGGTCCGAAATGGCCATGATTTAATCATTATTTTTTGCAAATTAATGCCATGCTATGAATGCTTGTGAAAAGTGTTCATACTTCTAAAATGATGAGAACCGTTTTACCAAATTGTGTACTGTTCAAACAACGTTTGCTTCAAGGAATAATTTCGGAATAAGTGCTTATTGTGAAGATCTTTAAATAAGACGATATTGATACTCGGTGCTGCATATGACTATATTCATCACTTTGAATGCATTTTTTTAATGCTATGAAATATCTGACCGTTAAATTGAGTGGGCATTTTGACGGCCTAAAACTAATGGCGGCATCCTTGAATGGATGCTATTTGGAACTGCATACTGTGGAACTTGCGGGTTCTACACTGAAATTTTAATGTTCATTCCGTGGCTGCATGAAGGTGCTCACATACGTACTCTTTTTTTTCGAAATGATCACTGTTAGCACGCGGAGAAATGCTTGACCTTCGACAGTGATAACGTTATCACTTATCGACGATGCTGGACATGAGTTACTTTCGTAAGTAAGAGGAGTTTCGTGTGCTTGTCTAGTCACTGCATATAAGCGACATACATAAGCCTTTGTGCGACTGAAGTGAAGAAATAGCGATTTGTGAAGCGAAGTGTGTCATCAGTATCTTACGTAAACTAACTAGTTTTCGGTAATTATCCGTAATTCTGCAACCTATACGCAATCTTGTTGTACTATGTTCTAATCCCAGTTTAGTCCAACCACTGGTGTTCTGAAGTCGTATAATGTCTAATTGTAAGTCTCAATTGGTAAGCATATTGAAAAAAATTTTTGTTCGAAAGGCAGCGGTCTCGCACACTCTGACTTTCGCTCCAATGGAAAAGTCCTATACAATGAAAACTGGAGATGAAACTCTATCAATGACTGTTGTGCCTCCTGAGGAGTACAATAATTATGCTGATAGTTTACGTGAGTTACGACCACACTCTTACCAGGTAAGTGGGTTCCTCCAAACAACTGATAATAATTTTTTCACATTGGTCCATTTAATCTTTATCAAAATCCGAATTCTCTGCATTTTTTTTATGATTTGCATCCCTGATATCTCCGCATAAATGTCACGTTGAGGTCATGAGAGCAATTCATCGATTTCTAATTCAAGTAGAGCGAATGAAGTTAGCAATGTATCAAGCCCTATTCCCAGATCGAAGCGATGTTGCGAGCTCAGCTCAAGTACGATTTCTTTGGCCTCATCAACGCAAAGCTCTACGCGCCCGCGAGCTCCTCGCAACGACACCACATGGCCGTCATCTCGCCCTCCGGCTCTTCTGTGAGCAATTATATGTACTAAATTTGTGAACTCATTTTTCAATATAATCTTTAATCATTGCATTACCAGCGGTTTATGTCTGGACGATGATGGTTAAAAATGTATATTCAGACAGTCGGTGTACTCTCAGGTTTTGACTTACGAAAAGAAATGAGGTTACTTTTTCCTCTATTGCGAAAACGAGATTTCATCATCTTGTTGAAATACAAATACATGCAATTAAGTTTAACCTTCTAAATACGAGCAAGAAATATGTTTTCTTCGTGTTTTGCATATGGCTAATACTTGATACTCATACTGATCGAGCTACTGTAAACATGAACATAAACCTTTTTGACTATTTTGATCAATATCTTTAAATCCGTTATTACTAGGAAGTCAATCTTGATTATAAGGGATTTTCATTGTTATTTTATACGTGAAGGAAACTCCTGGTATATAGACAGAGATGGAGTCGTTGTCTCTGTTCTGGGACGACGACCAGCTGTCAGACGGCACCGTGTACCGCCTGCTGCAATCTCTGCCGCTAAACTGGCAGAGACCCTACGTGATCCGCCAGATTCCAATTCACCTCAGCGCAAAAGTTGGTCAAACTATATAAATAAATTAAAATGAATAATGTGGAAGGATATCTGCTGTCAGATCAATCACCGTTAAAATACTGTACAGCAGAGCTTCGAAGAAATGTAACGCACGGAAAGTTAGAAGCTTTTTCATATACAAAACAGCTGAGTAATGATACCGACTAAATTGTTTTTTCTTCGATTGATTGATGGGAGAGGAAATTTGCTCTTGACTGCAGTTTCAGGTTATTCAAACAATATTCTTTGACATTTTTATAAATAATTTTTGTTTACTCTTAACGATAACTTTACTCCCGAATATCAAACTGTACAGCTGGACCTCATGATGCAAGAGCTCTCCGGAGGAATCCTTCGCCAGTTTGCACCTTTTCCTGTGGTGATCCTGTCACTGGCTCCTGAGGACACTCCTCCGGTCCCTTCGTATGTTTTTATTTCTAGCCTGTTAGAATTTTGCAATCTATTCTGGGTCTAATTGGTGCTTGTAAATGAATTGATTATATTTCTATGACTTTGTGACCGAAGGGGTTTGAAGGCAGTTTTCGTTAATCCTTTTTCTAGTGCATTTGAATAATTTTTGAACGAGTGATGGCTTGATTATATAAATCCTATACTATGAATAACTTGCTGACTCACGCAATCAAAGCATAAGTTTACTCCTGAAACTCAAATGCAAGTCGCATTTAACATAATCAATCTCATGTTCGATTTGAAAAAATTGTAGCGTCTTGGAAAAATTTTGTTTTAACAGAACCGTATTTTCTTCTAGACTACCAAGCGGTTACGTCTTCGGGAAACTCGATGCAAGTTTCAGTGAAGAAGTTATGTCAGTCTGGTCTGACGCGCCCACGGAGACTGCCAAGACCGTTTCAAAATATTTCGAAAAATTTCCGTCAGTCGCAATTTTCTCCAAGGAAAACTCTAGAAAATGCTTGGCAAATGTTGTGGAAAATGGATCGGATCCTTCCACAAACGGGAAATCGGCTGAGTTAGCAAGTTACTGCTGTTTCAAACAGAGTTCGGATGTTGGCATGACTTACACGGACGAAAAACACCGCAGAAAAGGTTTGGCTCGAGCTGCTACATTACAGTTGTGTCATGAACTACACTCACAAGGGATATTTGTAAACGTTATGATTGAACGCGTTAATGAAATATCCATAAAGCTGCATAAGAGCATGGGCTTCAAACACTGCACTGATTCCCTGTTTATTTTCTACATCCCGAAAGGCTTTAACATATATAGTTTTTCTCATTTTGAAAATATTGCCAAATACATTCCCGAAGACCAAATAAAAAAGTGGAAAGATTGCCTCTAAACTATCCGTTATGAGATGTAACTTTTGTTTTGTTGCTAAGCGATCTGCCCATTCACGTTGCTCTTGGCTAAGATTTAATCAATGCAATACATATGATCATATAGCATTTGACGACAAAACACGCTTACCCAGATCGTCATAAGTAAGCCAATTACCAAGACGCAAATGTCATCCAGGATTATTGACTTGTTTTTGACGTGGAATACAACTACTTGGTGGTGCTAAGTTTCATATACTTCGACTTGGGATCAAGCCCGGTTCATAAACGAAAAATACGCTGGCTCCTTAATTGCAGTTTGATTAATTTTAATAGCTTTTAGATCAATTTTGCAATTTTATCAACTAATATGAAGTAGTCAAGTAGACAACTCTGCGGAATTCACAGCTCCGAAAATGGCGGGGAATTCCAGTCATGGCTTCGAAATTCAAAATATTGTACACCCTACGTTTGTATCATTTTAAAACCTTCGCTGTAAACTTACGTATTTATGAATAAGCGTTTTCTACATATTTTTGCAGATTTGATCATTATTTATGTTACGGACATGATTTAACAGTCTAATAAATTATTTTGGATATGTAAATAGACATTTTAAGTCAAAGTGAATACGTACCTTAGCATATTTCTGGGAACATGATTAGTACAACTAAAATGAAAATACGCATTTCCATTTCATTTGATTTCAATATGATGCAATGCATGACAAGTGACAAAATTAATCTAGGTTTCCACTATGAAGATAGAGCGACACCTTTCATTGGCAGCTTATAACATTTTGAACCCATAACTCGCTCCCAATTTCGACACTAAAGTATTGGCCTACGAAGCTAATTGGCTTGCATATTACATCCTGTCTTTGATTAATTATTTATGGTCTTTGTGTTAACTTAGTTCCAATCCAAAGAGACGAGGTTTAATTCATTTTCAGAATTTTCATCTAGTGGCAATTTTTTACCATAATCAAATACTCCTGGAGATACTATTTTAAAAATTATAATGTATTTCATTGACTAGATTTTTTGCTGCACATATAGAATTTGATCGTAAATAGAATTAATGTTGAAATGTTTATATCCACATCTTATACCATACTATATTTGTATACTCACCGCAGCGTACTGATATTATCTACTTATATTTCAAATTTGAATAAAATCCGTTCATAATTGAAGGAGTTATGCGTGCCAGAGTTGAAAATTAAGTTAGGTTTTCCATTCGAGCTCGCAGGCGAGTTCGCACGCGAGTTCGCTGAAGTGTCGGACCGGTTTACCCAGATCGTTATGAGTAAGCCAATTGCCAAGACGCAAATGTCATCCAGGATTATTGACTTGTTTTTGACGTGGAATACAACTACTTGGTGGTGTTAAGTTTCATATACTTCGACTTGGGATCAAGCCCGGATCATAAACGAAAAATACGCTGGCTCCTAAATTGCAGTTTGATTACTTTTAATAGCTTTTAGATCAATTTTGCAATTTTATCAACTAATTTGAAGTAGACAACTCTGCGAAATTGACAGCTTCGAAAATGACGGGGTATTCCAGTCATGGCTTTGAAATTCAAAATATTGTACACCCTACGTTTGTATCATTTTAAACCGTCGCTGTTAACTTTTGTATTTATGAATGAGCGTTTTCTACATATTTTTGCAGATTTGATCATTATTTATGTTACGGTCATGATTTGACAGTCTAATAAATTATTTTGAATGTGTAAATAGACATTTTAAGTCAAAGTGAATACCTTAGCATATTTCTGGGAACATGATTAGTACAACTAAAATGAAAATATAATTATACGCATTTCCATTCCATTTCAATATGATGCAATGCATGACAAGTGACAAAATTAATCTATGTTTCCACTTTGAAAACAGAGCGATACCTTTCATTGGCAGCTTATAACATTTTGAACCCATAACTCGCTTCCAATTTCGACACTAAAATATTGGCCTACGAAGCTAATTGGCCTGTATATTACATCCTGTCTTTAACTAATTATTTAACGTTTTTTGCGTAAACTTAGTTCCAAACCAAAGAGACGAGGTTTAATTCATTTTCAGAATTTTCATCTGGTGGCAATTTTACCATAATCAAATACTCCTGGAGATACTATTTTAAAAATTATAATGTATTTTATTGACTAGATTTTTTGCTGCACATATAGAATTTGATCGTAAATAGAATTAATGTTGAAATGTTTATATCCACATCTTATACCATACTATATTTGAAATTCTTGACCTTACTGTATCAAAGATAGGCTGAATTATTTGTCATAATTTTAAGCATAGCCTTGTGCCTGTCCCCCTTCAGGGGAGACTTCTGACATGTGTCTGTTCTCGTCAGAAGTCCTACGGGATTTCGCGCTCCTAGGGGGATTGTTCCTGAGCGCCCCACCGCTGAGCTCGCGGTGTCTGACTGCAGGTCTCAGTTGTGAGGTCAAGTAATTATGTAGGTAGGATTCCTTACATTTCCCTTCTCTGTCTCTCTCGTGCGGGCGGCCAACGTCCCTTGTAAGCGACCTCTTGTTCGAGTGTCTTCGTTTCTGTTGCTTTTCACCTGTCCCTCCTTGTCACATCGTCTCTTTGAGATGCTAACGCTGCTTCTTTCTAGCCAGCTTCGGCGGGCTGGACAATTGTGACCCTCCGCCTCTTGTGGGTGACTAAAATTTTTCTGATTTAAGAAACTTTCGATAACCGAGACCATGGTTGATGTATTAATTCAACCATGACTGAGACCTTCCACCTACTTGGTGACGTTCATCTTGACTTTCGGTCTGAGATAGCTGAAGCGCTAGTAAACATTTGGCCACTAAACTAAACTAACTTGTCCCTGTCCCTTTCCATTCTCTAGTCCAAACACCAGAGCATCTGACAATATACTGTTCGTAAGTAAATAGCTGAATATTGACGAATCTCCAAATGTTCGAAATTCGTCTTGTTCCCCATGACCTGAACTCTTACTTTAGCGGTCCCGAACATTATTCGACTGAATACTGCAGGCGCAGTCAAATGTAATAAATAGCTTTTCTATGTAGTACTGTTCATTGCAGCAGATGCTGCTTGGTGCAGAGGTCGAAATGCCGAGATTACGTGCTCACTTAACATCAAGCGGTGCATAATTTATCGGCCAACTTAATTATGAACTTTTCGATATCCCAGTTTTCGATACATCAACTTTTAAGAATAAAGTAATGCAAAGTTAAATAATTATGATGCAGTATACTATTTTTATAGCACTAATTAGAAGTTTCAAAGGAATCGAAGAGAATTTAAATTGTTTGGAAAGATTACATCACGCCGATTTCGGCGTGAACGATTCCTCCCACTGTTTTATAATGTCCCTATAGTCTTCATGAGTGAAAAAATTTGGGATGCTAGTGAAGTCAAAACCTTCAGGGATGTAGAATGGAATAGCTGCCTCCGTATAGCGTTTGAACCCAATCTTGGAGTGCATATCAATAGACAGCTCATTATCGTCATCAGTAACGACATAAGATCGAATGCCGTCCTGTCGAAGCCTTTCGGCCAACTGAAGAGTTACGGCTCTTGCTAATCCTTTCCTGCGATGACTTTCCTTGGTGAAAGTAATGCCAGAGTCCGCACTGTGCTTGTAAATAGAGTAGCTTGCAAGTTCTCCTCTTTCATGACCTTTTATCGCGGAAAGTTCACATAATTCGTTGTTATCGGTAGCGGATGAGTTTGGTTCTCCTCTGTAGTATATCGCCACTGAAGGTAAAGTGACCAATAGCTTGGAGTAGACCTCGACATTTTCAGTTGATGCTCCCACCCACCGCGAGAGAATCTCTTCACTGCAGCTGGCTGCTAGATCTCCGAAATAATATCCTTCCGGTAATCTGTGGACGTAAAGGAAGACCATAGCGGAACGATGTTCTTTTCTAAACATGTTTGACAAGTCATCAAAATGATACTTTATTCTCCGACACCAACATTCAAAACTGATGAGCCTTGTCAAATTTTATAACGCCTTTTCTCAATTGCAACGAAAAATGAAATATTTCGAGATTATGACGCAAATTAATTGGGGTTAGGTAATGGTGAAATATCAAGCAAATTATCATATTTTTCTGGTAACTATCCTAACCTAGAGCATTTAGTAATCGTCATTGCGATTTCATTTAGCATGATTCTTCATGTTTCGAGCATTCTGTTTCTAATTAAGTTAGTGTTAGTTGAGAAAGAAGTGCTCACTGGGGCACAGGAGATACGTCTTCAGGGGCCAGGGTCATCGTTATGATGGGTATCGGCATCAGAAGATGAGACCTTCCTTCTGTAAGTCTTAGCATGATGGCATCCATCTGTCGAAAAAAATAGATATTAATATTTTTATTATATTGGTTATACAATACTTTAAGTTAGTCTGTCATTAGAGTCGTGTTGGTTATAACGATCGTACCGCTGTTCCCGCAGGTGTGAGCACAGCCATATGGTGACGGTGCACAGTATTTATCGGCGCGTAAAGCTTGACGTCGAAAATGCTGAAATAATTGTACTTGAGGTGCCCGTGCAGCATTGCTTCGATCTGAAGAATGATTGACAAACTGATGAGAGCGTAACGCCCACCAGGTCAGAAAAGTCTCGTGACTCCTTGCATTAGTTGCATATACAAGATTATTCCAGTATAATTCCTTTAAATTAGTTTAGTTGCGAACCAAAATCGAAAACTTCCTGACTGGGGAAGGATTTTTCCCATTTGAGATAGTGCTCCTCTAGTTTCTATTGTTTTTACGATGATCGTGCATTATAGTTTTGAACTTGTTATGCAAGGTAAGTTCAAAAATTTATCAGTTCAATTAAATCTGTAGGTACATCTTGATTTCGCATGTCGTCAATATTCATGATAACGTGATTTCCGGTTTTAAAAATAGAGTTTAAGACTTTAAATAATGTGGCTCACCTGGTAAGAGTGGGGGAGAAACTCGACTAAACCTGCGGCGAAGGTTTCAAATTGATCAGAGGGCACCTCGGCCAACGACATCTTGCTGCTTCACTTGGCGTTTCCGGGGTTGTAATTATGGCTGTACAATTTAATGATGTATGTAATTCCAAATTAACTTGAATAACACAATGTACTGTCAAAAACTCAAAATCAACATGAATTAAAATGGTCTAATAATAAATCACAAAAGTTTCCTGAGAAATAATGAAACACTGAAATTTAATTGCAAATTTTCTGACTGCTGCTGCGCATCCCCGAACAAAATACTAAACTCAGAACTGCATTTATTGAATTATTGAATGGCTTTTCACTAAAATTGAGGAAACGATATTACAGTATCTCAGCACTTGAATCATTGAATGACTGAACTGAGTCTGTTTTGCACTGCAATCTGCATAATTACTTAACCGTTCTCGGAAATCTGACCCACGTGTCATATTTCGCTCACGATTCATTGTTCTAAAATCTAAATCAAACGTGGGGCTGCTTACTTGCTATTAACTTCGCATTTGCGTTAGGATTGATGCAGCAATCTTCAATACTTCATAAAATACGGCAGTGCGCTTCGTTGTTAAGCCTAATTCGAGCAAAATAAATGGAAACCAGCCACGAACACGGGCATCTTTCTCCTCATTCAGCGACGCCGGCCACTGACTCACTCTACGGCTTAGTGCGTCCAACTGTCCAACCTTATCCATGAACAATGGACTGTGGAGCCGGCTGAGTTGTACGTTTACGGCGCTGTTGCCACGTTGCCTCAAGTATAATTTTTAATTTCTCTCACCTACGAGTACGTACTTCACTTACTTCGCCTCCATTTTCATCAAATATTAGTTCATCATAATGGTAATTTTTCCCGTATTTGATGAAAATCGGTAGTAAGTCATACCACTGGAAAAGTTTTGACTTGTTAAATCGAACAATTAAGTTACGTCCAGCGCCTTGCCCCCGCATGGCGCAACCTCTCCGCCATCCTAACCTAACATCAGCACAGATAGAAATTATATCTACAATTTCATTGTAAGAGTGTTGATTCCGCCGTTGTGTGAATTAACTGATGCATTAATGTATTAGTGTCGTCTTGTGCATGAAAATTTTTTACAGAGCTTCCTAATACTCCGCGGCAAGTTGCTTTCCAAGTCCCGCGATATTCGAACATCCGTGAAGTACTAACACTTATTTTTTCATCGATTTGTCTCCTGTTCGTACTCATTTGGTCAGTAGATTAATAGTAGTATTTCAAGTGCTTATGGAACATTCAAGCGCATTTATAATGATATTACATAGTCAACACTAAGTCAGCGACCCGATCAGAACGTACCTATATTTTTTACACAATGCGACAAATTATTCACTTTATGAAAGAATACAAGGTATTTTCCATTAATGATAATTTTTTATTGTATAACGTTCCCTTGGAATAATAAATTACATTCAATACCTGTTACCCACTTTTTCAATCTGATGGCATCGAAGTGTGATTGCACTAGGAAAAGATTTTATTTCACAAGTAAGTTAGATAGCCGAAATGCTATCTCACGCAACGTTCGATCAATTCGATGAAATAGTCTACGTGTTTATATGATGCCCTGAATCCTAACTGCATTAGGTTGCCTTTAATGGAATTTTTCACTGAATTAGGTAACCGAAATTGACCAGCAACTAAGATGATGATTTACTTACTATCAAAAATGGATACTAGTTGAGAAGAACCTAATTTAAAACGCTCAGGAACACGATCATCCAAGATCATATAATAGACACATAGATATTCAATTAGATTGAAAAGCGAGTCAAAATCTGACGAACGCGTCACGCAGTTGATGTCAACAAAACAAACTATATGTTTATTTTAAAGTCGAAATAAAATTTTGCAGTCAATGCACGTTTATACTAGATTAATGGTCATTTGACCAGCGATATTTCAAGCACTGGCGACTTTCTTTAGATATTATCGGACTAGTCTGCGGTTGCCACTAGCGCAATTCTATTGCGCCACAGCTGCAGGATAGCTTAACTAATGGCAGTAAACTTCTAAGAACTGATGAGAAGATTTGTCTCGATTGATAAGAAGATAAGATTCGTCTCAAATGCAGCGTGATAATCTTATAATCATAGACTATGATGCTAAATAATGCTTTTACTTATGATTATGGGTTTATGATGGCAGTTCTATGGACTGAATTAAAATGATATCTGTACTTTATTGATATACTTAAGTTACCAAGCAATATATAACGTTACATGAAGAAATATTCTACTAGCTACCATGCAATATACGACGTTACAAGAAGAAATATACTAGCTACCATGCAATGTACGACGTTACATGAAGAAATATACTAGTTAACATGCAATGTACGATGTTACATGAAGAAATATACTAGTTAACATGCAATGTATGATGTTACGTGAAGAAATATACTAGCTAACATGCAATGTACGATGTTACATGAAGAAATATACTAGCTACCATGCAATGTATGATGTTAAATGAAGAAATATACTAGCTACCATGCAATATACGACGTTACAAGAATAAATATACTAGTTACCATGCAATGTATGATGTTACATGAAGAAATATACTAGTTACCATGCAATGTACCATGTTACATGAAGAAAGATTCTAATTCAACACATTTTACATACACTAATATTTTTCCGAAATAAGATTTCAGAATTCGTGTTTAGAAAAATATATCAGCGGTCCAATAACTTGAAACGCAATATTCAACGATGACTGAATAATGTTACAGTAAAATTGTGAATGATGATTTTGTTGCATATTCATAATAACGAAGAATCACTTTGTTAATAAATCATTCTAAACAATGATTTCCTGTTGATTTTATTGCTCCTCATAAAAATATCATCTACGATGCTCGATGACTGTATAAAATTTGAAAATAATTTTTTTTGCAGTTTTGAGGTACTTTTTTCCATCAGAACCAGAAATAAGTACTGAAGTGTAATTTATATTGTTAAACGCATACACCTTTTAGACAAAGTACCAGCGAACCTATAGAATTACAAACAATCACTGGTCAAGTTGACTATTTTGTTTAAAACGTTCTATTTCAAGTGCAAATCTTTTTTCAAACTGAAAATAGTGCGACATGGTTTTAAAATCGAAACTACTTGGGAAATATATAGGAATCGCAAACTCCGCGTGTGGCTTAAAGCCAAGGCGAAGGCGGGCGTCCATTTTCCAAGACAAGTCATCATCGCGCTTGAGTCCAACCAGTGCTGGGATTCCATCACTGTGAAGCTGATGAACTAACTTCAGAGTCGCTGCTCGGGCTAACCCTTTTCTGCGGTGACAATCCTCTGTGTGAGTCATGCCCGAGTCTGAGCAGAATTTGTAAGCAATGTAACTAACAAGCTCCCGAGCTCTCTCGCCTGCTGAATTTTCAGAATTCTTCGGAAATAGATTTTTTTCATCAGTTGACTCGGTGCAAGTTGTTGAGTCGCCGTCGTAAAATATTGCAACGGACGGAAGTATTTCAAGCTGCTTAGAAAAATTCTGTTCGGATTCTTCGAAAGCTGCCTTCTGTTTGTGCCATAGTTCTTGCCCAAAAGTTGCATCCAATCTGCCAAAATGGTATCCTTTTGGCAACCTGTGTGTGAAAAAAGATTTCAGGAAATCCAATTTGCAACTTCGGGATTACAATCCGATCTATAATCGAACTTTCTTTTACTTAAGACACATGCAGCTTCAACCAATTCGCAACACAGGTATCAGTTTCTAAAATACTTTAAACCTCGTGTCAATGGACTGTCAACTAAACACTTGCATTGCAATTATGTAGGTGGGAAAATTTAATGGATAGTACAAGAAAAATGAAGAGGACGAAATTGGATTATAGACGAGGTGATTTAACATCTAATCTTTCCATAACTATGTTATCAAAAACAGATAATACACCTACAAATTGGTATACAACAAAACTGCCTTACTCTGGTACTGGTGGTGTGTCTTCAGGGGTCAAAATGAGGTTGACGAGGTGAGTGCTCGCGAAGAGGCGCATTTGACCCCCGGACAACTTAAGCATCATTGCGTCCATCTTGAAACACAATTGTGTTCGTGAATTTAGTAATACCAGTTAATTAATTGTAAGGCTTCATTCTACTTGACGGGAAATTTTATGGCAACGTCAGCGAAAATAGTCGATTGCGACTTTAGGCGCTCCTGACGGTCATTGTTGTGGGTCCCGCGTTGCTCGTTGTTAATTCTTTAGCGACCAGAGCAATCATATCTGTTCATTTGGTAAAACTGCTGTCTACACGCGCACAAACACACATACGAACAAAAATACAAATACTTCAAGCAAAGTATATAATATTAACAAAGGAGTTTCTCTACCAGCTTGTATTTATTTGTATTTTTTTTAACTGTGCAGACATAACCAAAAATTTTAACTGGTATAGCATGAAAACAAATTGTAATTGGTTCTTTACTACGGTTTAATTCACTGAAGTGAACGCAGTTGTACTAAATCATTGACACCTCGATCAATCACTTATGAATCTTCTAAGCGTGAAATTTGAGCTAGCATGTTATAACAGATAAAATAAATACTAATGTCAGGCTGTCTACCGTAACTCCCTTACTTGTGTTAGCAGTTACTGCGTTACTTCCGAGACGTCACTATAGTATGCCTATACAAGCTCTCCGAGCGGGACCTACAGCTAGTCAGTCTTAGGCAGTCACAGGCGAGACGTAGTAAGCCATATCATCATGTAGTCCGCAGGATCACGCCAGGCTCCGGCGTCGAGTAGCCTTCGTCGTTAGAGTAACCAGCTAAAACCTACCTTGTGTACTTATCATCAAGCTTCCTTGTATTCCTATCTAGTTCGCAAATATATAACTAAGAAACTTGCCTCTCAATCAACCTGCCGCTTATTCGGATCCTAGATAAAATCCCTAGGACGCTCAACTCAAAACCTAAGAAGATCATCCGATAATTAATCAATACTGAACTTTGATATAATTATATATTTTCGGGCCAGTCAGACCTAATCTCTTCCTGACACTTAATTTTAACTTTTAGTAGTACCTTAGGCAGTAATAGCGTAGGCAAGTGACGTATCATGATGGGGTGTATCCAACCGTCCATAGGCAAGGAACTCAACAGCTGGAAGACAACGTCGTCTGATAGTAACTCTTCGTCCCAGAAGAGCGACACGGACTTCACTTTTTCCTGCAGAATAGTGCAAGAAATCTGTTGCATTACTTGAAAATGATAATTAATTCGCAATGAAACGCCGTGTTGACTCTTTTATACGTGGCAAAAACCTCATTTCAACATCTGTCTCCAAAGTACTTGTATATTTATGCATTTTCGGAACATTTAGGGTATAATAAACAAATTTACCCTGCATTTCGTTACACTTGCTATAGTACAAGTCTTACATTTGAGCTTGTAGGTGTGATGACGGCCATGTGGTGTCGGTGTTCAGGCAGAATCGGTGCGTAAAGCTTGGCGTCAATGAGGCCAAAATATTCGTACTTGAGGTGACCACGAAGCATCGCTTCGATCTGCGGGAGGTAGGAGGAAATAATTTGGGGAGCGCAGCCGTGGGTAACAAAATTGACTCGTAAACAGGCCCTGGGCCCAACGCCAACCATCAGCATGAAATATCTACTCATAGCCTCAGATCAATGAGCCGTGGGTAACTCCGGCTAACAGTAAATCCGCTTTGCACAACACAGCCACTGCTTCACAGAGCCGGAGCACAACTGGCCGGAGCGCAACAGGCCCTACCGCAACAGGCGGCACAGGTTAGGTTAGAGAAAATTCACCATATCGATATTGAAAACGCCAAGAAAATTCACCATATCGTTGTTTACTTCTATAATGGGTTGGTTTGGTAACGTGCTGGACTAGGAAGGAGTCTCTTACTGACTCCATGAACAAGGATGCTGGATGATTCTCTTCCCTTGGAGAGGATCCATCTATCCAGTCTAGCTCTGGATGATTAAAATCACCAACGATCAACGTGTGTGACCTACGGAAAGACATGCTCGGTAAACAATTTGAGCCATCTATTTCGAAAGATAAAGACGCAAACATCTGAAATTACTCATCAGTTGCGAATCATCACGCAGGCGAATCAACATCACTTCCCAGTTCAATAATTCTTTACCCACGTTTAGTAATCTCTTGTACCAAGTATAAACGTATAAACATAAAGTATATACTCTCCGAGTATAAACGCGTTCAATTAAGAACAGACTAGACGAAGCTATGGAGAAATATTTGTTCAGACTTGAAGTGCCTATATATATATATAGGCTATAGCACCATATCGAACCTGGTCGAAGTCTAGTAGCTATTTCAAAGTATCGACAGTTTGGAAAAGATCCGGTCAAAGGACCTGTTTTTATTACCACGTTTTTCTTGACTTCGTTTCGTGTGTGTCTGTCATCAAAAATTCAGACCTTAATTTAGAGCTCTTCTGAACATCCTAGAAACTTTAAATTTGGCATGCATGCTCATGCTGCCTTACAATTCAAGATTTGATCATCAGAAATAATGATTTAAAAAACAATTTTTTTGGAAAAAATGAAAAAATATAAAAAAAAACACGAAAAATTCACGGTTTGGAATTGAATTTTTTCTCGAACATCCACACTTGCCAACCCTGGAAATTGATTTCAATTGCTAAAATTGCTAACTAAAAAGTAGAAAATAGATAAATATAAAAAATATTTTTAAAAACCACGTTTTTCTGGTTTTTACAAAACTAAAAATATTGAAATAAAACAAATAAAAAACTTAAAAAACCACATTTTCTTAACGGACAAAAAAGAAAAACGTTTACTCATACATAACATTACATAACATTTTACATAACTTAAATGTTATGTAAGAGTAAATGTTTTTCTTTTTTGTCCGTTAAGAAAACGTGCTATTTCAACAGGTTTTTATTTGTTTTATTTCATTATTTTTAGTATTTTTTCATTGATTCTTTCTCTTCAACTGCTAAAAACTTTTAAACTATTCAGTAATTAACGTTTATCTCAACTAACTATTTTCTACACAGCTTCTAAAGTTGCGTAAAGTACCTTCCATTTAAACAAAACTTAAACAACCACGCTCGTTGTTTTCATTTTAGAACTAAGACCATGTTATTTCAACCACACACCAACGCCTATCAACTTAAGAGCCAGACTGAGGCTTTGAGCCGACTTTCCCCTTGTCTTGCTATCACTGAACCTGGCTCGGAGCTGCCCCTTTCACCTTCGAGGTCATATTGCGGGAAGCAAAGCAGGCAGGATGGTGGTGAATCGTGCTGCCTATGTGTAGATTTTTTATTAGTTTGTTGCTATGGGATTAATGTAATTTGTAAATGTTAGTTGTATTCTATCCCTTGTCAGTTTTCAAATTCCCCTTTTTAATCCCGTTTCCATTTTCTACTTTCCCGTATATTTTCGACTGTTGTAAGCAAGTGACCAAGCGAACTAGGTTGGTGAATCTTACATAACTCCCATCAAATGATCAATCATCGTTCTCAAAAATTCATGTATGAACCATGCGCATGAATTGTTTGATTGCTCACGTCTTTTGTCTACTTGCGCGCTTCAATCGGTTTTGGTTACTTTTGATAAACTGATACGGCCAGCCGGCCGTAAAATTGTCCGACACGTCGCAACCCAGGTTAGATTCTAGGCTAGGCAACTTTTTACTCAACAAATAGATATTTTATTCTACTAATAAGTAAATAAAAGTTCAAACGGCCCTTTGTCTCTGATATAACCACTCAAGTTTTTTCTGCAATCTGCACCAAAATTATCATTCTAATGTGACATATTGCACAACATTTTATCCACTTGCCAGTACTAATATCTCGTTATTCTCGTAACAGCTGACCTTTCCCGGAAAACAGCTGATCATTCATTTCACTAGCAACCTGCCAGCTGGCTGCTGCACAGAGTGCACACTGCAGGTTGCAAGTCGCGTCGCAGTCGCACTCGGCCACTCGCATTGGCCGCTGGCGCAAATCTTAGTGCGGCTCAAGTTCTCCGTAGATGACCTGTATAAGCAATATGGCACCCGGACATATTGCGACTCAACATGAAAAAATGCTGTTCAGACAATCAAATTTTTTCTCATTGTAAGTAAGATCAGCTCGTATTATACGTAGTATTTTCGTATGTGTGCTGAGAAAAGAATTTTTGTGTGCGCACGTCAAACTTCAAATAGAAATAGGCTAGCTACTCAAATTGAAAGTTGAAACTGTCTCAGCACTGTGTTGTTGTGTTGTGTGCTGTGAAAAGTAATTTTGTGTGCACATGTCAAACTTCAAATAGAATTTAGAAATAGCTACTCAAATTGAAAGTTGAAACTGTCTCAGCACTTGGCACTTGTGTCGCCAGCCTTTGAAAGAAATGACCCATTTTTTAAACAACTCAACTGCTGCACATCAACAAACTCAAACTGCTGCACATCTATTATGTTATCATGGAATGCAACAAATTGTTGTGATAGGCTAGTGAGAATCCTTCAGAGTTCTATTGCTGAAGAAGAGTCTAGGAAAATCTGCTTTGCCACAATGAATTATACTAAAAATAATCAGCCATCAGGACACAAAAAAAAATTATGTGCTGGCATATGTAGACAGTCAACGACACATAACTCATAAGTCACAACTTGAAATTTGAAATATACGTAACACACTTAAATTAACTTAAACTGACAATAATAGGCTACCAGCCTGTTAAAAGCCTCACTAAAGTCTAAAGACTAAAGTTAATTACCATTTTCCAATAACTAAGCTATGAGTTCTGACAGAGTTCACATTCAATTTTGAGCAGGGTTGGAGATTTTTTTATTTTTTTAAATCAACAAAATGGAAAGAAACATTTCGTTTTTATTTTTTAAGGATTTTTATTTTTTCAACTTTTGTGTTTTTTTATGTTATTTTATTATGTTGCAATTAGCCTATACTAACAATAACAGTACTATATGGATGGCTAAAAAGGGCAGTTATTGTTTTCAACTTTTCAAGAATGGCCAAGGTGGTGTTTGCCACTTTGGGACTTTTGGGTAAACAATTATTGATAAGTCTATTCATTAGCTTTGTAAAGTTTGTATGGAGCAAGGTAACGAGCTAAATATTGGCCATTTAACTGGCTTCAATACCTATACAACACTTCAGGAATACAGATCTTCTAAACATTGAAGAGTCACGTAACATAACAGATAGAGATAGGTAGCTGATAGCACAATGTACAACACTATCAATAGATCTACTAGTTTTATGTCCTATAAGTCTACCAGACCAGGCTCTACCCTCTAAACACACTGAGTCAATGACTGGTACCTAGGGACTGAGTGACTGACAGCACTGTTCCCATTTGATTCAGACCAATTTACCAAAACTAAGCTTGAACTGAATGACAACCAAACAAACCTCAAGTGACTTGAAATGAGACATGTTATGAGAAAAGCAATAATAACAATACCTAAAAATAAATTAAAGACCGCCACTTAATATATTTAAATATGTGAAAAATCAATGAATAAAAAAATGATCATTTTTTTTATAAAAAATCAAGTGATTTAATCACATGATTTAATCAGTTAGATTTAATCATTGCCAGCCCTGATTGAGTCCAAAAAGTAGACCAGCAAAGTATCATGGTTACCAGCTAGGCAGCTAGGCTACTAGCATGATCATGTATAAAATCATGTATTGGCAACCACTAAGCCTGCTATCATGAGTGCTATGGGCATGGGCTGAGTCTCTTACACTAAAAACATATCAAATTTTCAAGAACTCTGATATTTTTATCATTCAAATTGACTTTTTTATACATTTTTAATAAGATTTCATGTTAAGAAATGTGCTATTTATTTTGTTAGTAACTTAGTATGTTCTTCTTTTGAATACTTATCACTCTGGATCCGATTCTCTGACTAGTTGAGGATCACAGGCTCAGGGCTCTTGAGTCTTGAGTGCAAGAAAAAGATGTATTATTATTGCCATTTTAGTTCACATATTTTTTTCAGAGGCTATACACAACTTCAGTGTGTCACCTGTCAGTCTTGGCTTACTTCAATGGCAGAAGCTGCTCACCACACTCTTAGCTGCTATTCTCAGAGACAGAGAAGAAAAGTGAGATTTTATGTTTTGTCCATATTTAATGGCAGTGATGGGATCAACTATATTTATGAGTTTTCAAGTTTGTACTACACTCTAATTAGTGATGATTATCTATTTTATTCATTAATGTTAGTAAATATTTTGTACTAATTATCACTGTTTTTGTTTAAGTCAGCTCCAACATAGGTGACAGATTTCTAAATGAAAGTCCATGAGTGGATGTCAATACTTGGCCAGTAATTTCAGGCCCAAGTTTACTGAGGCCACTCACGGGCACACTTTATTTTGATTCACTGCTGTAAAAAATTGGTAAGAGCAGGGCTACTGTATTTGGCAATTTGTCAACCTATCATGCAAAAAGATATTGAAAAACATTTGATTGCTAATTTTTTAGGCAATAATCAATTAATTGTTGCTTCCCGGTTTAGTTCATAAATTTTAATCATGAGACTTCTTAAAACTTGGTCATTTGAAAAATGATTTATTTAGCTTTTTCTTTAAGATGTCCTAATGTTTTAACTTGAACAACGACAGGTTCTTGGCAGAAAAAACATGGAGCTGAGTGCAAGTGTTCAATTCGATAAGACTTCAGCAAGAGACACTTATCTTGATGAGAATAATCCACAGCCTGATTTTTCATTTGTTGAACCTGAGCATAAATCAGATAGCTTGCTCACCTTATCTAATGTTGCTAGCCCACATGATGTATTGCAACCTGTAGAGCAAGATTCAGTTCAAATGCACCTCACTGCTCCTACTGAAGGTATCCCTTGGGATGCAAAGCAGTTTGAAAAGCATCTGACTGATGCCAATCCTCATTCTGATAACAAAAAGGAAATTATGACAGATCCTGCAAATCAATCAATTGGAAATTCAGAAAGCATTGCTTCTCTCTCACTCACAACTGATTTAACTGAAGACTCCAAAAGTGCATTGACCACTAAGATGAACTTGAGTAACTTATCTGTTCAAGTTACAGCTGCTGAGGATATAGAAGAGCAGACAATTCAATGCTGGGACTATTTAGATGAAGACTCAAGTGTTGTCATTAACTTTACAGAAGAATGTGAGTTTCTTCAGTTCTCATGTAGCTTGCAAGTGGAATTAGAATGATTGTTGTTCATTGAGCCTTTTTCTGTGGGAACTTGAGACACTTGTTTCATTTGATTGTGATGTTTCTATAACCAAAAAATGCAATTCTTTTTTCACAAATCTTTTCATCTTATGATTAATTTTTTTACTATAACTCACCATGTTCTTCTTGATTCAATTTTTATTCATGTGCTTATAATACCTATGTAGCTTTGCATTGTCTTTCCTTGCTCAGTATAGTCCAAGTTTTATTGAAATATAACATGAAACATCAAATTTTAAAAACAATATGACCACTGTACACTGTTCACACTCAATCAATACTAAATTCTACTAGATTTTTATTTCAATTTTTTATACTTTCCATACACAAATATTATTCTTAATTTGGAGTTTTTTGAGGTACCTTGACCTAGTTAAAACTGGAGCTTTTCTTAAGATTTACACTGCAATGAATGTGTCAAGTATAATAAATTCTTTAGCACAATACTTTTAAAATAATTTGAGTGTTTTAACTTCTTGTTGCAGGTAAAGTGCCTCATGATGACTCAATTGGAGTGGATATCACAACAGATTCGGCTAGTGAAAGACTTCACAAATCAAGAACACCTATAGTTTATGAAAAAGTTATAGGAAAGGTTTGTTCAAATCATAAAACATATGATAGTTTTTATCCTGACTCATGCTGCGATGTTGCTCCTTAAATTCTTGATCTTTGGCTCTCAGTGAGGCTTCAGATGTTGCTACCATACTAGATTCTTCACAAGCTTGTCACTCAATGTATTTTGTGCAATGTTTATCCTCAGGTTTGTGCGTCACATCAATCAATGGCAGCATTAATGTCATGCTGATCAATAATCATAACTAAATCTTGAAAAATTTCCATTCAAAAATAATTTCATTCATGATTTAGTAGTTGTCAAGGCCTGTCATTTCCACATTTTTTAGATAAACAACTTAGAAATAAGTAATATAATAACACACATTCTACTCAAAGGAAGGCTGAATCAAGCACAAACAAATTATCCATTAGTTCTTGTTTTATTAATGCTTTGCTAATGCTGTCATCGCCAATCGATATAATTGTTATTTATGCTAATTCCACCAGTCATTATCAATGACTGGTGGAATGCTTCTTTCTCTTTTTTTCATTTGACATAAAAATACTTTAGGCTACCAGAAAAAGGAACATTTTCTAATGTGTATTATCCAAATAGGAGTACCGGTAGTATAGAAATGGCTGCTAGGTTTGTAGCTTACTATTTATAGGAGCTCATTGAGAGCTTGGGCCAATACTTTCAAAAAAAAGTTAAGAGATCGTAAGTTCATCAGCCAATCATTGACGGCCTTTCCAGCAAAATCCACCAATCATAGACAAGAAAATAGAGCGTAAGTACTTACATTCACGTAGCGAATTTTAAAAGTACGGCCTCTGAATTGCAATTAATCGTGAATTTAAAGCTGCATTGTGTGTGACAGGAATGTGCTGGAGAGCAGGACCTGATGGCGCTCGTCTTGGCCGAGTGCTGCAAGCTGGACGCCGCTGACCTGGTCACTCAGCAACGCAAGATGCTGCTCAGAGTTGTGAGCTGAAAATTGTACTTCTTTGTATGTAAAGCATTATAATATTGTCGGATCCATTAAAACACAAATAAATATGATAATATCTTCCATTATATGGTTGATATTACTCAACAACGCAAGATGCTGCTCAGAGTTGTGAGCTGAACATTGTACTTCTTTATTTGCAGGGCATTATAATATTGTTAGCCCCATTAAAACACAAATAAAAAACGATTAATATCTTCCATTATATGGTTGTCAATCAAACTTGTATAAAATAACAAACCATGCTATCCTGTACTAGTAACAGCAATTAATATATATCAATAAATGATGCTTCTCTCTATCTTAAATTCCGGTGACCCTATCTATAAAAACTCTTAAGAGTTTTTAAATTGAATTATTCGGTACTGCCACGATAATGTATTACTTTGTTAATTTATATTTTGAAATGGTAAAACTCTTAGATTTTTTCAACATTGAAGAGAAAAGTGGTCTAATAACCAACTTCCATCATATGTTTTATAATGCCTACTAAAGTTTGAATTTGTTGCTTTATTTTTAATTGAAATTTGTGGCTTTGAAACGCCGCATTCTTTATCACGAAATATCTGTGATAATGTTGAATTTAATTTTCGGTTTATAGATCTCTCATGTTCAGCAAAAGCTTGAGATTGTTCTCAATTGAAGGTAAAGTTGCGTCATTCCTCATAATTGAATGAAGAGTTTTTATGGTGGCTCTTTACTTGTACGGTATGCTACTGTTCTTAATTGGACATTAGTTTTGAGGTCTATTCATCACTTGTGTGCTATTGTTCTTATTAATAAGCTTTTTAGCGCATTTTCTCATTTATGGAAAAAATGTCCGTCTGTCTGGCCGTCCGTTACTTCGCGTTTTCGTCGACGAGAAAATGCGCTGTCTGTCACTCACTGCAGTGACTACTGAGTTATATTTTTAGCGCAGTTTCTCATTTATGGAAAGAATGCACTACTGTGCTCGCCATGTCCGTCCGTCCGTCTGTCCGTGACTTCACGTTTTCGTCGACGAGAAAATGCGCTCTCTGTCACTCACTGCAGTGAGTACTGAGTTATATTTTTCAGGTGTGCCCCGCCCTGCGCAGTAAAGGCATCAGGTGCAGCGTGATACAAGTGTACCGCTGCTGGGAGACGCTCCTCAGCACCTACTACTCCATCCTCAAGGCCGGCAGACAACACACCAATTGCTGGAAATACTTCCCAGTAAATACAATTGTCAATTTCTGCGCATTTAGTAGATGTGTGTCGCATTTCAGGCCGTTCCATGTAATATTTATATTAACCGACTAACCTCATGCGGCTACTTCAAAGGCATAAACTTTTTTATTATCCATTTGTTGTTTTTTACTTCTAAAATCTTCCTAGGATTTCTTCCATAAATCTTCCCGAGAGATACTTCTAATTGAATCCTAACTCAACGAGGATTGCACTTTAACAAGGAGTGTAATCAAGAAGTTAGTCGGCTGATATCAGGGTCGTCTAATTCCACTCGGATGTTTGTTGGTTTTAAAAAGAAGATAAATAAGTCCGTATCGTGATGTTTTAGTGCAGGAGGCAGGCAATTATTTTCTTTTATCCAACATTGCATCAGTATACTCTCGTTTGCCCTGCCATCTCTTCTCGATATCGTCCATCACTGTCGTCAATTTAAGGGATTCCAATAACACTCATTAACGCTCATCATTTCACTTGAACTAATTTCAATGCGGAATAATTGTGTTGAACTAAGACCGTTCCAGATTAACATTTTACTTTCCTACTTTCCGTTGATCATGACACTAAGTTACTGCAAAAAATTCAAAATAGTTTCCTATGTGCAGAATTCAAACTTTGAACGTGTATATGCATTGGCTTATCATCCCTCATTCGTTCGCTGCTATCTGCATTGCACATCAGATCTCAGTCGTGTGACGAGAACCTTGTTCAGTCGCAGCGTGGGGTTAATTAGTTTAAATGATCATATGATGCGACGTAACGGAACTATTTTATAATATTCCTGCATTATTTTACAATTTTGGACGCGGAATTTTAACACTGGAAAACGGACGAATGTGAAATGCTTATTTCTTTCCAGCGCAATCCATGCTTAAAATATTTCTACTTCATTTCACTCAACTTTTCTTCAGCATGACTCTACATACTCCTATTTTTTATGTAGATATGTGATTAAAGGTAATTAAGTTACTTATGACATTTAACGCAGAGTAAATTCCCCAGGAATTTTAAAGTAAAGAAAATAGCCAAAAAGTTCACCATTTCTTATTAGAGAATATGTTTCGGAGTTTTAGCCTCCACAACCGGTGTTTCTGACCTACGAATTTTAGAATCATTATATATTTTCAAACAGAAGCCCAGTTTAAATACCGCATTCAGTTCCTATCCTCTACAAATTGTAAATAGATAGTACCTTCTCCACATGTTATCTCATTTTTATTTGTTTCATTTTCGATTTAAGTTCTAACGTCCACAAGTTAAGGTGAATTGTTTGATTGTGAATTTTAGGCTACTAATTGTTTGTACCTGTGTTCTAGGTTTTGAACTGACGATGGAGCTGGACTCCGAAACGTTCTCTCTTATAAGAAATGGTGAACTTTTTGGCTACTTTCTTTTTTTTTTAATTCCTGATGAATTTGCGACTTAAGCAGCCAAGTGATCTTAATACTTAACGCAGAGTATTGGCACTCGAGACTCCCAATGTATGGACGGACCTTGTACCGGCACTCAACTCATAATGGTGGCTTTTTTTCATGAGGCGATAAGATTAGGAAAGCATTGAGACGGTCAATATATTTATTATGTAATCATATGAGGTGTGACAAGTGATTCAGCACATATGAACCACCCATTCAGATTCATTTCGATTTATCTGACCCAGACGCAGTCAAACACGTACGATATATCCTTGAAGTAATATTTTAATCTGACAAAATTATATTCACAGTTGGCTGACGTAGAGTTAAATTAAGAGAATTGAAGCTAAACATGCTTGACTCAAAATGTGTACATGTGTCTTACACATACTTTAATTTCTTTTGTTGAACTAGATAATCGTCGAATTAATGTACTTATGATTAAAGAATGTGAATAGGCCAAAGAATCGGCTGAATTTCTTCTGTTAAATTAGATAATCGTCGAATTTATGTACTTATGATTAAAGAATGTGAATAGGCCAAAGAATCTTGATGGAGCTGGACTCCGAAACGTTTTCAATATCGATACGGTGAATTTTCTTGGCGTTTTCAATATCGATATGGTGAATTTTCTTGGCGTTTTCTTTGCTTTTAAATTCCTTGTGAACTTGCGATATAAGCAGACTAATGATATAAGGTTAGGTTAGGTTACGTTAGGAGTAGCTGTTGCTGTAGGGCCTGTTGCGCTCCGGCCAGTTGTGCTCCGGCCTGTATGCGCTCCGGCCTGTGACTGAATTTGACTAATTTGTATTTTCGTGCAACGTGAGCTATCATTTTCAAGTCCTTTATAAGATAGAATTGTAAATATTGAAATAAATACTTCCTAATTTGATGACACTCTTTGCCTACAAAATTTATTCTAAAACCGAAAACTGTTAGAATTAAAAAAGTCTATCAACCAATATAAAACGAGTTTCAACAGTTTAAATCTTATGAGGTGCCATCAATCTCATCAGGGAATATCTCCGCAGCACCGGTCTATTTGACACAAATCAATACCACCTCTACGATACAAATATTTGGCCATTAAATCCATAAGTTTGTCACGTTTCCTATTTTATTACTCGGACTTATCATAAAAATTATAAGGGTAATAGCCAGCGTCCTCGTTTGACGACAGATGACGATGAACGCTAGATAGGTATGCATGACAGCTAGGCTTAGGAGAAAATATAGAACAAGCTAAAATGCGATTCGCGTTGTTAATAGGTTATGTCAATGAGTAAAAATAAATAACTAGATGTAAAGCACGTAAAGCCTAAACTTCAAGAATATAATACCAAAAATTATACTCACCCGGGACGAATGAGGATGACATTTGCGTATAGCGTCAGCAAATTCTCCGTACTCATGGCTAGGAACAACCGCCAGAGACATGGTTGATTATAAGCTTGTAATTTGTCGCAAGGCGTCTTTTAACTACCATTAAATTTTGCCCATAATCTATATCAACACAATTTTTTGCGCTACATCATCTGTACGATCGCTCGTCAGAAAACTTCGAATGTTAAAAATTCTGAATGTTACATTCTCCTAGAGATGAAAATCAAGGAAAAAATTCAAAGAACAAGCTGAACCGCAAGCTGTTTCTTCGTAGAATACAATTAAAAATTTTTTCTTTACTCCAATTATCTAATCAAACATATTGAAAGGTACTTTATTGCAACTGGATTGTGTGATTTCAACGAGCTATCTTACCTCCGCACTTAATGAGGGTTCTTGAGACCAATGAACAGAGCTGCGTAACATACATGAGGGAATATAACTATATGAAGAAGATTTAGAATAGAAGAATAGAATAGAAGTGTCGGCGCTGAAGAAATAGGCCCATGGCCTGTTGCCGATTCTTGAACTTTTCGTGACTTGATTCACAAGGGATCCGGCCTTTGGAACCCGATCTTTCCATATGTGAATTTTAGGCTACTAATTGTTTGTACCTGTGTTCTAGGTTTTGAACTGACGATGGAGCTGGACTCCGAAACGTTCTCTCTTATAAGAAATGGTGAACTTTTTGGCTACTTTCTTTTTTTTTTAATTCCTGATGAATTTGCGACTTAAGCAGCCAAGTGATCTTAATACTTAACGCAGAGTATTGGCACTCGAGACTCCCAATGTATGGACGGACCTTGTACCGGCACTCAACTCATAATGGTGGCTTTTTTTCATGAGGCGATAAGATTAGGAAAGCATTGAGACGGTCAATATATTTATTATGTAATCATATGAGGTGTGACAAGTGATTCAGCACATATGAACCACCCATTCAGATTCATTTCGATTTATCTGACCCAGACGCAGTCAAACACGTACGATATATCCTTGAAGTAATATTTTAATCTGACAAAATTATATTCACAGTTGGCTGACGTAGAGTTAAATTAAGAGAATTGAAGCTAAACATGCTTCACTCGAAATGTGTACATGTGTCTTACACATACTTTAATTTCTTTTGTTGAACTAGATAATCGTCGAATTAATGTACTTATGATTAAAGAATGTGAATAGGCCAAAGAATCGGCTGAATTTCTTCTGTTAAATTAGATAATCGTCGAATTTATGTACTTATGATTAAAGAATGTGAATAGGCCAAAGAATCTGCTGTTCGACTTGTGTCATCACATCCAGTATCGGATTATCTTGGTCGTTTGTAATGAATATTCTTCGTGTCAGTAAGTCATCCCACCGTCTTGTCTTTCTGCTGACCATTATTATTCAATGATATTTGTGATTTTTGGACCTTTTATCAAATTTTTTAGATTTTTCTTGGGTTGATTTCTATTTTTACTCTACATTTGCCATTATAAACTTTCAAAATACTTATGATTCTTCAATGTGGTACTATTAGATAATTTTCGTCAATTAAATTCGTGTTTAATATTCATTGTTAATTCTGTGCTCTAATTGTAAGTGGTTGCGTTGCTCTCGCTATGGGGTTTTGTCTAACATCCCTGTTTTCTTTCCCTTCCTCAGAGCATGAACAAACTTTTACGAGATCACATCAAAGTTAAGCCATCTGTCAGGTGCAACTCTTCTCGAGCAACGGGTTCTCCTCAACCTTCAGAATCGTCTGCTACCTTGCCACCAGCTGAATTTGAACATATTCACAATATCGATAATTCGATTACTGAATGTCTCCATGATGGTCTTTTAGAGGATAACTTGTCTAGCAGAATTCCTCGTGTGTCTAATAACAAGACTGCGGGTATACGCACAGGTTCAAAGAAGAAACTCCCTATGGGAAGACCGCTATCGCGCCGTGACATATTGCGTCGTTCTGACAAGAAAGCTCCATCATCAAGACGAACCTGTCGCATCTCTAGCGATGCCTTCGAAAACTTTATAAGGAAAAATACCGAAATGAACTCTGATAGCACTCGTCGTGTTGAAGCTAAATTGCAAGAACTTTTGCTAGCCAACAAGCGACGCGAAGAGACCGAACAGCGCCTACTGCTAGAGAGTCGGCAGAATTGCTTGAGGCTTGAAAGACTGGAGGCCATTCTGAAGGAGCTCATAGGAACCAGCAATTCTATCGAATACTGAGACTGCGTTGTCATTCTCTATAATAATGGTTTCCTATTTCTATGGTATACTATTACAATATTCTTGTTCGGTGTACTACGTTAAAATTATTTATTTAATTTGTGATTCTCTTCATTTGTCATGGCTAATGACATTCTTTAGTGCAATTATTCGCCATCGCTTGGCTGGGTCGAGTGCATCAGATTTCGACTGACAAAAACTGATAGTGGCAGTTTTTCTATTTTTTCCATCTGGTGCTTCGAATTAACGCACTGTTATGATGCTGCCGTAAACCTCTTGAACTTCCTATAATAATTTGTGTAGCTATTTTCCCGCCTCCATTTAGTCAAGTTTTCCAAACTTTCCTACCCCAACTAGGGGTGCATCTTCCATTCTCTCAAGTATTGTAATTATGGAAATTAATTTTCTAATTTTGAGAACAAATTTTGTAGTTACAATGTCATCAGTTGTATTATTATTATTTTTTGATGTCCCAAGTGTCTGACGATTTGTTGTTGGGCCGGTAAGTTTATACTGGAAATTCAATAAATTTTTGCTTAATATGCTTGTAACTTCATTCCATAATTTCCAAACCACTCGTGAGTCGTTGACGTGTATCAAGAAATCACCTTGAAACACCAGTTCTACATCCGTTTAGTTGCGCTTAGAGAAGGCAGGTTGAGCTAGACTAAGCTCTCGAGTTAATTCCGTAGATTTTGAGTGGTCATAGCAAAATCTATGATTTGAAGGATAAATCTATGCTTTTCCGAGTTTTATTTGGAGGTATTGACTAGTACCTCATTTCGACAGTTTTTCTTGTGCCCACCCCTCATCACGACTCACTTTATGACGTCATCGTTTTATCGATACAGGGTGTCCCAAAAAAACGATACTCAACTTAGAATGGCTGTAACTCGAAAAGAAAGAGTTAAAAAAATTTGGAAGGTCAGAATTTGTTCCCTATGTTTTTCTCCATCTCTCCACCAAAAATCAGACAGATCGATGTAGCCATAAGCGTTTGATAGAACTTTCAGTGATTTTCATAAATGAGAAAATGCGCTAAAAATCAAACAGCGAAAAGAAAACATGTCAAGACAACGTAATGATTATGCAAAATGATTTTACTAAAACTTTGCGCAAGCACGATTTTAGCACATGTCACTGAAAGTTCTATCAAACGCTTATGGCTACATCGATCTGTCTGATTTTTGGTGGAGAGATGGAGAAAAACGTAGGGAACACATCCTGACTTTCCAAAATTTTTTAACTCATAACTTTTCGAGTTACAGCCATTCAAAGTTGAGTATCTTTTTTTTGGGGACACCCTGTATATGTACTCTCTTTGTCACGCTTGCCTTTTTGCAATGCATTTCTAGGAAGTTCGTCTCTTTGAACCTCAGAATGGAGTCGCATGGAAACCAGTTAAAGACGAAATAACACATAATAAGGCAAGTGATTCAAAACTGTTAATTTATCGACATCACCTACTCACCTGGAAGGTTTACTCTGACCCACGCTATTGCAAATCGGACAAAGAAATGCTATAATGAGTGAAGCGTATTCTTTTAGCGTTATAAGCGCTAATGAAATCTTGGGTCAATGTCGGACTTGGGCGGGGAAATTTCATGCCGTGTGTGTCGTTCCCCCAGGTCCCGTGTCACACCACCGTTTCGCGTGTTGTACCTACACGCAGTCGGTCGTACCATTTGGGGCCCAATTTAATATATGTTGGGCCCAATTTAACGATGCTTTTTGCATTCCATTATTCAACACTCTTTCATGCTTTAGACCCCACCAGTCTAAGTTTTGAGACAATTTTGTGCGGTATGATCGAACTCCATGAATTGATTTTGTATTTCAATCTTGATTTAATACGAAAAATATCTTCCATTTATATTAAAATGTGTATGCTTGCTCATTGCGCTATTTTTGACTTAGGTTCAGCTGTTTTTTCTACTGCATGTGAAATTAATAAAATGTCATTTCTGCGTTTGAGTTCATAGTTAATTATAATTACTTACCGAATGTTCAATTAAACAAGGCCTTTTTTTTATTCAACATTTCAAATGTTTATATAAAGTAGTTCCGGAAGTTATGGTTACTATTTCATCAAAGCAATATCGTCAAATCTTTTTTAAATATTGTATTTCATTCTATAAACCATTAAATTTTTCCGTTGATGACTTGCTGCATTTTGATAATAGTTCACTGTCATATAATATAGCTTTTGCATGTTACTTATCTACACAGTAAGCATTTTAATCCTATTGTAACCAAACCCTCGGACAAATGAAGCTCGTGTAGCATCACAAATAGAATTCAATACTGTATAAATTCTCCGATATGTGCGTAGTCCTTGCTAGTGTTTTGGAGTCTATTGTCTAAAATAGTAAACAAATCAGTATGTTTTCTGTGACCGTGGAACTTTATCATCGTGTCAGTATTTCCTGCTTCATGCAGCGGTATGTATTTTAATTAAAATGGATTTTTGGACATTAAATTTTAAATATTCAGTAAGTCGATTAACTGAATATTTACAGTGATTAAATATGTCTATACTTTAACAGATTGAAAAATCGGTGGTTCTGGTTTATGGAACTCGTGAAATCATTGAAAACCGTGCCTCAAAATTGGTTCTGCCGATGTTATAATTGAAACAATTTGATTACTGCTGTACTTATTTTATGACTAGTCATGAACAGTGATCAAGTTAGTTGATTCGATTTGGAAGTTAAAGGCTGCTCTAATTTTTGAACTACAATATGGAAGGAGAACAACCTTTAATTGAGCAGTCAGGTGGTGAAGTTCCTAGTCAACCCCTGACTAACACCAATTTCTCGTCGGAAGCCTTTTGTATTGAACTACGAGATGTGGATAGACCTACTAATTTAAATTCTCTTGACACCTCATTGAGCAATCCTCAAAGCCAAAACAACCAGAATTATCAGAGAAAGAAAAATCATTCTTCCTTTCAAATTACCAGTGTGGTATTGAATGATGGTGCTGAAGATAGTCCTGATGAAACAGAAGATATGTCAGACATTTTGGACTCCTCTAAAATTGAGTCTGACTTTGAGAAAGAAACTCCTAGTTACTCTGAGGAGTACTCAAAATCTGAAGAACCAATTTGCGTTAGCACTGCTGCTGTCTTGCCCACAAGTACCCAGTATGGAATTACTGCTGTTGTACAGCAGAATCAATCTGGTGGATTATTGACATCAAGATTACCCCAAGGCATTACAGTGAATGTTACAAAAGGAGGCATTGCTCTTGCAGAAGCTGATGGTGTAGTTCCAAGTGACACTGAAAATTTGTCCAATAGATTTAAAATAGTAAAAATAGCTTCTAACAAGCCTTTTAAAAAAGGAAGATGGGTTTGTTTTGACTTCATGGATTCTCCGGCAACATCTGCTGTGGGAGTAAGAGGTCCAGAAACTCCTGGGCAGCACAATGTGGCTATTCCCTTGGCTTCTCAAATTCCACAAAGCCATAATCAACCCATGTTAAGCCAAAATGTGCCTCAGCAAATACCTCAACTTCACCAAAATCAGCAAACTTCTCCACAGCTTCCTCTTCAGCAGTCATCTGCCTTAGGACAGCATCAGTATGGGAGCATGACTCAAACTTGCAGTATGGCTTCAGGAACGCCTGTATATACATCTCAAATGTCATCTCAAGGATACCAATCAGGAACTAGCATTTCTTCCACCATGAGTCAACAGGGTATTCAAATGAACATTCAGCAGCAGCAACAACAGCAATATCAGCAGCATATTCAGCAGCAACAATTACAGCAGCAAATACATCAGCAACATCAAATGCAACAGAATCAGAATTCTGTTATTGCTAGTCAAGTAATGGATTCCCAGCAGGTGGTGAATACAGCACCTTTGAGTAGTAGTGTAAGTGAGTCTTCTCCAAGTGCTCAAGCTTTAGGTGCAGTTGGCATTATGCAGCAGCCATTGAAACATCATGATGGCTGCCAGCCTCAAAACATCCCTGTTCAAGGTCAGAGTGTTGGTAGTGTGCTGCAGAACCAGTCAGTGATTTCACAATCTCAGCAGAACTATCAACCTATGCCAATGCAACATCCTGAACAGCCCAGTTCTGTTCCATCTCAACAACAGCCACAGCAAACACCTATGACTCAGATGCAACAGGGATCACTACCACCACCACAACAACAGCAAGCAATGCAACAAGACCAGATGAATGTTGTTCATGACCAGTCCCCAAGCTTTCAACCTAGTCAATCACAGATGGTTCAGCAGCCCATAAATCTTCAATCTCAAGGACAAAATCAAGTACTATCTAACCAAGGGTCACCTCAAATGACCTATGCACAACAGCAGCAGCCCCAGCACTCAATTCTGCAATCTGGTGGGACAAGTATACTGCCTCAGGGAGGAGTGGTGCACTCATCTGCTGGGTTTTTTAATACGATTACTAATGCTGCAAACTTGAGTTCAAGCAACAATTCTAATCAGATGGCTTCCAGTAGTGCTACATTGGTACAACCACAAATGATGCAAGCCCAGACTGCTTGCAATATCACAGCTGTTACTTCAGACGCTCGAGAAGGAATTCCTGAAGCAAGTGCTGCATCGGATGAAGCAACTCCAGGAGACGAGGACAAACCAAGGTGAGAAATCTATTATATACAGTTGCATTTTATATGCATTTGTCTTGTCCTTCTATCATTTGAAATTTTCATGAACATTTGAAATCATTTGAAATTTTCAATTTATCATGAACATCTTTAAGCTAATTTGTGCCTTAGCCAATGCCTCAACCTAGACTTCTTTCTCAATGTTTCAAAAATTGTATTCATCATCAGCCTTGGAAACCTGCATTAATAATTTGTTCTCATGAATTTGAAAATTTTAGCCAATTCCTATTTCAATTTTATTTATTTTTGAATTACCTATTGAAAGAGGAAAATGCCAAGATTATCATTAAGTAGATAACATTTTCTACCCATTCACTAGAATCACATAAAAGGAAGAGCAATGAAATTATTTTTAGATTGAAAAAATACTTATAAATTTTACAATTATTAATAAAAAATTGCCTAAAATTAAAAATATCAAAGTTTAAAATAACCTTAATGGTCACAAAATTATCTTATGTTACATCATCAAAAATTTATGTCTCATTGATTTATCTGAGCTAGAAAGTACACTACAGTTAACAGCATTAGGTAAATATATGAACCATATAAGATGGATTTGTCAAGGCTATAGTATTGATATAGCAAAAAAGTATTGATGATAAGTTTTATTGAAAAATAATTTTTTTTCATTGCATCTGCCTTCTTTATAGGTTAGGAAAATTCCACTAATCATTGTAAAAACTTATTTGCCTTTGTTTATTTTACTATTGGTACCGTATGTCACATTTATTTCTTTGGTTACTTGATGATATAATTCTATATGGTGTATGCACTGTGTGGTTGCAACCTTGATTATAAACATTCATATATAATGAGATTCATTCACAATTTATTCAGGCCTAACTTGTTTGCACTTATTTATTGTAGATGTAAATATTTTATGACTCAAAATTTTAATATGTTAAATTTTACAGTTGAGAATAATGTGAATTGTTGATTTGAGATTTCTTGTGACAATTTTCATTATGTCTGCATGTAATTTGTATCACTGCCAAATATATTGCAAATATAGGATAGTAAAATTGCATCAGAATATCTTTTATATAAAATAAAATTGTAACTCTATATTTATAAAATATTTTTGTATAATATTTTGCCTAATTCTATTTAAATCCATAATGGACATAAATTTGAGAATGCATGTGCTTTCATCATATAAAGAAATACTAAGGAACCAACATATTTTGAGAAAAATAACACCCAAATACATGTGCTCTTCCTACTACCTCTCCATATGACCTTAGCTCTCTGTTGTTAAACTAATTATATACATTGCGGTTTTTCTTGATAAATGTTCATTGCAAATACAATGGCTGAGTATATATAATTACATGGATCACTGACTCCAAAGTCTAAGACTTGTTTGACTCCTTGCCTTATCTGAGTTTATTTATATACGGTCTACAGTATGTATTTGTTACATTTTCTTCATCATGACCATTGACTAATATGCTTGGTGTTACCTATTTGATGTTATTTATGTAGGGAAGAGAATATGTATTCCTATTTCTCTTTAATTTAATGAATATTGTAATTTAGGAACCCATTGTTGTAAACATTTTTTGCTGAAACCTCGGTTAGCCCATCACAAATTTATATGTATATATGTGCTGGCTGATGAAGCTTATTATTTTTAAGCGTGATTGTGTTTTGCCATTAATTTGCAAAATTATATTAGTATTTAAAATTAAGTTATTTGCACAAGATAGTGCACCATCTGCTGAAATGGTATCTACAGCTATGGGATCATAGTTACCTATAAATTTGATGTGAATCTGTACAAAATTTTGATTTTTACTGGGTTAAAAGCATCTTTGTGAATAATAAATTGCTTGTTGAAAAATGCACTTATAAGAATACTGGTAATGTTTTAAGTATCTTTGTCTTTCTTTATGTGAGCATAGCAAATTTGCAGCCCTTTGAAAGAAGCCTTTGAGGTAACTAATTTTTCTGTCAAAATATTCTTGTTTTACCTATGTATATTATAATTTTGTGTTGATACAAGTACCTTCTTCCATACAACTTTCAGTTGTTGCCTTAAATTCCTTCTTGAAATCAGCAATAATTTACAATAAATTTAAATAATTCATGTGAGTACCGTATGTAGTTAATTTGGTACCTATTTAACTGAAGAAAATAAAGACTACCGGTACCTAGTTTATTATTTCTACTCTGCTTTATCCCCCTCATTATTCCTACTCTGCTTTATCCCCCTTATTATTCCTACTCTGCTTTATCCCTCTTATTATTCCTACTCTGCTTTAACCCCCTTATTATTCCTACTCTGCTTTATCCTCCTTATTATTCTTACTCTGCTTCATCCCCCTTATTATTCCTACTCTGCTTTATCCCCCTCATTATTCCTACTCTGCTTTATCCCCCTTATTATTCCTACTCTGCTTTATCCTCCTTATTATTCTTACTCTGCTTTATCCCCCTAATTATTCCTACTCTGCTTTATCCCCCTTATTATTCCTACTCTGCTTTATCCCCCTCATTATTCCTACTCTGCTTTATCCCCCTTAATATTCCTACTCTGCTTTATCCCCTTATTATTCTTACTCTGCTTTATCCTCCTTATTATTCCTACTCTGCTTTATCATCCTTATTATTCCTACTCTGCTTTATCCTCCTTATTATTCCTACTCTACTTTATCCTCCCCTTATTATTCCTACTCTGCTGTATCCACCTTATTATTCCTACTTTGCTGTACTCCCCTTATTATTCCTTCTCTGCTTTATCCCCTTATTTGTTCCTTCTCGGCTCCATGATTCATCCAGTGACCTTGGCTGGGTCTTACAATGAGCGAGTTAGCCATGAAACCTAAATTCCGGCGTAGATTTTCTATTACTGCTTCCATAGAAAACCTAAATTTCTCGGTAAAACAGTTTTATATTGATATGCCCATGGCAAAGTTTCACCCACTTGGTGAAGGCCTAGCTAAGGCCAACATCCTTTTTTTACCCTGGAATAACACCTGTGCTGTACAGCATCCCATAGCTGGTCTGTAGGTCTAACGATTGAGCAGAATTGAACTACTATTATATATTAAATGACAATACTACTCATCTACCAACTACTCACCAAGTTGCCATCAATTTCAACTTTTCAACATCGCTCCCTTTTCCTAATTGAACTATTTTCTGTTAGGAGATAGCCTAACAGTTTTTGGTCCCCGATTTATATGAAATTTGCCCGGAAAAAATGTCTTCGTTCCAACTGATCTCCAAAGATGGCGGATATCTCCTAAGATATATTGAATGTGATCAGACTGACTTGCAAGTTGCAAGAATATTATTATATCACGTGCCAGTGACTGAAATCGTATTATTGATGCGATGGTGTATCAACATCAATACGCATGTACAGAATATGTTTGCTCCATCATCTAACGAATATTTAGACATATTGCATGTACATGGTATTTTTAGCGCATTTTCTCATTTATGGAAAAAATTCACTATTGTGCTCACCATGTCCGTCTGTCTGTCTGTCCGTCTGCGACTTCACGTTTTCGTCGACGAGAAAATGCGCTCATGCTCTCTCTGTCACTCACTGCAGTGAGTACTGAGTTATATTTTTTATATGTTATTTCTTGATACTCTTTTATTGCTAAATGCAACTGGTTCGCCATGGAAATAAGGCTTGTTCCTTCAGTGGGCGCGTAGATACTTTGGTTGTTTCTTAGCCTGTTTAGTTTCTATGCTTTTTCCGAGCTGAAACGTTGCTCTCGACATATAGTCTCACTCACAAAAATATCGGGTCAATTTATCAATATGGTGATATACCTTCTTACCGCAGCGCCGCCGTAGCACTGATACCCCATTTTGCTGAGTCAGATAGACAAAACGTTTTTAGATATTTTTTTGGATTATATTTGTTTTCAAAATTTGGAAAACGTGTGGAGGATGATGGAGAGGATTATAAGTGTGTGGTCTTGAGGAGTGGAGGGTAGAGACGGGAGGGTGGGAAGACAAATGTGACCGTGCTGAATGTTTTTTTGTGCATTGTTTCTGTTTTTTTTAGAATGTTGCAAAAGAAATGTTTTAGTTTATTTAGGATAAGTGTGTGGTCTTGAGGTGTGCAGGGTAGAGACGGGAGAGTGGGAAGACAAATGTGACCGTGCTGAATGTTTTAGTGCATTGTTTCTGTTTTTTTTGGGATATTGCATAATGAAATGCTTTAGTTTATTTAGGATTCATGTGAATACGTTTTAATTTAACTTTTTGTTAACATATGAGTGTGACGTGAACTTTTAATTTTTTGACGCTAGTAAAAGAGCTTCTATGCAGCGTGTGTGACCGATGTAAAGGTCGTGACCGGAGGTTAACACGCACCAAATTCCAATTCGAACATAGTCCCACTGATTTCTCTGAGCGATGTACCATCTGTGTCGATACGAGTAGCAGAGCTTCGAATAACCTTCACCAAGTGAGCCTTTCTCATTATTAACTATCAAAATTCTCTATTATCCTATTAACTATACAGTCGAACACGGATAACTGATCCTCCCGTGAGATTTAATTTATTAAATTAAATTAATTATTCGACATCTTAATTTACTTTAGTTTAATTAATTTTTAGTTTAATTTAGTTTTAAATTTAATTTATTCCACAATAGCATCGTATAATAAAATATGGTATTAGTGTTATTTGTTGCACAATAGCATTTTATATTCAAACGTATAATAATTGTTATTCACACACAAAAGTATCGCTGACATGCAAATAATAGTATTTATTTTTTATACAATAAGATCGTAGATTCAAATATATAATAGTTGTTATTTATAACACAATTGCATCACGGACTCGTACCTGTAAACATGCGTATTTTGTGCGCCATTCAGCCAAGTTTCACACAGCTGCTTCTTACAATACCTAGTCAGCTGAGGCGGTCAGACTTACGAGACTGTGTGGCGCCTCTGCTACCCCGATACTGCACCCGCTCTACCCCGATATAATGAAC